CTAATGTCTGAATCCTGTTGCAAGGAAGGTTACATTGAAAGAGAAATCAACACAAGGTTTTAATACATATGTTATGAAAAAATCTGTTTATTAATTCCCGATCATGGACTCAATCAACTGGATGTAATGTATTGCTCTATGCCTCTCTGCATGCTCACTTACTCATACACACTCACATTCTTGTCCCACTCACACACACCGACTCTCTCTCTACCTGTTATCTCTCTTAATAAATAAACCCTGTGAACAGATGTTCGAGGCATTTACTTCGGCATCTGCCACAGTTATAACTGTTTGACCTGTCTGCTCATTGTCTCCTTCTGTCTTCACTCTAGGAAATGGGTTATTGATAAAGATATTGATAAAAATCCATGACAACATGATTTCAGAATTTGTGTTCATATACATTTATATTTTCTGTTCATAAATTTCTGCAGAAAAATCATTTATCATGCTATTTTTACACCGTTTAGGGCAATTTAAACACAATAACTTCAAAATCTTTACAGATAATGAAAGCTAAGCTTGTCCTGGGAAAAAGGATACATTTTGTGCACATTTATTAAAAGAAAGACAAAAATGACCAGGCGGACTTTAACAATGACAGCAGTAAAGATGTGCCCCAGAGATTTTCCTTGTTTGAAGTGACCAAATACTTATTTTCCACCCTGATTTACTAATAAATTCTTTAAAAATCCTGCCATGTGAATTCATGGATATTTTTTCACATTCTGTCTCTCACAGTTGAAGTGTACCTATGATGAAAATTACTGACCTCTGTCATCATTTTAAGTGAGACAACTTGCACAATCGGTGGCTGATTAAATACTTTTTTGCCCCACTGTATTTCACACTGGGGTTTTCAAATGAAGGGAAACAGTTTTAACCCTCTCAGGCTCAAAATAAGTTTTGATAAAAGGACAAACAACTAAGTCCTTCAGGGGCACTTCTGAGTTTGAAAATGCTCATGAAATACGTATGTGGAGGAACCAGGTAGGTAGGTTTTAATGTTGCAAATCTGCAGCTCCTGCCTCCAGAGGGTTAACACAGGGCATCCTTATTTGTTGCTGATTATCAGCAGATATCAATCAGAATCATCAGTCATTAAAATGCAGCTACCTCAATCTATCTGGAAGAATTGACTCAAGTAGATCCAGTAATGCAGGTGCTCTTGTCTGCAGTGGAAAATTCAGGATTTTTTCCACAAGTGAATTTCTGTTGTGTGCAACCATGCACACAATGCATGTTTGTCACATTTATGTAAAGGTAGAGAAAAAAATGAATAATAAATGAAGACATTAGACAAAGAGAATGATAATGCCAGTGAAAAAACTCTAATCTATCAACAAACCTCTGTGCATTCACTTCCTGTGCACAATTTAAACCTTCTTACCTGAGGCATGTGATCCATCTTTTCTTTGGTTAGATTGTTAGAAGGTTTATTCCTGTGTTTCTGCTTTGACTGTGGTGCATGTTAGGCTGGAAGTTGTGTTTGTCTGGATGTTTGTTTGTGTTCAGCTCTTCTTACATAATTCATGTGAAAAGCAGCCTTGTTAAAACACACAAACACACCCACACTAGTCCTGCATCTGTGCCTTCATGTGGCGTTATCCAAAAGAAAAAGAGGAAAAGAAAAAAGTTTTCACATTTACACACCAAGAAGTATTCTAGTCGAATACTCCTCCACTACTTCAGCGGGCTGCCCACAGGCTGTCTGCGGCCTTCTGCCCAGCACTGCAGTGAGCATACGTGTGTGTGAGAGGGGCAAAGCTCAGATGTTTGTGATGAAAATGGTTTAAGGAGAAAAACAGCGTGTGAGTGACATTGTTCCAAAGCAAATAGGATCTTCTGTGTAACATGATGCAGAAGCCGGTGATCCCTCCTGCACCAAACGGATTCAGCTGCGATTGTAATTAATCCCAAGCAGATTGGTTGTTGTTTTCCTCTAAAAATGACACGTATGAAACATTTAAGTTGACAACTGAGTAAAAGTTAAGTTAGACACTTCCTAATACGCAGTTGGGTTGTTGTATCCTCTCTTGAGGAAAGTCTGCCCAAAGCTGTTGTGAATGGACCTTGAAATCTGTTGATCTCTGTGCTGATCCTACACGTTTGACTGGGGAAAGACCGGGAGACCTGGCTGAATCTGTCCCCTACAACTCTAGCAGTCTCTTGTATTAAAGGCAGCTGGAAGCACAAATCCGTAGCTCAGCTGAAGTCAGTTGTTAAGACAAGTTGAGGGCTGACTCGAGACAATGGCCATTACGTGTGTCCAGATGGCAGAAGAAGGGGTGTAATGGGGTTATGTGATGCTTGGATCACAATGTGATGATTCTGGTATGGTATGGTTAATCACGTGTGACTGAAATCTTCACGAGGTTTGCTACTGCCCTCACATATTCACTGATCAGGACTGGGGCACTGTTATATTTGTACACTCAACATGCAGAGTATTTTGATGATATGACTATATAATAATGCATTGAACTTGTATAGCGCTTTTCAAGACCCCCAGAGATGCTTTCACACACTCTCACATTCACACACTGCTAGTGATGGTAAGCTACTTGTAGCCACAGCCGCCCTGGGGAGGTCTGACAGAGGTGAGGCTGCCATTTGGCGCCGTCGGCCCCTCTGACCACCACTAACACAGGCAAGTTGGGTGAAGTGTCTTGCCTAAGGACACAACAGCAGGATACCCCTGGTGGGAGCTGGAATCGAACCCGTGACCCTCCGATCATGAGGCAACCCGCTCTACCACCTGAGCTACTGCTGACCTTATGTATATCAACAAATGCTGCTAAAGGGATGTGACCTGAACATATGTGGTGTCCTCCACCCTCCTCTTAAGCCACTTTCACATTTGGCCCGTTCCGGGCTAGATGGCATGAGTCCGGGTCCCACACCGTCAGGTTTTGTTCACACAGACTTCTCAGGAACGCAGAAATCTTCGAGCATGTGGGTAGGGCAAAAAATGCACAGAGAAATCTGTGGTGTCGGACGTGAGCATTGTTGCTTTTGGAGGCTCTGACTTTGATATTGCATCCAGACTTGCTGTGTCTGTATATATGTCGATGGTCTGTCCTCGCTTGGGGCAGCTCAAGCCTCGGCAGTGCTGTCTGTGTGTGTGTGTGCGTAGGGCTGCTCAATTAATCGAATTTTAATCACGATTACGATCTGAGTTTTGGACGATTATAAAAAACAAAACAAGCCGATTATTTGCTCCTCCCGCTTGCGCTGCCCTGAGTTACAAATGAAGCGCTCCTCCACAGTGTTGCCAACTTAGCGACTTTGACGCTATTTCTAGCAGCTTTTCAGACCCCCTTCTTGACTTTTTAATCCTAAAAGTACCTGGCGAACATCTCAGAAACATCTCTGGTAACCCTTAGCTACTTTCTGGATAACTGTCGTCGACATTTCCTGCAGGTTAGCTAAACACTCCGCCTGTGCTCCGGACCGTTCTTCACAACATTAGGAAAGGGAATGATGCAGTGATGTGTCGGTCGCTAAAGAAACAGCTCTCGGAGCCGGCTCCCTGTTGGAGTAACCAGAGTGAGTGACACACACACCGCACCTGCGGACTCCTGAGCCACTAAAAACAGCTAAATGTGCGCGTGCGGCGTGCTAAACACACGTGCAGCTTGCCCCGATTGCTGTGAGACCGGGTTGGGGGGTGGGGGGTGCAGCTGTGGTTGGGACAATTATTACATTAACTGATGGACTTGTAAATAAATAGTTTATAAATAAGGTAGAAATAAGTTCCTCACGCTGATAATTAATAACTAATCTCTCTGAGGACACGGTGCTAGTGCACGCTCCTACAGCACCTTGACACGACTCAGTAAATGTTACGCAACATTTTGTGAACATCAATTTATTTGCATTTATTTGTTATAAATGCCACTGTATAATTCTTGCTGTCAGTATTTGCAAGATATTGGTATTTGGGTCTGTACTGGTTAGACTTAAATGAGTTAAACCAAGGTCTATAGCCCTTGGGTCATAGACTATGAGCTATAAGTATATTGGTCTTTATATACTGGGAATCAGGAGTTATTTTAGTGATCATCTTGTTTCTTATTTTTGTCCTGATTGTGCCCTGAGCAGTTTTATGACTGAATAAAAACAAATAAAATCAACATAAATTGAAAAATCGTCCTAAATAATCGTGATCTCAATTTCAGTCATCATAATCGTGATTATTATTTTTGCCATAATCGAGCAGCCCTATGTGTGCGTGTGTGTGCGCACGCCTCACAGCATGGCTCAGTGAAAGAGACAGAGAAGTAGAGAGAGAGACAGCTACACTTAGAGGCAGTTTAACTCCACAGTATCCAGCATGAGATGAATTGTGCTGGCTGATTCTACCAGCCAATCGGAGGCTCCCTCTAACGGTAGGTGTGATATTGAGCTGGCCAGTCATTGGGCAGTGGGTGTGTTGGACCAGATCAGCCCAAAGCAGACTGTCTTGGGATAAGGGCTGAAAAAACGGCTGGTTGAGCACGGAAAAAAAAAACCAGTCTACCCAGATGTGAATACAATAAACCATACCTGGCGCGACCGAGCCCGTTCTAACGTAAAAGCGGCAATAGGAAGCTAAAATCCTATTGTAGCTCCCTGTTAAAAACACAGATGTTCATGAATGGAGCCCTCTGTCCTTCTTCTTCATGAATATCCTGCATGTGTCAGTACACTACCCAGATGCTTGCAAATGTGCCTAAATGCAGTAAGCAGAATAGTTCCAACACAATCCACGGGTGGCAGCGTTGTGCTGTAAAGATCACAAGAGGGGAAAAAGGGGAAACAGACATGGCAGCCCTTTTTGAGAAGAAACAGTTGGCAAGAGTATAAAGTACCAGTATGAACACATTGATGATGCTTTTCCTTCCTGCTTGTGTTTAATTAGGTTTATATCAGGATGTTCATCAGTGAACTGTTGCAACAGCAGAGTTTAAACAGCGTCTAGAATAACTAAACCAGATTTTATTTATTTTACACAGGTAGCCTTAACCAGCGGAGCTGGAGTAAGAAGTACCCATCCTGTAACGGAGCCAGACAGTCTCCCGTGGACATTGATGAGATGTTTACACAGGTCAGGTTGCAGTTCCAGAACCTACAGCTGGAGGGCTGGGACAAGCCGACCTCCGAGTTCACCACCATCCAAAACAATGGGAAGACCGGTACGTTGGTAACAGTCCACAGTTTCATCCTGAATATTTATGCTAAACAAGCATAACATGTCTTTTGTAATGTGAAAATGTACATTCACCCAAAAAATCTTAAGAGCTTTGTGTCCAAGAAGACATGTTTGGTCGTCTCTTTGCAGGAAATCAAAGTTTTCGCTTGGACTTCTTGTGCTTGTGATGCTGCAGATTTATTTTATGGGAAAAGATTTTCACATTTTGATGCTTTAAAGCACTGCATCGTAATCCCTAGCCATGAAAGGAAGATTAACTTCTCAGATGCAAGAATAAAGAAAAAAAAGACATCATTCATAAACCAAAGGTTAATGATAGGGAGGGGAGCGGGGGTTTAAAGTGGAAAGAGTGAGGCAGAGAGAAAAGAAGAAGGCAAAAGAGACTTGGTAATTGAGAAAAAGCAACCAGAGTGATGGCAGCATCAAGAGATCATGTAGTAAACGAGAGAGGGTCGATGCTGAGAGGCAGACGAAGCTGAGCGAGAGAGAAGAGGCTACAAAAGAGCAGGATGAATATAGAGGGAGGAGACTGAGGGGGACGAGAGGACGATGTGAAGAGACATGAAGGGATGTCTGAACTGATAAACAGATGAAAGCTGTCTGAGCTACAGGATCGTTACCATCACTCCGATACCACCAGGACTAGAGAGCTGGTGTGTGTGTGTGTGTGTGTTTGATCTATCTGTTACTACGTTTAAAATTATGTTTGTTTGTTTTTTACTTTTTGAAGCCAGTGATGAAATCTGGTATGGAACATCAGACACTTGGATAGAAATAAGCTAAACAACATTATATAAAACAGTCTTTTTTATTATTTTTATGAAGAACATGCCTTCCAATATTCAGTGATTTACTCCGCTGCTTTCAGGCATAAATTAAGATTTTACTCCCTCTGTGGCTGGTTTAAATCAGTCACTCCACAGACCTGCAGGAGCCTCATGGCGTTTCTCAGCTGTTAGAGATTTCTCGCCTGAAATTACTCATCTAACTCTGAGAGCTACATCCAGCCTGTGGTCTGCCTTTTCCCAGAAGCCCCTCACAAAAAGGCCCTTTTTATATAACGGCTCTGTTGGGATGAACATCTGATAAGGAGCTGTTATTTGCCTCGTTGGTTAGCATGGCTGGAGTATTTATACGTTCTAGTTCAAGCACACTTTCAGAAATGTGAGGAAGTATGTTGGCATAGAAAATACAAACACCTACTCACCTCCAAACCTGTACGCATCAGACCTGAAGTGTTGGAAGGGGATACCTAATTTTTGTCTTAACTGTTTGAATAAAAGATAAAAAAAATACACCTTAAAATAAATTAACTTATGCATCTTACTAATAAAATCTGAAACGGGAAAAGTTTGCATTTATTTATCATAGTTGCTTTAGTTGGTAAACTGTCACAAAAATCCTATACGAGTAGCATGTGGGGAAAAAAATAGGATTTGATTCGCTCTTTCCTGCAGGCTTACACCACAAAATGGGGGAGGCGATACGGTACACTAAGAGCCAGACAAGATTTGCAAATTTTAAGACTGAATTTTATTGGAGAACTCAGGCCAGGTGCTTCCAACAGACATCCAGTGTTATCGAAATAAATCGTTGTTCGGTCAGAAAGAAGGCGGTAAAACCTGCTGCTGCCACCTAACGGTCAGAGTTTGAATTGCCCCACATAAAACTATTATCTGTTTGCCTGTAAATTCTAAATAAAATATTGATTCAATATCAAAAAACAAAACACAGCAATTCAGGATGTTCAATATTGGCTTTTTACCCGATATCCAATATACCGATATTGTCTGACACTATCATTTCCGATATTGATACAAACGGATACCGATGCATGCTGTGTCCCCCTCTCATAAAAAAAGAGAAACTAAATCATCCCATGTCACCATCATAGATGTTTAAAAAAATAACGTTCTGTGACCCAAACACATAGTGAGGGTCTGCTGGGAACGCCTGGCAAAGAACCTGTCAAGACTGTCTTCAACTCCCTCCTCCTGCAGAGCTTTGACCGCGTCCCGAGAGCAGTGGGGGACATTGACTCCGAGTGGGCCTTGTTCCACTCTGCGATTGTTGAGGCGGCTGTTGCTAGCTGTGGTCGCAAGGTGGCCGGTGTCAGTCATGGTGGCAACCCCAGTACCCGCTGGTGGACACCAGAGGTTCGGGCAGCCGTCAGGCTGAAAAAGGAGGCCTACAGGGCGTGGCTGGTCTGTGGGTCTCCAGAGGCAGCAGACAGGTACCGGATAGCCAAGCGGGGTGCAGCAGTGGCAGTTGCCGAGGCAAAATCTCGGGCGTGAGAGGAGTTTGGTGAAGCCATGAAGAAAGATGATCGATCGGCTCCAAAGAGGTTCTGGCAAACTGTCCGGCGCCTCAGGAGAGGAAGGCAGCAACTCACTCACACTCTTTACAGGGTGGATGGGGAGCTGCTGACGTCAACTGGGGCTATAGTCGGACGGTGGAAGGAATACTTTGAGGAGCTCCTCAATCCCACCTACGCAGATTCCGAGGAGGAGCCAGAGCCGGGAGGCCTGGGGATGGACTGTCCAATCTCGGGGGCAGAAGTTGCTGAGGTAGTCAAACAACTACACAGCGGCGGAGCCCCGGGGGTGGATGAGATTCGTACTGGGTATTTCAAGGCTATGGATGTTGTAGGGCTGTCATGGTTGACACGTCTGTGCAACATTGCGTGGTCATCGGGGGCAGTTCCTGTGGAGTGGCAGACCGGGGTGGTGGTCCCCATCTTTAAGAAGGGTGACCTGAGGGTGTGTTCCAACTATAGGGGGATCACACTCCTCAGCCTCCCTGGAAAGGTCTACTCCAAGGTACTGGAGAGGAGGGTCCGATCGATAGTTGAATCTCAGATTGAGGAGAAGCAATGTGGTTTTCGTCCTGGCCGTGGAATTGTGGACCCGCTTTGTACCCTTGCAAGGGTGATGGAGGGGGCATGGGAGTTTGCCCAAACAATCCACATGTGTTTTGTGGATTTGGAGAAGGCTTATGACCGTGTCCCCAGGGGCACCCTGTGGGGGACGCTCCAGGAGTATGGGGTGGGTGGCTTTCTGTTAAGGGCCATTCAGTCCCTTTACCAGAGGAGCGTGAGTTTGGTCCTCATAGCCGGTAGTAAGTCGGACCTGTTCCTGGTGAGGGTTGGACTCCGCCAGGGCTGCCCTTTGTCACCGGTTCTGTTCATTACCTTTATGGACAGAATTTCTAGGTGCAGCCGTGGTGTGGAGTGTGTCAAGTTTGGTGGCAGGAGAATCTCCTCTCTGCTTTTTTGCGGATGATATGGCCCTCCTAGCTTCATCCAGCTCTGACCTTCAGCTCTTGCTGGGTAGGTTCGCGGCCGAGTGTGAAGCGGCTGGGATGAGGATCAGCACCTCCAAATCTGAGACCATGGTTCTCGACCGGAAAAGGGTGGCTTGCCAACTCAGGGTCGGGAGAGAGGTCCTACCTCAAGTGGAGGAGTTTAAGTATCTCGGGGTCTTGTTCACGAGTGAGGGTAGGAGGGATCAGGAGATCGACAGGCGGATTGGTTCGGCGTCTGCAGTGATGCGGAAGCTGAGCCGATTTGTCGTGGTGAAGAGGGAGCTGAGCCAGAAAGCCAGGCTCTCGATTTACCGGTCGATCTACGTCCCAATCCTCACCTATGGTCATGAGCTTTGGGTAATGACCGAAAGAACAAGATCGCGGATACAAGCAGCCGAAATGAGTTTCCTCTGTAGGGTGGCCGGGCTCAGCCTTAGCGATAAGGTGAGGAGCTCGGACATTCAGGAAGGACTCAGAGTAGAACCGCTGCTCCTCCGCATCGAAATGAGTCAGTTGAGGTGGTTTGGGCATCTGGTCAGGATGCCTCCTGGACGCCTCCCTGGGGAGGTGTTTCGGGCATGTCCTGCCGGCAGGAGGCCCCCGGGTCGACCCAGGACACGTTGGAGAGGTTACATCTCCAATCTGGTCCGGGAACACCTTGGGGTCCTGCCGGAGGAGCTGGTGGAGGTGGCCGGGGAGAGGACAGTCTGGAGCTCCCTAGTTGGGATGCTGTCCCCGCGACCCGGACCCGGATAAGCGGAGGAAGACGACGATGTTCTGTGAAATCTAGGGGTTGTATCAACTAGTCGACTAGTCGACTTCACTGCTCTGTACTGACTTTGTATGCCTTTCAGCGACTAGTCGCTGTCACGTAAAAATGACCGACAAGATGCAGTCCTCGGAAAAGGCAGCAGGTGATGAGCCCCTGCGCATCGGGAGGCTATCTGACGCCCGCTGTAAATCGGATATTTGACCGAATTGTGACCTTTACCCTCTTGCAATTTAACCTTCCCCTTACCCCCATCCTAATCTTAACCAGCTTGCGCATGCAAAGCGCTGATCGTTAACGCGCTCCAGACATCTGCGTCCTGCGCACGGCCACAGTAACATTATCAAATTAGGTGTCGCCACCTCAAAAACAAATTTAACACGCAATCATTCATGTCGGCTCATTTCCTTTTATATGTTCTGTCTTTTATTTGTGTCTGATGTGTGGAGTGGAGCGCATCACCTGTTTTGTCCTCCGGCAATTTCACCTCACCGGTCCGGCCGGCGCGCAGCTCGCACTCCGCTGTTTTTGGGGTTGATAGATCTTTTGGAACTGCATTTCAAAGGTAACTCATAAAGTGAATATATATGAAGCCATGTAACAGTTTTTCTTTAGGATTGAGAGGAGATGCAGGAAGATAATAAACAGTGACAGGACAGAAAATGTCAAATAAAACAAGTTAGTTTTTGTACCTGGCGGTTGCAACAAACAGACACCATTGAAGGTAATCAGAAGTGAGGAACAGAAAATGAAATAATTATTTTAATGTTTAGAGCAGCAGGAACTCAGAGAGTGCAGGCACATCAGTGGATTTGTGGCCGCTGCGCAGGGGTGGGGGGGTGGGGGGCTGAAGCAGGGGAACAGTAAAGATGCAGAAACTATAATTGTTAAAAGAGATGTTTAGCTTTGAAAGTGTGGGCACAATTTTAATTGTCAAAAACTCCAGCGAACCAACCAATCCACCCCCCACCCCACCCACCCCCGTGCGTCGGAAAAATAAACGCTTGGTCACCCATCGTCAGTTTTAGCCGCTTCAGGTATATGATGTCATCAACGACTAGTCAAAGTCAATTAGATTTTCATTACTTGACTGTCGACTTTAAAAAATATTAAGTCATGCAGTCCCTAGTGAAAAATAACAACTACTTCAATTTAAGTAATAATAGGAAAAGTGCCATATTTATTTAGTCCTCCCCATCCCCACACATTTCTCTCCTCCTGCTCCCTCACATCATCACTCAAACATGCACATAGGACCTTGGGGGGTGGACAAGTCAGGGGGTGCGGGTATGGACCCCATTTCCGCATTCCTGTGGCAACCTGCCCCCCAATTTTATTTGCACCTTAAACACTTCCACCAACGACATTCCACGCAAACACACACTTAGGGCCTTGGGAGTGAGCACATTCAACGGCATTTGGCAGGGGGGTTTCTCAGCCTCATCCCAAGTGCTGGTGCCCACTTCCAATTTTTAACTGCACTTAGACACTGAGGGCTGTGGGTGCAAGTGGGGTGGTGTTGTGGCATCAGCTAGCATAGGCCAGACAATGCCCGCACTGCCTGCTCACCACAGCCGTGGAATACACCTCATCAACACACACTAACACTATATTGGAGCAGGCAGAGAGAGACTAGGGGTCTTAACACACCTCAGTTGTTGCTTGGTTTCCTGGGGCTGGAGGCTAGGAGGGAGATATGGCCATCTGATTGGGGTCTGGTGTGGTGGGTTGCTGTGCTCAGCGTTGGGCGGGGGAGCCTGCTCATCAGCACCCCAGCAGAAAGGGTTGAACTCTGGAAACCGGTAATGGTCGTACCCCATGTGCAGCAGTACCGGGACCAGAGTGAATAGGGTGTGTATGGGGAGCATGAGTGGGTGTCTGGCATGCATTTTTGTAAGTCTTTGGTTGTATGTGTATGTGTGAGCATGAGGGAGGGAGTGTGTGACTGTGTTTGTGTATGACTGTATATGTCAGGTGGGGCCTTTGGCTCCTCCCTTCTCCTGGGACTGCTTTTGATGATATAGATCTTCATCTACCCTCTCCCTGCCACACCTGGTGTGGAGTGCAGTGCCTTGGTCTGCCTGGGTCGTGACTCCCAGGTCAGGGAGTTTAAGATTTTTGGCGTCTGCCTGACCAATCCCGGTGGCTGCCTGGTGGGGTCTGGATCCCTGCTGGGTCCCTGGCGGGGGTGGTCGGCTAGGGGGTGGGAGGCTGCGGGCAGGCCTGTGGGCTTACCGCCAATATCTCCCGGGACTCTGCCGGCTGCTGGTTGTGGCCCCCTGGGGCGATCCTCTACGCCTCTCGAGGGGAGCGGGGGCTTTTCTGGTCGCAGTCTCCCTATAGTTCCTGTGTTCTGGTGCCGCTCCTGGATCTCTGGGACTTGGAGCTCTCTCCATCTCCTGCCCATCTTTAGGAGGCAGATCTGTGGCCCCTCACACTCTCTATTGGACGCTCCTATAGATAAACCTTACATAAACAAGCGCGTGTACACACAGGTGCTCACATGGTGCTCTCATAAGTATGGACTTGGGCACATTCAATGCATGTCTTAAGGCTTTGGTGGGCACTTAATGCACTGTGATTTATTATCGTGTGATTGTTCAGTTAAACAATGTTGATTATATACTTCTTCATCAAGTTGACGCAGTAATTGCTTGATCTTGTTGTATTGTTGTTGTGTCCCATTATTTTTTTGTTTTTGTTTTTTTCTTCTTTTCTCTTTCTGCAGGTCTAGAAGCAGACTCTTGTTCATTATTGTTTATTTCTGTAGACCCCCCCCCCACCCCCACCCCCACCCCACCCCCCACCCACACACACACACGCCTTTTGTCTCTTCCTTTCTCTTTCACCTCTGTCTCCGTGTCTGGTCGGAATTATAAAGCGTTCAACAACAATAACAATAAAGTTTTAAGTATCAGGCGTGACATTAAAAGCAGACGCTTTGATGCTCCACCTGAGAGTAAATCTGTAAGGCTTGTCACCAGCATTCAGATATCAATTCTGTTTGCTTCACAGCCAGACAGGACACGTGAAAAAAAAAAAAACTCCAGCGAACCAACCTATCCCTCCCGTCGGAAAAATAAACGCTTGGTCACCCATCGTCAGTTTTAGCCGCTTCAGGTATATGATGTCATCAACGACTAGTCAAAGTCGATTAGATTTTCATTACTTGACTGTCGACTTTAAAAAATATTAAGTCATGCATCTTAGGTGTGTTCTTGCTGTGCGTTATTTCTAATTCCATGTTGTAGTTCTTTTTTAAAACACAGAAACGGTTTTGTTACCTGTAATTGACGCTACAGTTTCGCCAACAGCTGCCGGCTTCTTCAGGCTGACGCTGATGGTGGCGCGTCACTTCCTTCTCCGTTTATTAAGTCATGCAGCCCCTAGTGAAAAATAACAACTACTTCAATTTGAGTAATAATAGGAAAAGTGCCATATTTATTTAGTCCTCAGCAGTTGAATCTAAAACTAGACTTCAGATATGTTATATTTAGACATTTTAAGAGAGAGGAGAAGTAGCTGAGGAGTTTTATGTATAATATGTGTATGGTATGTAAAATTTGTGTCGTTAAAAGACTGAAACTCGAGACCAATATTTTCCCGATATTAAATTTTGACGCCGATAACAGCCAACATTAATGGTGGACTGATGACATCAAACACTCTTAATGGTAATATTTTCTTACATCTCTACTATTATCTTTGCTGGATCAATCGTGTTTTCATTTGAATTATAATTGATCACAATTACTCGAGGACTGGTTGTAATATGGTGTCTGGCTTCATCCAGAACAAAGCCTTCTACTAAACCTTACATTTCAGTTTTGATGGTTGCCATTTTCCCAGTTCTTTAGTGTTTTGTTTATATTTCAGTGGTCATTAATGTGGATGGAGAGTTCTTTGTGAGTGGAGGAGGGCTGAGCTCCAGGTTTCGTGTAGCCAGCCTTCACTTCCACTGGGGGCGCTGCAACACAACATCAGCGGGGTCAGAACACAGCCTGAATGGGATGAAATACCCACTGGAAGTAAGGAGCAGCAGTATCTTCTCGTGTGTACCTGTAAACTCTTCATGGAGATAACATGTGTGATGCTGGCTGTTGCTCAGATGCAGATCTACTGTTACAATCCTCATGATTTCCAAAGTTTGGATGATGCCATTAAAGGAGGAGGGAGGATCACTGCCTTGGCTGTTCTCTTTGAGGTAAGATGGCCTGATTATGACATTGAATAGTTTAGTTTAACCTAAAAATCCCATAAAACCAAAATAATTACTTTTTTCTGCAGGTCAGCCTGGACGATAACGAGAACTTCCTTCCTGTTCAGGAGGCCATCGAGTCTGTCAGCAGGTTTGGTGGGTCATTCAAACAGAAATAATCATGAACAACAGTGTTTATGTCCAACATGCATATGTAAACTACCAATGCAGGAACCTGATCACCACAGCGTTCAGATGTTCACACTCACTAGACAAACGACAGCTAAGAAATAAGCTGTAACAATGTAAAACCATCTACTCAAAGATGTGTGAGTGAGTCAGAAAGATCAGACTATGGCGGACCATCAGAGCTTAGGCCATCGCCAATAATCTGAGAAATTACTAATACGCGAAGAGGGGTAAAATGCAAGAGTTTTCCTGCCTAAACAAGAGACTTGACAGGTGTGGAACAAATGGAGTCAGTCAGTGTGTTTACATTCACATCAGAAAACCGAAGTATTGCCCTAAAAAGACTCACATTGTTTGCTTTTATTCATATAAACGAGTTAGTCTGGCAGAAGGCGGACTGGTTCTAATTGATCTTAAGCACCCAGATAATGCGGTAGCAATCCGAAGACATTCTGCAAACAGGTTAGCCAAACTAAACAGGTAGGACGTCACGGAAGTGATGATTAAAAATATGTTTAAAATGAGAAAAAAAATTGTATTTAATTGTGATTAAGAAAAATAATGTAAGGAAAGGGAGGGAGAAAATGAATAGGAAAGTGGGAAATCAGTGGATCGCGTGAAAAGGCAGAATAAGTAGAAAGAGCTGAATAAGGAAAGGGTGATGACGAAGGTCACGCAAAAGTCAGACCTACTGTACCGGCGTAGAACAAACTTTATTTGAGAGGCCGGTTTTCTAACATGCATGTAAGCTAGGATAAATACTCACAGCTTATTACAATAAAATCAACCTGGATCGACTTAGATGTCGGTCAATTGCGCATGTAACCACACTGCGTGAGAGAGTTGTGTTGCTGTTAGGTCCTAGTTCCTGAGACAGGAGCGCCAGAGCTTTTTGTCCCTTCATTCTCGAGACAACTGCAAATGTGCGATGAGCAAATGTGTTAAAAAAAAGAGCAAACTTGTTTTTTTAAATAAAATTTTTTATAAGGCGGCAATAATCCTGTTTGGTCTAGGTTCCGTTAGCTATTAGCTTATCAATCTAGTTAGCATTAAACTGTTTCTCCTAACTCAGGTGGTTCAAAAGGCAGGTAATTTTTAACCAAAAACAAAATAAAACAAAAACAAAAAAGAATTGTCCCCTTTAGACAGTAATGAAAAGTTTTAATCCTAGTCAACTTTATTCTTATTTATGTTGCAGATTTACTTATGTATTTCTAAAAAAAAACATGTTGTTGTTTTTGACAGCAGCTTATTGACACTATTTACAGAAAAGTTTAATTTGATTTTTGCCGTTCCCACCAGGTAAGAGCGGGTCAGTGGAAGCTTTCACGCTGCGGTCCCTGCTGCCGAACATCACAGATAAATACTACATCTACAACGGCTCCCTGACCTCTCCTCCCTGCTCCGAGTCGGTAGAGTGGATCGTCTTTAAACACACTGCGGCCATATCAGAAACACAGGTCAATAAACATTCAGTTGTTACCTTGTTTTAGCTTTGAAAGCATAAAGCAACATTTATTTTTCCTTTTTTTTTTAGCTTAAAAAGCAGCCATGCCTGTGGTTGTGGCTGGTTTCATGCTAACTGTTTTCACGTTGACACACACAAGAAAGATGAATGTTAAAGAGGGAAGAGACGTGTTATATTGAAGCGATGTGAAGTGGCAGGTTGAGTCAGAATGTCTGATCACAGCACACCTTTCTGTTATGGTGATCTGGTTGAAAATGGCAACACAAGCAGCATCAGGAGGTCTGCGCTGCTTCTGTGGACATATCAGTGAGTAAAGACGAGGCCAAAATGCTCTATGCGTGCGTGTGTGTTTTGGCTCGAGTGAAGCAGGATGGCACCAGAATGTTCACGCTAACCAAAAATAGTGCAGCGCTGTCTCCCTCTGCCTCATCCTGGCACCGACACAAGCCTCTTACACATCGTTACAGGCAGCAGCAGCTTTTTGCTTCTTTGAGACATGTTCGTTTCATTTTTCATTTTCGCTGTCCTGAACTTCTTTCACACCTCTTCTGTCTGTGCTCCACCAGCTGGAGGTGTTTTGCGAGGTGATGACCATGGAACAGGCTGGTTATGTAATGCTGACGGATTATCTGCAGAACAACTTCAGGGAGCAGCAGCAGCAATTTATGGGTCAGGTGTTTGCCTCCTACACCGGAGTCGAGGATGTGCTCACCCAAAGTATGTCATCACCTGTTTTCTAACCAAAACCTTCTCACTGACTTGCTACTTTTTATAAACGTCTGTGAACATGAAAGCATCTTCAGCAGGATTTAAAAACCATTCACGATCTGAGGAACTCTCACATTCAGGGGCAGGCTGGTCCAGAGACAGAGCTGCAGCTGGTTTTCTGTCGGGATCTGGGAGAATCCAACAGGAAGTAGTTGGTGGACCTGGTTCTGGTTTGGGTCTTGCTGGAGTGTGACAGTGCAGCAGTTCCATTAGATATGTTGGAGCTAAGCAGTTCAGAAACTTAGATCTCCCGTCAATAAATATTTGACCCTGATCCTGAAGTGAAGAGGAAGCCACGTCAATGAGGTCAGAGAGGAAGTTAGTTAGCGTTAGCCTCACGATCAGAGACACCATATATGTAGATGCAAAGTGGACTGGCACCGCCATGTTGGATGGGTCCCCAATCGCCCCCAGTGCATTTATTACTACTGAGGAAGGTGTTCACCCAACTAAAAAACATGTTTTATTATGATTTTTAACAACGTCAGACCTGCGGTGTGGCAAGATAATCAAAATATAATAAAATTAATTTAACTCATTCACTGCCAGCTGTTTCCTGATCAGTAAAGCCCTTCGCTGCCAGTGTTTCTCAGCATTTTTTTTAAAAGTCACAGAATGTTGTGCTCTAGGATGATGTCAACGCCAAAACTACCAAAACAAAGAGTAAACTCACCTCTTACATCAGGAAGAATCTGCGCGTTTCGAGCGTTATCCGTTCTTTCATAATCCGTTGTTGAATTGCGATCAGCAGAAGCTTTTCCGGTTCGCGCCTCACTTTTTTTACAGCAGCGGCCAAAAACGATCTCCTAACACATGGATTTTCTGCTTCCTGATCACGTGACGTATGACATATGCAGATGAAGATCGGCTTTAGAGCTGGGATGTTTGTTCACACGGTGTGGGGACTCGTTCTGATGCCCACACAGTAAAAAAATGCAAATGACTAAAGTCGTCATTGGCAGTGAATGAGTTAATTTAATCCCATCAGGTAGGCTAGAAAAGTCAACAGTAATCCCACATGATCTATTTTCAATAGTGTGGCTGTTGTTGCAACAATACGTGGGCTGCACAAAACATGGGCAAAGTTGCTCACCCTGTGTTGATTCCAGTTGGGTTTGGAGAGTAAGAAACCCACCCAAAATGGCGGCGACACTGTTTTGCTCTCCCGCACCCAATGGCTCATCCACATATTCATGTCTATCCTCGCGATGGCAGCAGAGTTGTCCACACTCACCACTGTCTGATGGTCTCTGGAGGGGAAATCCAAGGTGTTTGAAAGCTGGTAGGAAATTGATTGGACAATTTTATGCAAATATTTCAAACACAGTCCAAAAGGGTTCAAATGAAGGCAACTGGACTTCTATGGTATCTTGAAGATGTTTCACTTCTCATTCGAGGAGCTTTGTCAATTCTGACTGGAAAATGGGAGAGTCAAGCTGTGGCTGTCTATTGTTGTTTCCCAAATTCCCGTCAGAATTGACACAATTCATTCAGATTTTCTGTGTAAAATAGTTCCTATTTACAGCCGTAGTTGGTAAAAACCATTTCACATCACTTGTTTACTCACTGGCTGACTTCTACATGTAAAACAACTTATTAGTGAATCCATTTGAGTTGATCAGCAAATCTGAACTACTCACAGCATGCTATTTTTTCCATTATTAAAACCTTCTGTCTGGGTTTGAATTATGCAGAATTAGGTATGAAAAACTGAATTTCTCTGCAGGAATCAACATAGATGTTACATTAATAACACACTTTTTTATCTTCTGAGTGAAAAATGACACCTTTCATCTGTTCTTTCACTGTGGTGGAAAGCCGGTCCTCCAACACCATCAAGAGCATCAGAGAGAAATCCATGATTCTCCCTGTTTCCATAATGTCGACCCAGTTCCAAATTGGATGTTTTGGGTTACCAGGGAGTTCGACTTTGTAGTTCAGTGGCTTTGCTCCTCTCAGCAATTTATGTTGCAGCTCTTTTTGAAATTGAAATAAAGTGTTCAAAAATTCAGAAAAGGCGTGTTTTTGCTCTAAACACACACACACACACACACACACACACACACACACAACCAAGCCTTTTAATTCACAATTCCGTATATTCTGATCCCTGTCAGGCTGATTAACATCAAGTTACCTCTGAACTCTTTGAACTTGAAGCATCACTTCTTTGTTTGGCATTTGGAGATATTCACTCTTAAATCCTGTCATCTTTGGACTTTATTCCTCCTTCATCTCTGTTTCAGCTTGTACCTCGGAGCCACAGAACGTTCAGGCTGATGCCCAGAACGACACCACCATCGTGGTGATGTGGGAGCGTCCTCGTGTGGTGTTTGACACCGCCATCGACTGGTACACTGTCACATACCAGAGCCTCCAAGGCAAGCAGCCGAACAAGCAAGAGTACAGGACCGATGGAGACCAAGACGTGGTACAAAACATCTCCGCACATCTCAGAACAAAAAAACACCCCATAACAAAAATGGCTCATCCATGCAATTTCATCCCATGTTACATCATTATCTACACTCTTCACTGGTACATTTGACACATAAATAGTTATTTGGGAGATATTACAGTAATATCCCCCCCTCCTGCAGCTAAATGCCGACGAATAAAATGTTCGAAAATAGAAATCACTTCTTCAGTCAACTTTTATTCAGGACATAAAATATCTGGCCTATACCATGGTTGTTTTTTTTTAAATCAAACCAGAATCATTAACAAAAACTAAAAACTGTGAGGAAAAAAAACAGTCCTCCTGTTTCCACAGAATTTAAAAGGTTCATTCTCAGCCAGGAGCTGCAGATCAGATGCATCTATTAGCTAACCCTCTGGAGCATATGTGTGTGTTAACACAATGAAGAAATATATCATCAGTGATTTTTGAGTTGCAGCTGTTACCGACCATCAGTCTGAGTGTTAACCCCTTAGCACTCCAGCGTTCCGCCCATGGTACAAAACCCAACCGTGTTCATTAAACCTAGAAATGTAAGGTGTTAAAGGTCATTTCCAAACAATCTGTAAACCGTTTTTTTTTACGGAAAGAAAGGATAATTCATGTGTGGAAAATATTTCAGATGGCTGATGATCTTCTCAGAAGTGGTCATCCCCCTAAAAGTTCAGTGGTCAGTATTTAGCAAAATGACAAGTGCATCTCAGACTAATGGCCTCAATTATCTTTTTAAAGATTTCAGTTCGTGACAGGAAACTTAGAAAACCACTGATCAAATTTCCCCCTCCAATAAAAATAAACAAATAAAATACAAAACTCAACCTAACTAAAAGAAAACAATTTAATTGACAGACAGATGCAATAGAAAGTTTTTCTGAATTTACTGCTTCCTTTGGTTTGAACACTATGAACTGAGCCATGTGTGCTCTCCACAGGGGGCCATAATCTCCAACCTGCAGGCCAACGTCAGCTACGTGATCCAGGTGGTGGCTGTGTGCACCAACGGCCTCAGAGGACGGTGGAGTGATCAGATCATCGTGGACATGCCGCTAGAAGACCCCGGTACTGACTCACACCAGTTCACTCTTGGGACTTTTTACAGTTTGGTCTTTAACAGACGTTTCTCTCTGGTTCTAGAAATGGATTCGTCTCCTGACGGCAACCCAAAGGAGGTAAATTTCAATTACCGTAGTTTGCATTTGCACTTGAATTCAGTCTCATCTTCAAATGTGATTATTGTGCAAATGAGCAACTTAATGTTGGCTAAGGCTTATCGGTGGAGACCAGTGGTGTGTTGGACTTGTAGTTTAGGGGAAAAGCAGCCGCTTTGGGGGGATTTTAATTTTCTTGAGCACATGTTTATTTTACGACCTCAGCTAATTTGTTTTCTTAGAGAAAAGAGAAATGAAAATACAGTGTTTAAAGAAACATAAAAACATTTTATTCTGTCTTTAGGTCACAAATGCTGCTGGATGGAAGAAGATCCAGAACAAAGTGGATTTGTTTGCAGAAGATCAAAGTCCAGTGGAGGAGATCCCAAGAGTTTACCAAAATAAACAACCTGCACTCAGCCCAAACCAGCCCACAGGCCCAGCCCACACAAACTCACACATCCCAGTTCAGACTGAAGTGCCGTCAACCTCTCAGGATCCCTCTGGAACTCTGAGCCCAAACATGCCTGATCAGAACTGGATAGAGGGGCACCAGCTGACCCCTGAACATCATCCTTTTACAAGTTCAGGTTTTGAAAGCAACAGTGCAATTTGGGTTGGCCGGGTGTCTGAGCAGCCAGGCTTTCTTTTTCCAGTGATTCGGACCTCCACACTGCCGCCAGTCCATCGGCAAATCACAGAAGAGGCGTCGTTGTCAGTGCTGCCCCCTGAGGTCAGAATTGGTTTTCATTGACTAAGTTAAGTCATTTCTAAATTTAAACATATCCCAAAAATACCCAAGGGTTTGTTTCTCTTCTGTTCACAGTCAAGAGATCATGATCCACCAAACCACGAAGGAGAAAATGAACCCCCTAAGTCCGACTTGTCCACACCTCCTATAAAGGAAGTCACAGATATCTTCTATGAAGACACGGTCACCAGCTCTCCCCTGGAAGCGGGCACCAACCCAGCATCAGAGCTCACTTCAGTGGTGCCAGGTCAGATTTAACACAATGTTTAAACCTGGTTTGCCACATAACGCTGTGTCACATCCTACCATACTTCCCTCACATGACATCATCTTCATCCTCATTTTGTCCACAGATCAAAGAGGCTCACCATCGACCTCCAAAGATGCTAAAGAAAATCCGATCAGCTCAGATTCCTCCACCCCATCCTCAGTTTGGACAAAGGAAATCATTACGACAGCTGGCAATGCTCTGACCGACTCGGTCTACAAATCATTCACCACCTCGTCTTTGCTCAGAGTGCTGATGCACACCACTCAGCCCCTGTTCAACGGTAAGACTCTGAAAACCCATCCCAACTATCCACTTCCTTTAGAAGGTGGCTGGGAATGTTCTGATTTCCTTCAACATCAGCGCTCTCTAAATGTTCCTCTTTTTTGGAAGACAGCTGGACATGATTCCTGTCAATGGTTGCCTTTCTCTAAAAACCACTGCTGTGTTCTGTCACTTTGGGGCATTTTGTGAGGTGACGTGATATGGTTATGTTGGTAGTGGTAGCGCTGGTGGCTGAGAGGATTAAGGAGATGCAGCTTGTGACTGGTGTGATAATCAGGGGCCATGGCATACTCTACAGCGGTTAAACCTTTGGCTAGTTTTTCTGCATGTTACTCGAAGAGATCAGTGTTTTCCCACCTCATGATAATCAGCTACTTGAGTCCTCTCAAGTTTTGGTGATTAGCATCTACTTCTGGGACTTTTTTCCTGCCTGCATTCCTTTCTGTGGCCCAACAGCACTCCCTGGTGGTTGTTCTTTTCTTCTGTCCTGAACAAAAGCAGACTTCTCTTTAAGCGGGCCTCATCTTTTCATCTTCACTGTTAGATGAGTTAGCCTTGGCTTGCCTAAACCTAAAAGACGTCTTTTCTGACCCCCAAAAAGGTAGATTTGAAAGGCAACGTGCTTTTGTTTGGCTTTCCTTGCAGTAAAGACAACAACATCTGGGACTGAGGACTCAGCATTTGATCAGTCGTCCGACTTCACAAATACTCCCAACCATCTAAGACCATTGACCCTTATGAACTCCACCATCTCTTTTTCTCATGGACCTCGCTCTACTGAGGGGAATAAGGTTGTGGTAACACCTCCATTGGTCAAACCCTTCAGTCAATCCACCGACATCTCCTATCTGTCCCCTGTGCTTCAAAAATACAAACTCCCTGAGGATAAGTCTTTGAATTCTTCACAGATAAATATGGAGCAGCTTCCAGGGTCTTCAACTGTTGGCTCTCAGGGAAACCCTCATTTCTACCCCTCCCATTATTCTTCGAGTATTGCCCATTTAACAACAACATCCACTGTTGAGGAAAATACTCAAAGCATTCATTGGATTCAGAACACACTTGAATCGTCAGAACATGATCACGGTGAGGAAGAAGCCAGCACAGACAGAGATGAGGATGATCTCAGCATCTTAGGTCTGGGTTCATCAGATGGCCTGACAGAGAGTGGATCAGGCTCTGGCCACAGCAACAATGCATTTGGTCACGATCAAGAGGCTGAAGTTCACTTTACATTTTCTTCTTTTTTGAACTCAGCTGTAAGCTTCAGCATGGAGGACACAAGGGGAAAGAGTAAATCCCTTACAAATGACATTCCCATGGAAAGGGATCCATTTAGAGATGGGGGCATTAGGGGAACAGGGGTCAAGAGAGACGACTTTGAGATGAGTGGAGAGGAGGAAGACACCGTAGACACTGAGAAGGTTCTCAATGCATTGTATGAAGAAACAAAGAAGAACCAAAGTGTTGCTGTGACAGGTTCTGGTATGCCGACAGAAACAGAGACTGAAGGTAAAGAGGAACCCACAGCTGGAAGTACAATATATAGTGGAAGTGGCAGTGGGGCTGAGGACACCAGTGGTTCTGGGGAACATGCTACATCTGATGATCAACTCAGTCCAAAGGACGTCGTTGATCATCAAGACATTTTCAAAGCTGTAGAAGAAAAAGAATTCAAGAGCAACAGAAGGAAAAATAGCCATGACGATTTAGGATCTGAAAGACAAATCATTCAGCAGCTGCTGGCAGGTTCACCTCCAGGAGTCTCCCCGGGCAATGAGCACAGTCAGGTTCAAAACACAAGTCGTGATGACCCGAATCCTTCTGAAGACCAAAAGGTAGACGATAAAAGACATGGAGCTCTTAATGTAGAAGTTTTAGAAGGACGTGTAACTGAAGACAGTACTGATGCTGAAAGTCATGTTCCCGAGATCCTCCTGACAAACTCTCCCAAGACACAGGAGCAAGTGGAAGGTAAACAGTCCGCCATATTGTTTTCTGCTCAGATCTACAGAGTTATGGTAAATGGCCTGTATTTGATATAGCACCTTCTAGAGTCCTGAACCCCCCAAGGTGCTTTACAACACAATCAGTCATTCACCCATTCACACACACATTCACACCCTGGTGGTGATGAGCTACTATGTAGCTACAACAGCCCTAGGGCGCACTGACAGAGGCGAGGCTGCCGAACATTGGCACCACCGGTCCCTCCCAACACCACCAGCAGGCAAGGTGGGTTAAGTGTCTTGCCCAAGGGCACAACAACAGCAACAGACTGAGCGAGGCTCGAACCTGCAATCTTCCGATCACGGAGCGAGCACTTAACTCCTGTGCCACCATCGCCCAGTAAGTTAACCTTTAGTTAGTGGCCATTTACCATCATATCTATTCCCACTATGATGAAGCATCGGGTTTTAAACAAACATCTGTGCATTTAGACAATCTGAAGCTGAACAGCCTCATGAAGGCCAGAACAACAGCCATCACTGACATAAATTTGTTATTTTATGCATGTGAAAATATTTAGAAAAGAGACTGAATGGCCAGTTATTTTTTTTAAGGAATGATTTTATTTAGGGGCAGCTGTAGCTCAGAAGGGAGAGCGAGTTGTAGGTTTGATCCCGGGTCCTGCCAGAGCATGCTGCAGTTGTGTTTTTGGGCAAGACACTTAACCCACCTTGCCTTCTGGTGGTGGGAAGGGACCGGTGTGGTGCCAATGTTCAGCATGCAGTCTCACCTCCATCAGTGTGCATCAGGGCAGCTGTGGCTACATAGCTCATCATCACCTGTGTGTGTGTGTGTGTGTGTGTGTGTGTGTTAACCCAGAATTTCAAATGCCAGTCAAATGTAATACAAATTCCCTGTGGAAATATTTCAAAAAGGCTTTGATACCACTAATCAAAAGAACTTGAAATAGTATTTTGTAACCACAGTAATTATTCTGGTCTGGCAGCAGCCAATCTGCTTTAGCTTAGCATAAACAATGGAAGTTATTCCTGGTGAGCTCAATAATCATGTCGACTACAAATGAAAAGTAAGAAGTAACACAAAGGATGTCCAGGAGCCGATGTAGACTTGGGACTACGTTACGACAGAGCAACGCTGTTACCCGCCGCTGCGTGGTGCATGGATGTAACACAGCACTCGAAAAAGCCTCACACAAATTTAGGGAGCTTATTGCTGATTTAGTTTGGGATTCACACACCTTAGTGCTAGCTGTGTTCAAACTAGCTGTTAGCTTATCAATCCCATAGTAAAGCACATTTCTTTAGAGCCTGTTCAGGACTCTATCTGCAATAGAGGAGATAATTATTATTCACTGAATCCCTGTTAGACAGAAACACTAATACTAAAACTAATTTAAGCAGAAATCAAATATGTCAACAATGCTGATTTTAGACAAGTATTTGTTCCTTTTAATGTCTCACCTTCAGGTGATTCATCTTAAGTGATAACATTTTTCAAATGAGGAAATATGAAGGTTTGAGATCCATGTTGAAAAGATATAAACAGTCCAGTTGCTGCTCTTGATTGACTTAGTTTATTTTTTAAACCCATGTTTATGCTGTTCCTTTTGGCCTGAGAAGTAGTTGGTTTTATGAGACTTACTTCTTGTTTTCAGAACGCAGCAACAGCAGCCACGAGTCTCGGGTTGGGCTTGTTGAAGGTGTGGAGAAGGAGAAGAGGACCGTGGTTCCTCTGGCTGTTGTCTCCACTCTCACCATCCTTTGTCTGCTGGTACTCGTGGGAATCCTCATCTACTGGAGGTGCGAACCAGAACAAACACACCCTGTTCTTTATGCGTCATTCTTACCTCTAACTTCCTCACTGATTCTGATCCGATCACAGAAACTGTTTCCAAGCAGTTAATTTTTACCCGGACGACACCGCTACGCCTAAAGTTCAGTCTGTTCCATCCACACCGCTGCTGCTGGCCACAGGTAGAACACCCAGACTGGCTTCAACATAACAGCAGACGTTACACGTGGTTAATTAAAACACGGTCTGGTGTTGCAGACGGCCACGAGCCGCTCACTCTGAAGCAGTTTGTGAAGCATGTCATGGAGCTCCACGGAACCAACACATTCTCCAAGGAGTTTGAGGTGAGTGAGATTTTTGAATCGAGTTCAGAATTAAAGAAGAAACAAACTCACAACCGACTTCGATTTACTTCAGTAGCACATCGTCAGCCACAGCTTTCTAATTGCATCCATCTCTTAACATCATGAACTTTATAAACATCATCTGGCAGCAGAGGGTGTTTTAGCTTTATTATGGCAGTGAATTCAAAAGAAACAATAACTAACAAGACTCTTTACTGACAGAAAGGCAAGGTAAAAGCCCACCTGATGGTGGTTTTCAGGCTTAGTGGTTCCTTTTAACCTGCATGTTTGTCGACTGTTTCCAAGCATGAAAAAGGAAACATTTCCTCTGTTATTACCACTGTTTTTCTGTCTTTACCCTCATTTAGTAGCTCTTTTGATTTCTCCATACTTGCATTTTTTTTCACAGTCAAATTTGTTGGTCCCCTGAACATGAACGGTTATTGAAATGATAAATGACCCGCACTTGTATAGCGTCTATCAGAGTAAGGACTCCAAAGCGCTTTACACTACAGTGTATCATTCATTCATCCATTCACACACTCATTCACACACTGATGGTGATGAGCTACAATGTAGCCACAGCTGCCCTGGGGCGCACTGACAGAGGCGAGGCTGCCGAGCACAGGCGCCACCGGTCCCTCCGACCACCACCAGCAGGCAAGCGGGGTTAAGTGTCTTGCTCAAGGACACAACAGCAGAATTCTCTGTCCAGAGCCGGGATCGAACCCGGTCAGCAGTAGTCCTCTAATAATGTATATTGTCGTGCCTCTAGTATGTGGTAAAGAAAAAAAATTGAGAATAAAAGATTTTTTTTCCTACAAAAATGTGTTGAAGTAGCACCACCCCTTGGGGGCGCCACTGATTCTGGAGTGAGACATGCTTCCCAGTGTCAGAAAGTCATTCATGGGTCCTCCAAAAAGATAAAGACCTAAGACTGCTGAAGCAGTTTAGGAGGATAAAGCCAGTAAGCAGAGATGTCCTTGTAAAGTCAGGACATTGTTTGTGGGATGTGTTGCATCTTGTTCAAAATCCTGGTCCTTGCTTTATAATCCCTGTCTGGATCAACGCCACCATATTTAGCCTCCCTGCTGACCCGTTATGTCCCTGCAAGATCGCTACGTTCAGGTCAGAGTGACATGTTGGTGGTGCCACGATCAAAGCGTAAGTCTAGGGGTGATCGTGCCTCTGCAGTTCTGGGTCCTCAGCTTTGGAACCAACTCCCACAAGAAATCAAGCAGTCCACATCACTGCCCACTTTTAAAGCCAGGCTTAAGCTGTATTTTAGATCTGTTTCTTAGTTGTTTTTATTCACCTTTTAATGTTTTTAATCACTATTTTATATTGTTTGTATCTCTTTTTGTTTTTAAATGTTTTTATCTCTGTATTTTTTATAGAGCTGTTTTATTGTGCTGCTTCTCTGCACTATGTTCAGCACTGTGGGCCCCCTTGATTGGGGGTAGGAAGGGGCTTTATAAATAAAATTAATGAAAAATGAATGAATGAATCCTGCAATCATTACAGTACAGGTACTTGCATTTTTTGGCCATGATAATGTCAATTGTACAAAGTTTTCAACCAAACTTAGGATCGGAAGCAAAGACTGGTCTGCGCTGAATGTGGAGTAAACATTAATAACAACATGTAACTTTAGTCAGGTTCAATGTATTTTAGAGGTCTGCTTAGTCTAATGGAGATGGGTACCAATAAATTTGTCTGCATTTGTAAAAAGACATCAGTTTTTTAAATGAGACCCAACCTTCTGCGTATTTGCATAGTCAAAGTGATGTCTTGATATTGCACCTACACTATTACATCATTAACACAACTGTGAGCATTTACGCTGCAGTCTAAACGGGAAAGGCGGCATGTTTCCAGCTCTGTATCTGAAGCCCAGATTCCTGTACCTGCACTGATTCCCTGTCTGTCTGTCATCTCGTCCCTCCTGTCACCATCTACCACCACCATCGTTGTGCTTTCTGCATCCTCACCACCCGCCATTAGATTGTCAAAGAGTCCTATGAGGTAAGACACTCACCATCCCTCTGCTGCTGCAGAAGAGTAGCTTTGTTTCCTTTGTTGTAGGTGTTCCAACGATTTTATGAGGATTACTATGTAAAGATGTGATCTTGAGTGTAATCTGCCTGTCCTTTGTTAAAACAGCTCTGTTAACCCTATCATTGTTCATTCTGTGGTTTTGAAGGAGGTGCAGGCGTGTACAGTGGACATGGGCATCACAGCTGAGAGCTCGAATCACCCTGACAACAAAAGCAAGAACCGCTACATTAACATACTGGCCTGTATGTGGCTGCTTATGCTAGGCTAACATGTAGGCAAAAACATTCTCAGAAATCCATAATGAGTTGTTTTTTTTCTAATCCAGATGACCACAGTAGAGTCAAGCTCTCCAACAGCTTGGACAGAGATGGGAAGTGTGGTGACTACATCAATGCAAACTTTGTGGATGTGAGTGCTTCTCTTCCACCTGTGTGTGTGTGTGTGTGTGTGTGTGTGTGTGTGTGTGTGTGTGTGTGTGTGTGTGTGTGTGTGTGTGTGTGTGTGTGTGTGTGTGTGTGTGTGTGTGTGTGTGTGTGTGTGTGTTAGATTTTTTGAGTCAAACCTTTCCATACATATCGCGACTCCTGCTTTACCCAGTAGCAATCATGATTATGAATTTTGTTTTACAGTCGAGCAGCTACTGAATAAAGTTTGGGGTCAGACCTGCTCAAGATCGCTGTCACAGCTGATCGATTTTAATCAGCACCAAAAGGTCTCTATTTCAGCTCGTTTTAAGGTAGTTTTCCAGGAGCACTACACAGATTAACTTGGGCACGGTTCAAAATTTTCCCTCTACTTTCTCCCCTATTTTTAGTCCCTGCTCTGTTGAGGTACCTGGCAAGGCTGAGTCTGGCCGGCATCATGATTCTGGCTGCTGATTGGCTAGGGGGCGGAGTCACTGGTTGCTTTGGAGTTTTTTTGCCTTCTGTTTCACTGCCTGCAGCCATTTCCTGGTTCAGAGTCTGACAAAAAGCCATAAAACTGAGCTAAATGTCCAGCAACACCACCATTTTCAGCTGAGTGTTGTTTCTGTGGAGCATACAGGTTACCTTACACGCTTTACTGATGCACTGTACAGAGCTGTTTTAGACTGAGTGCTCCTGGAAAACTAGCTTTAGAGACTGAGTGCTTTTAGTTAGGGACGCACCGATATGAACAATCGGGCCAATATCCACCTCTGATGTTAATACTGGTGTCATGGCCAATACCCAATATTAATCAATATTATATACATTATAAATGTTTTGTTACTGGATCGTCACCATGCAAATGTGACCACACCCCTACAAAGCTTCTCTGCTTCAGTTAAACGCCCCCACAATCACCATCTCTGCCCCATGGCCAATCCTCTTCCCCCTCCTAAAACACATATGTAAACGGCAACAGGATGTAAATAAACATCTGTTGTTAGCAGAGCCGGATTAAATAAATGAACTACACTAGGCAGGCTGCATTTTTTTGCCCCCCCCCCCCAGTCGATGTTATTTAATGAACTGAAATCTGAAACTTACCAAAGTTACTAATAAAAGTTCATTCACATTTTACATAGCCTAGTTTTTGGTTACAAATTGGTTGTTTGTATGCCAGAATAAGTCATGTGTTGTATGTTAAATATTCTATCAGACTTTTTTTGTTATTAATAATTTATATCTCATTACACAGCTGTATTAAATGATAATAAATTATCCTCATCTTATCTATTGGGAGTGTCAATGTTAAGGCAGTAGTACCAGTAAATAACCACTAGGTGTCATTAAACTATGTAAACAGAGCAAATATATTTATCTTATTTGCTCTGTTTACATTTAACCAGTAGCTAGCTGTCAATTTTTATTGGGGGACAATGGGGGGTCCTGGTCATTTCAAGGAGGTTCTCAAGAAAACAAAAAATGCAGTGGACAGCTAGTAACTGCATATTACTGCTACTAAACAGCAAAATACTACAACTACTTTGTTTTTAATTAATTAGTCAATTGCAGTGTGCAAATAATATCCTTTAATTGCCATAGCCACACCCCCATGACACAAAACACCCATGACAGAACACATATTTACAAAATAGTATCTACTCTCATACTCTCACCACTTCTGCCCAGTTTCCCCCTCCTGTCTTCTTCTCTGCTCCTCTACTCTCCTGTCTCATCCTGTCTTCTTCTCTGCTCCTCTACTCTCCAGTGTCCTCCTGTCATCTTCTCTGCTCCTCTTAAGTCTCCATTCTCCACTTGTCTTCTCTCCATTCTCCACTTGTCTTCTCTCCATTCTCCACAGCTGTGATTTACTGCAACATATGAGTTTATAGTACACAAGAATAGGTTAGTATTTATGCTAACAACAGCAACACAATAGAAAGAGATTCACTTTTCTCACATTACTGACCGCTCTTTTGTCCAGTCTCCTCCTGTCTTCTTCTCTGCTCCTCTACTCTCCAGTGTCCTCCAGTCTTCTTCTCTGCTCCTCTACTCTCCAGTGTCCTCCTGTCTTCTTCTCTGCTTCTCTACTCTCCAGTGTCCTCCTGTCTTCTTCTCTGCTCCTCTTTTCTCCAGCCTCCTCCTGTCATCTTCTCTGCTCCTCTACTCTCCAGTGTCCTCCAGTCTTCTTCTCTGCTCCTCTACTCTCCAGTGTCCTCCAGTCTTCTTCTCTGCTCCTCTACTCTCCAGTGTCCTCCTGTCTTCTTCTCTGCTCCTCTTTTCTCCAGCCTCCTCCTGTCATCTTCTCTGCTCCTCTACTCTCCAGTCTCCTCCTGTCATCTTCTCTGCTCCTCTACTCTCCAGTCTCCTCCTGTCATCTTCTCTGCTCCTCTACTCTCTAGTGTCCTCCAGTCTTCTTCTCTGCTCCTCTTCTCTCCAGTCTCCTCCTGTCTTCTTCTCTGCTCCTCTACTCTCCAGTGTCCTCCAGTCTTCTTCTCTGCTCCTCTACTCTCCAGTCTCCTCCTGTCTTCTTCTCTGCTCCTCTACTCTCCAGTGTCCTCCAGTCTTCTTCTCTGCTCCTCTTCTCTCCAGTCTCCTCCTGTCATCTTCTCTGCTCCTCTACTCTCCAGTCTCCTCCTGTCTTCTTCTCTGCTCCTCTACTCTCCAGTCTCCTCCTGTCTTCTTCTCTGCTCCTCTACTCTCCTGTCTCATCCTGTCTTCTTCTCTGCTCCTCTACTCTCCAGTGTCCTCCTGTCATCTTCTCTGCTCCTCTTAAGTCTCCATTCTCCACTTGTCTTCTCTCCATTCTCCACTTGTCTTCTCTCCATTCTCCACAGCTGTGATTTACTGCAACATATGAGTTTATAGTACACAAGAATAGGTTAGTATTTATGCTAACAACAGCAACACAATAGAAAGAGATTCACTTTTCTCACATTACTGACCGCTCTTTTGTCCAGTCTCCTCCTGTCTTCTTCTCTGCTCCTCTACTCTCCAGTGTCCTCCAGTCTTCTTCTCTGCTCCTCTACTCTCCAGTGTCCTCCTGTCTTCTTCTCTGCTTCTCTACTCTCCAGTGTCCTCCTGTCTTCTTCTCTGCTCCTCTTTTCTCCAGCCTCCTCCTGTCATCTTCTCTGCTCCTCTACTCTCCAGTGTCCTCCAGTCTTCTTCTCTGCTCCTCTACTCTCCAGTGTCCTCCAGTCTTCTTCTCTGCTCCTCTACTCTCCAGTGTCCTCCTGTCTTCTTCTCTGCTCCTCTTTTCTCCAGCCTCCTCCTGTCATCTTCTCTGCTCCTCTACTCTCCAGTCTCCTCCTGTCATCTTCTCTGCTCCTCTACTCTCCAGTCTCCTCCTGTCATCTTCTCTGCTCCTCTACTCTCCAGTGTCCTCCTGTCTTCTTCTCTGCTTCTCTACTCTCCAGTGTCCTCCTGTCTTCTTCTCTGCTCCTCTTCTCTCCAGTCTCCTCCTGTCTTCTTCTCTGCTCCTCTACTCTCCAGTGTCCTCCAGTCTTCTTCTCTGCTCCTCTACTCTCCAGTCTCCTCCTGTCTTCTTCTCTGCTCCTCTACTCTCCAGTGTCCTCCAGTCTTCTTCTCTGCTCCTCTTCTCTCCAGTCTCCTCCTGTCATCTTCTCTGCTCCTCTACTCTCCAGTCTCCTCCTGTCTTCTTCTCTGCTCCTCTACTCTCCAGTCTCCTCCTGTCTTCTTCTCTGCTCCTCTACTCTCCAGTCTCCTCCTGTCATCTTCTCTGCTCCTCTACTCTCTAGTGTCCTCCAGTCTTCTTCTCTGCTCCTCTTCTCTCCAGTCTCCTCCTGTCATCTTCTCTGCTCCTCTACTCTCCAGTCTCCTCCTGTCTTCTTCTCTGCTCCTCTACTCTCCAGTGTCCTCCAGTCTTCTTCTCTGCTCCTCTTCTCTCCAGTCTCCTCCTGTCTTCTTCTCTGCTCCTCTACTCTCCAGTCTCCTCCTGTCTTCTTCTCTGCTCCTCTACTCTCCAGTCTCCTCCTGTCTTCTTCTCTGCTCCTCTACTCTCCAGTCTCCTCCTGTCATCTTCTCTGCTCCTCTACTCTCCAGTCTCCTCCTGTCATCTTCTCTGCTCCTCTACTCTCCAGTGTCCTCCTGTCTTCTTCTCTGCTCCTCTACTCTCCAGTGTCCTCCTGTCTTCTTCTCTGCTCCTCTACTCTCCAGTCTCCTCCTGTCATCTTCTCTGCTCCTCTACTCTCCAGTGTCCTCCAGTCTTCTTCTCTGCTCCTCTTCTCTCCAGTCTCCTCCTGTCTTCTTCTCTGCTCCTCTACTCTCCAGTCTCCTCCTGTCTTCTTCTCTGCTCCTCTACTCTCCAGTCTCCTCCTGTCTTCTTCTCTGCTCCTCTACTCTCCAGTCTCCTCCTGTCATCTTCTCTGCTCCTCTACTCTCCAGTCTCCTCCTGTCATCTTCTCTGCTCCTCTACTCTCCAGTCTCCTCCTGTCTTCTTCTCTGCTCCTCTACTCTCCAGTGTCCTCCTGTCTTCTTCTCTGCTCCTCTACTCTCCAGTCTCCTCCTGTCATCTTCTCTGCTCCTCTACTCTCCAGTCTCCTCCTGTCTTCTTCTCTGCTCCTCTACTCTCCAGTGTCCTCCTGTCTTCTTCTCTGCTCCTCTACTCTCCAGTCTCCTCCTGTCATCTTCTCTGCTCCTCTACTCTCCAGTCTCCTCCTGTCATCTTCTCTGCTCCTCTACTCTCCAGTCTCCTCCTGTCATCTTCTCTGCTCCTCTACTCTCCAGTGTCCTCCTGTCATCTTCTCTGCTCCTCTTAAGTCTCCATTCTCCACTTGTCTTCTCTCCATTCTCCACAGCTGTGATTTACTGCAACATATGAACAGCAGAAATATGTCTCGACGGCATAATCATAATCTTGTGCTGAAATAATAAAATGTATACAAAAGACAGCTGTTTCAGATATGAATAAACTTGGTTTGTTTCTCATATTTCATTTAATTATAGTAGAACGTATAGCCCAATATTATACATTTAATTTATACTGTATGCATCTTACATTTGATTTTCATATTCACTTTACTTATTCAAAAAAAACTTACATTTACAGATGCTTTCTCCTTAGTTTTGATGTGGTGAAGTCCTCGATGATGTCTTGAAAATCCAGTGCAGTTGTGAATCCATTTTCAATTGCTAACAGAGCAAAGGCATTCAGTTTTTTTCCTGTGACTGTTGCTCTCCGATGTGTTTTTACTCGTTTCAACACAGAAAATGATCTTTCTCCTGAACAGTTTGCAATCGGTAATGTCAGATACATGCGAAGGCAAATGTCCACATTAGGAAAAGCATCCCTCAAGCCTAGCTCTAGAAATTTCTTGTACATGGCCATGACTGATTCTTCATCTTTTACCATTGACATAAACTGACAAAACTCTGCTGTAAAGTCCTCCTCAAGATCCTGGGGGTATATTTTCTTCAACTTTTCTGTGGCTGCACGGATTTGTTCAATGTTCATTGATTTCCTTTTAGTAAGGAAACCAAATTTCTCCTCCACATTTTTGTATGCATCTTTGCGTTTTTTCAATTCTTGTGACAAGCAGTCACAGATGACATAATGGGTGTCAATCAAGAACGCTTCACGGCCGGAGCGCCGCACCTCTGGACCTGCAGACTCATCAAACATAACTTTCTTTACTCGTCTCCTTTGGCTATCTGCTTTGTATCCCTCTGTCGCTGTGAGAGTCTTGGCCTCTGCTTCATAGACATCAAAATCATTTCTGGCCTGTCCTATGTATTCTATGAGTGAACTGTACAGAATAGGAACAGTACATACATCAATGTGTACCTGTTGCAATGCTTTGCTGGTTATATTGATTCTTCTCAGCAGTTCATCCCACAGCACTGTCATAACTGCAGTTTCAAGGGTTTCCATCACTGTTATTAATTGACTTGCCTCATATTGAGCAGCTCTGGGGGTTCCATGGTCAACTTTGATTTCATTCAAAGCATCCTGTATAGCTTTGTAGCCAAATCTCAGAGCTTTTGTTGCATCAGCTCTTGCAGACCATCTTGTGCTGGAAAGGCTCTTCAGTGTCAGACCTTGCTCACATTTTGTCAGATGGGCTGTTAAAATCTCCCACCGCCGACTTGAAGCTGAGAAGAAGTTGTAGAGATTTTGAATGAAGCCAAAAAATGAAACAGCTTCAATGCAACATTCTGCAGCACATGCACCAACTAAATTAAGAGAATGTGCAGAACATGGTATGAAGTCAGCATTAGGATTTTTATTTTTTATTCTTGCTTGGAGACCAGAATATTTCCCTGCCATGTTACTCGCATTGTCGTAGCTCTGCCCACGACAGTCCATCAAATCAATGTCCAGTTCATTTAATTCAAATTTGAGTGTTTCCTCCATGTGTTCTGCAGTATGACCATGTAGAGGTATGAACTCCAAAAATCTCTCAACAGGCTCACCACTTTTCTTCAGGACATATCGAATTATCAGAGTAAGCTGATCAACATGTGTGATGTCAGGTGTTGAGTCCACAATGATGGAGAAATACTTGCCATCTTTTACTTCTTTTACAATGGCACGCAGAACTTTCTTAGCCATCAGCTGAATAAACTCATCACAAACTGTAGAGGACAGGTAACTGGTATGTCCCCTGCCCTTGTTTCCATATCTGGCTAGATGCTCTGACAGAAGCGGATCAAAGCGACTAATTAACTCCAAGCATCCCAAAAAGTTCCCATTGTGGGGTGATCCTATTAACTCATCATCTCCACGGAACGGCAGTCCTCTTGAAGAAAGAAACTGAATAGTTGCCACTATACGTTTCAAAATGTTGAGCCAGTATGCTCTCTCAGACTCCTGTTGCTGTACTATGTTTGAATCTATGCGTGCATTTTTATTTCCAAGTGATGATAGACTCAGCACAGCAGTACGATGATCCATACTATTCTCATGTTCATGCAAGCGATTAGCACAGTTTTTCCAGTCATTATATCCAGTGACAAATTGATTGTCTCTTACACTGAACAACTTGCAGCAGAAACAGAATACAGTTCCAGTAGACGGTGAGTACACTAACCATTTTCTTGACAGCGTTTCTCCATTTAGCTTTTTTCTAAAGAAATGTTCCTTAGTTAAGCATCGGTTTACGTCTCCGTATTTCCTCTGTGATGCAGAGAAATCTCCAATATTTTGGGAGGGATGGTTTAGGGCAAAGTACTCACGCATCCTGTCATCAATTTCGCACCATTTTGCAGGATCAGATGGGTAGGTTCTTCTTCTTAATACCCTTTCTGGGTCTGGAGGCTCCTGCTGTATGTTGGGCTCACTTCTGGCTGGCTGCTGTCCTTCCAGTTCTTTCTGCGACTGCGTTGATGTTGATGGCGCAACAACGTCTTCCGTCGCATTTCCCGCCGCATCTTCCACCTCGTCTTCGGGCCGTGTCTCCTCCGGCCCGGCCTCTGGCTCTGCTGACTCCAGAGGGTTCACAGCTGTCGGACGGCTGCCCGAGCAGCCCGACAGAAACTTCTTTAAAGCCCCCCACTGTTTCTTCTTTTGTTCCTCTTCTCTTTTTTTCTTTTTACGTTTTGCTGCACCTGAAAGCATTGCGAAAATTAACCTAAAACACCTGCTACTAGCTTAATCGTGTCCCGCTCGATGATCCCGCTCCACTCTGACCGCTTCCTTCTCTGACGTCCTTAATTGGGTGGCGCCCAAGTTATAGGCTACTGTGATAGGCTGGCGTTAATGTGATGTAGCTAATGTAACAGTCTATGGTTAAGATAAACATTGTCACTCTTTTTAGTTAATAAATATTGAAATAGATTGTAGAGAGGACGAGTCCTCTCTACAAATTCTATCACAGGACATTTGTACATTTTATTTTTGATTTATTTATTTTTTTATTTTGTCCCTCTGTCTGGGCCCCATCCAGCCAATCGGGCCCTAGGCACGTGCCTACTTTGCCTTTGCGTTAATCCGGGCATGGTTGTTAGTATGGACCCAGTTAGCTTATCGGGCCAATACCAGAGTTGATACCGATATGTTGTATCCCTAGTTTTAGCTGAGAGCCATTCTCCATTACTCCATCATACTGAGTAGTTTTCAGTATTCCTGCAGCAACACAACATGTTCCATCCCACTAGATTAGTTTCTGTTGTGTTTTGTATTTATTATGGTTTCATTGTGTTTAGTGTGTTGTTGTGTCTTTTGCTCCTGTGTATAATGGCAGTCATCACATAAGGAGTTTTGTTTGGGATCAATAAAGTGTTCTGAACTTCTTTTCAGGGTTATGAGCGAACAAGGGCATACATCGCAGCTCAGGGGCCTCTCAAAGCAGGCCGGCAAGACTTCTGGAGAATGGTCTGGCAGCAGAACATTGGAGTTATCGTCATGATCACCAATTTGAAGGAGAAAGGGCGTGTAAGAGCCGACGCAAACAGAACAACAGAGTTCAAGCTAACTTTCATCAGAATCCAAACATCATTGCTCAAATCTCTCCACAGACCAAATGTGACCAGTACTGGCCTGAAGAGAACCAAGAGGAATACGGTCCTTATCAGGTGACCCTGAAGAGCACAAAGACTCTGGCTTATTACACACTGAGGACGTTCACAGTCAGGGATACAACTAATAAGGTGCTGCATCTCTTTCATAAAAACTGTGAGATCATGTGTTTTGAGGTTGAGATGGTTCTTCTTGGTTCTTTAAGGCTCCACAAAGGAGTGTAGAACACACTGTCCTCCATTACCACTACACACAGTGGCCAGATATGGGCGTCCCAGAGTACACTCTTCCTGTGCTGTCCTTCATCAGAGCATCGTCTCAAGCCCGAACGCAGGAGATGGGACCTGTCTTGGTGCATTGCAGGTACAAGTTTTGCATGAATAGAGATTATGAACAAAACATGAGTTAATGTGGCCCCGATCTGTGATGTGTCTTTATCGCAGTGCTGGTGTAGGAAGAACAGGTACCTACATTGTGATAGACAGCATGTTGCAGCAGATTCAAGATCAGGGAACAGTGAATGTTCTGGGTTTCCTAAAACATGTCCGAACACAGAGGAACTTCCTGGTTCAGACAGAGGTAAGCAGACATGTTTGCACTTTTCTTTTGGAAACTGAACTCTGCTAAATTTTAAAGGAGTTTGAAGATTGATGCTCAGATTTATTGTGTTTTGCCTGTTTATTTATTTATGTTTTGCACATTTTTGTTCCTGCCTTCTGCTCCTTCTTGGTGTTGGAATCACAAAGAAAACTGGTATTTTATTTGCTGGTGTGACTGGCAGAGGCAGAGGAGTAAAGTGCCTGCCCCATAACTGGAGGGTTGCAGGTTCACATCCTCCAGTTGTGTTCTGTGACAAACCACTTAACCCCCTTTGTCTGCTGGTGGCGGACTGAGGGACCGGCGGTACTGAATGTGTGGCAGCCTGGCTTCACAATGTTTTTGCTCATCACATCCAGTCTGTGAATGGGTGTTGTAAAGCACCTTGGGGGGCTTTTAGTAAAAGTGGCAGTTATACATGTTGATCTTTCTTTCTTTCTTTCTTTCTTTCTTTCTTTCTTTCTTTCTTTCTTTCTTTCTTTCTTTCTTTCTTTCTTTCTTTCTTTCTTTCTTTCTTTCTTTCTTTCGTCCGTCTTTGTGTATTTCTGACTAGTTCATACTGAATACATGTCTTAACCAGCACATCTCTTTTAGAATCAGTTGCTTTTTGCACAAGTAGTAAATAGCCTAAACATATGTACTTTTCCCTCCAACATGCATTATAACTTATTCAAATAGGGGTAAACTGCTCAGAGAGAGGCTGTTTGGTTTCCAGCACAGAATGACGTTCAGATGTGGCTTTACGAAAGGCTTTGTGACTTTGAGAGGAGAACAAAACCATGCTCCAGGAATAGATACGCAATCCTTTTCTGAATTTGGGACGTAGAGTAGTAATAGGTTAGGGCTGTGATGATGGCATACAAGTCTGAAACCTGGTGGAACCTTTGGTGAGAACTTCTACATTTGCCTTTTAGGAGCAATATGTTTTCATCCATGATGCTCTGGTGGAAGCTATTTTGAGCCGTGACACCATGGTCACCTCTGAGTGCCTCCACTCATATGTGTCAGACCTTCTGACTCCTGGTCCTACAGGCAGGACGCGAATGGACAAACAGTGCAAGGTTCAACCCCCATTTTAATTAATTTCAATCAAAAAATGAGAAAAAAAATTGAAATTTTTTCTCACTGAATTGTTTGAAAATGATCCTTTTTTGTGTGTTTCAGTTAATAAGCCAGCGACAGGCCAAGCATGCGGACTACAGCACAGCCTTAAAGGATGGCAACGCTGAGAGGAACAGAGCAAGAGCACTAATGCCTGGTATGTACTGTGAGGCTGGATCCCACACCAGGCAAAGCAGACAGCATCCAACAGGATGTATGAATTTTACTGTGGTTACAGACGAGTTCTGTGCTTTTTCTTGGATACTTTTATTTTTCATTTTAATCTTTAATTTGAGCTGGACTTGGACTTTAAAGAGCAAATTAACCTCTACCAGAGTCTTACTCCGCTCCCACTTCATGTTTGAACAATGCAACAAATGCTGTTGCCTGGCAGACTGAGAGGGCGGAGCCACTAATAAATACACAAGGCTCACAATGACATTGTGACATCATAATGTACCAGCTAATGTCATAGTGTACCTCTTAGCCAATAGAAATGGCAGATTTAAATTCAAATGCAGTGCAGAGTTTTTACCTGAATACTAGGGGTGTAGTGGTTCATGGGGGAGTGTTGAACCGTTTCAGTTCGGCTTGTTTCGGTTCGGTCCACTTGCGTACCGTTTTGGTTAATTTTTTTCCATCAAATAATGAATTTTTATTTGCATGATTTAAGAGCAGCAAATAAAAGTTCCTAGGCGAGTTCCCGCATGGACGCGTGTTTATTGCTAACTGCCACAACACCAAATTTTAAAGCTCAGTAAAACTGACTAGTTATTTGTGTGTTGGTGAGGGTCACTTGGGTGTGGCAGGCACCTTGTGTTGGGTTGACTACAGAGGTTAATCAGTTTTAGATGTTCAACCAGTTAAACCTTTGTTTGAATTTGTCCAGCAGTGGATCTTAAAACGATTTGCAAACAAAACATTCAGACTTGACTCCTATGGCACACATGATTTTATTTCATTATTTAATAAAGAGATGACTGTTAAATTATTATTATTATTATTTTGTTTTCTAAAGTAGCTCAGCTGTGGCAGCCATTCTCAGTTGAATTTCTGAAAGTGGATGGGATGTAAAATTGCAATTTAGGGGTATAAAGACCATAATGCTTAATTTAACATTTACCATCTCTTATCTTATTATAAATATAATCTTGAAATGTAGATTTTCCTTGTATTTAAATATTGCCATTGAGACTTGCATTATGGTGTTTAGCACTAACTTATGTCTCTTTTCCTGTGCAGTAGAGAGATCGAGAGTCTCTCTGACAGCCTCAGAAACAAACTCTACAGGCTACATCAATGCCTCCTATGTTATGGTCAGTTTTTTTCTATTTTTACTATAAAACTGCAGTGTGTAAGAAAGATGATTTATTAGTACCATTTATTGTGATAGCTGTCTTTTTAGAAGTCATTCTAAACAGATGACTGGTCACACTTGTGCTAGCCACCATAATTTATCCTAAAAGATACATGGTGAATTTTATAGCTGTATACATGTATTATGGTCCTAATTTTATTAAAAAAAAACTCAAGGAATGGCAGGTGAAAACTACCCCTATTAGGAAAACATCCTTCACAGTCCTCATCAGGACATGAAGGATTTAAGCATGTCTATTTGCCCTTAACTCAAAGAAAAGCCCAAGTCTAAATAGTGCAAAGTAGATGCCAAAGCAGTTTTAACCCTTTGATGCATAATGGTCACTACAGTGGACAGGTACTTAAAATTGTTATTTATTTATTTTTGCTATTAAGCACAGCTGTTGAAGACTTTGTTGCATTTGAACCCCTCCATTTGGACTTCAGTAAGTCAAGCCAACATATTTCATGTTCAGATTGCACACTGTCCACTGAGGTGGACATGTAATTAATTATTTGTAAATTACATTTTACAAAAAATATGTAAATATGAAATTTGCTTCATTCACACCTAAAGATGAATGAAAAAAATTGTTTAAAAAATCATGGTTGAAGATTTCATAATTCATGCATCAAAGGGTTAAACAAGCCACCCACATATTATCTTTTCCACTCAGTGCACCTAGAGCGCTGTGATTGGCTCCCCAAACCGACAGAGCGCTATGATTGGCATAGCACAATACTGATTGGGCCAGTGGTAGACCTGCTATGAAGCGTGGCTAGACCAACCTGAAAATAAATTAGCTTCAGCTACTGTCTGACTAGATTTCTAGGCTACTCATCTCCTTCATCTTGCCTCAATTATCTCTGGGCAACCACCCTATAACTTCCCAACCAAGTTTAAGAACTTGGATAAAATGCAAAAAGACAGCAACAAAAGTCCAGTTGCTTTCATTTCAAATTTACAAAACTAACATGTCCCGGAGAACTAAGGATCTAGACCATCACACCCTATAATACTAAGTTTGGCTTAAAAAACCAACCCTCTCTGACACAGATTCACCTTCATGTTGTGTCAAAGCTGAGGCACAGACTTTTCCATGAGAAACAAAGAAAAGAACTGTATGTATAAAATAAACATTTTTACCACAACATTTGACAGTTTTGACACGTCTTTTTTTTTACTTCCACTGTTGTATTTTGGCCACTAGATGGCACCAATCCCCAGAAACGGCCCCTTTAAGTGATATTCTACTTCTTTTTAGGGATATTACTGAAACAGCACTAATGCATCTTTATACAGGGACACCACTGCAGTAAGGAGTTCATCGTGACCCAGACTCCTCTGAGCAGCACAGTAGAAGATTTCTGGAGACTGATCTGGGAACATCAAACTAACACTGTTGTCTGTCTGCCAGATGCACCCAATCAGGTAGAATACACACACACACACAATGTGTTACGAATTACTTAGAGATGATTCTATGTAATCACACCTTTGTTGTGTTTTTATTTGCAGAGTGAAAAGCGGGACTGTTGTGTTTACTGGCCCAGTGTAGATCGGCCATTGAGTATTGATGATTTCACTGTATCATACTGTGGGGAGGAGCATGTACACCTGGGCAACGAGGAGAGACTTTTGATACAGGATTGTACAGTGAAGTCCTCTCAGGTAACACACACACACACACACACACACACACACACAGAGAGAGAGAGAGAGAATTAGTGTTTCTTCACGACCACAAACTTAATTGCTTTTACTGGATTTTATTCTAATACACCGACACAAAATAGCCCATCGTGGTTACGTGAAACCTTAAGACGCAGCAAAAGCAGAAGGCGAAGCTGGAGTCAAATGAGACAAAAGTTTTGGCCTAAATCCCAAATGAGAAGACGTTGCATCACACTGAAGGCACCAATCCCAGCACGACAGTTATTGTATCATGCTGTGGGGATGTTTTTATTCATCGGGAATCAGGAGGAAAGACAACGGCAGCACTAAATGCGCAACATGCCTGGAAGAAAACCTGTTAGTGGCTGAACAAGATCTTCCTGCAGGGCAATAACCAGAGCTAAGGTGTTACGGTTTAGATCAGAGAACAGTCACACATCTGGGGCCTGTGTTCTCCATCCAGAATGTGGTTCAGGAGTTGAAACTTTTCCCTGATAGACTTTGCTTTTCTGTTCCCTTAAAGATGGATTTTGTGTTGGTTGTGCGTCAGTTCAGCGCCCCCTGCTGGCCGAACCCAGACAGTCCCATCAGCAACAGTTTTGATCTTGTCGCCACAATCAGAGAGCACAGCAGACACGCACAAGGACCTGTAGTTGTCCATGATCCGTGAGTAGGACGCAGTAAAGCTGCTATGTGAAGACTGAATTAGCCTTGTTCCAGGTTAAATCAGTGTTTCTGTGTTTATGCAGACTAGGAGGTTCCACGTCTGGGCTGTTCTGTGCCCTCTCCTCCTTGTTCAGTCAGCTGGAGGAGGAGGGAGGAGTGGATGTGTACCTGGTGGCCCGGATGACCAACCTCATGAGGCCTGGAGTCTTTAATGACATTGTAAGTACCGACAAACATCTGAGATGGGTGGATGACTTCTCCTTTTCCATTCATGTGTATCTGGGGTTTCAAGTTTGTGTTTTCTGAGAAGTTGTAGATTTCTGGAGTCATTTTTACCAAAAGAAACATTCAATTCAGACATGAAACATGAAGCTTTTTCAGTTATTTTTAATATTTTGTATTGTTGTATATTGTATTTATATTGTTGCTCGTCAGTGAGCCAGTGAAGGATTGTTGTCATCCAGGTCCTGGTAGTCATATTGTCTTTGAAGTTGGATGGTTTAGGAGGTGAGTAGAAGACTCTTTGACAAAAGAGAAAACTCATTAAACAACAGATGTGAGGTTTCAACTCTCCAAAACTTAAGACACAGCTCTGAACCTGATCCCAGACAGTCAAACAGCAGTTCTCATGTCATGTGGACCAGCACAGCAAGGATCTCACTGACCACCAGGAAGGAGGATCAGGATTTGTAAGCTAACACTACATGTTTAAATCTTGGTATCCTTCATTATTCATTTTGAATAGCGTACTTTAAAGCAGACCAAACTGCACAAGAGCTGCTGCAACCTAATTCTAGACAAATAAGCCATTTTCACCAATTGAAAAAAACATGCAGTGTTTGTACATTGATTAAAATAAACAGAAGCAAAGCTCTAACTTTTATGCTCAGTTACTCACTACGCACAGTGCTCAAATAACAGTTTCTCTAATTACTGTCTTTAACTCAAACTTAGGTTATTTGTGTCACGACCTTTTACATTCCACCAGCCTCTGGTCAAAAGCCTTTTTCATCCATGTTTTCAAGGTTCATGATTCAAGATCTTTTTATTGTCTCCTATCTGTCGCACACACAGCCAGTTTAAGGTGCAAACATTTTTTTAAGTATAAATGTACACATGGTAATAAGACAAGTCTAAACTATAAAGTGAAATATAAAGTAGACATAATATAAATGTAAACAGTCACATGTTGGGGTATCAGGGTTAGCTAGCATAATGTAAAGGTGCTGTGGTGCACTAATTGTCCAGCTGAATCCCCGTTAGTGACCTCCACTAACCAGCCTGGTGGTGCGTGTTTTTATTGTTGAAGAGATGGTTAGCAGGGTGGGTGGAGTCCTTTAAGATGTTTGGTTTTTCTAGCAAATTGGCAGCGAGCGATGAAGATGTCATCCAGGGCAGGCAGGTGTGTGTTATGTTGTTTGGATGCTGTTTGGCCGAGACGTTGAGCTGGTCTTCTTCGTTTACACCGCTGCCTCCTGGGTAACGCCACATCTGAGAGGGTTGCACAAGTTAAACCACACTGGAAAAATGCGCTGTTCTACATAAATACTGTCATCGCTTGGCTTTGTCTGTCTCTAGCTTGGCCTGTCCTGCTGTGTCATTGTCACAGACCCTACCTGGCTCTGGAAACGGGATTAAACGTTTAAAAAATATATCTGGGTGACTAGAGTCCAATTTGCAACCTGAACTTCCTGATTTTTTATTAACATTTTTGAACATCTTTAGGAGACACAACTACAGCTGTGTGATGAGCGAAGCATCTCAGACCCGTAGGGACTCATGACAAATACCCACTTGTTTGTCCAGGGCTTCCTGCCACAATGCATTGCCGCATTACATCATGGTCTATTTTTAGCTACTTTGAAGTGCGCTATTGATAAAGGCACTCAGATGAAAGGTTTTCTGGGAATAAAGAAGTCCAGTTGGCTTTTACCTAAAATAAATGGAATGGAATAAAGTGGAAGGAGTTGAATTTATGAAGCCTTATGTTAAGCAAATTTTAACGTATAACAGACATTTAACAGCACAAATAAATGTGTATATAATCCTGTAAGTTTGTTAGGTATGTCCATCCCTGTTTCCCCCACAGGAGCAGTACCAGTACCTGTACCGAGCCGTCCTGAGCCTGGTGAGCAGTCAGGAGGACCAGAGAGCCCTGCAGAGTCCAGAGACAAATGGAACAGTACCGCTGGGACAGTCCAACATCGCAGAGAGCCTGGAGTCCCTTATGTAGACACGCACAAACGTTCACACTGTCGCACAAAGGCCCACTTTACACGTTGTGTTGGGGGGTTTAGAGGTTCACAGCGGTAAAAAGTGAACATCCTAATGCTTTAATATACAGTTTGTTCTTTACTTGTCTGATTATTTGTTCAAAATGTAACAATCCACAGGAAAACGGTCTCGTTTCTTTTAGAAACAGATTGCAGCAGCAACGTCAGTTATTTTAAATTGTGATTAATTTTGTTCACTAGTCCTGCTCACACACCTGTCAGGTTGGAGCAGAGTCGTGACTTGTTTCTTTGTGCTTTAATGTGCTCAGTTTTGGTTTTATCCACCCACGACTGTTGAAACCGTTTTTTATCTGGATCAGAGTGCACACCAGTGCACACAGAGTGATGCACACTTTCTACACGTTCAGATTCCTAAAAGCAGAAGAGCACAAGTAAAGGGCTTTCACGGAACAGACTTACAACACAGCTACAGGCCAATTTGCATCAAAGGTATGAAGCAGGTACCAGTTTCTATTATTCAAATTTAAAGGGATTCCTCCTGTGCTAAATTTATAAATCATTTTATATTTAACCCATTGTAGGTAGTTTACTGAATAATTCTGAGCTTTGAAAAGTACATGATTGATGGGCTAATGGCTAGTGTTAGTACAGCTAAGAACCAGTGAGTTTCTGCCATCCAATAACAGCTCCAATCTTCAAAACATTACAGCTTTTTCTAGTTCATGTGAACTTTCTTATAAATCCTTACATGACCGGCAGCGATGAATAAAAAAAAAACATTTCAGCAGAAAAATAGAAAAACTGATATCTGACTCGACCCCTGGATGTGCTAAAGTTGTTGTGATAGTTAATATTTGCTTATCAGTAACTATAATTTCATGAACATAGTCGTGTTATACAAAACTAACTGGTGTGAAATCTGTTTTTAGGAGACATCATTGTCTGCCATTAGCTTATCATTCCTGATGGATGCCAGATCTATTTCCCTCAACCTGAGGCTATTCTGGAAGCTATAACAAAGACAAAATGTCTCCATAATATATGGACTTCTTCAGCCCCTTATCCAGACATCAATATAAAATATAACACAGGATGTGTTCAGGCCTTCACATGGTAAAAAAAAAAGAAAATGTTGTAATTATTAAAAACCAGCAATCTAAAAAATAACATTTCTGTACTGACAGGAAGTCAAACCTCATGGTGTAAATACCTTGTTAATGTCAGCTTCAATCCTAAATGGAAAAAGAAGAAAAATAACTGTTTCCTGATCTGTAAATTATTCAATAACGAAGGTGCAGATGGTTAAAGGAACCAATAAATAAATAAATAAATAAAAACTAAATAAAGGTTTCTTCTCTTTGAATCACAGGGAAAAAGCAAAACCTATATGAAGTGATTTTCTAGCAACTCAATTAAAAAAATAACCTAAAATAACTTCTTAGAATATCCGAGGAGACACTTTTTAATTTTGACCTTCTTTACCCTTTTGTTGATTTATTTGAAATATTTTTTTGTTTTGAGTTAAATGTGGTAGAAATTGGGATAAAAGTAGAATGATTTTTATGTTTAAAAAGGACACAATAGACCTTTTTTTTTAACCATACATTGATTGAAATGCAAAGATACAACAAATCCTATTTTAGAATAATACCGATCATAGCCAACATCTTTGTTCAGACAATGTCTCACAAGCCAGTGCCTTTTGAAAACCACAACACTGTACGTTAAACCCAACCTGTGAGGTTCACAAGGAAAAAGTCTATAAGCTCAGATGTTTGATTAAAAATGCAGTTTGACATTTGAAGTAAAACTCCACAGTGAAAACTGCGGAGAAGGCAGCAAAAGTAGCAGGATCAATGCAAAAATGTCTATTTTTATATTTTCTCACTTAAATAAATATAAGGAAAATACAAAAAAACCCATCCAACATTCCAGCGAGAACGTTTACGTTTAAAGATCTTCATCTTTAAGGCCTCTGATACTGATACGACTGTTCAGAAGGTGTTCCCGTGGCTGCAGGCATGAACAGGAGCCAATATGGCGGCAGCTTCTCTCTGTAGATGTTTGCTAAATGCTGAGCATCATCAAAGAACAAACTGTGACGTAGATCTTTGCAAAGGGATTGTTCAGATCTTTGTAGGCATGGTTCTGTGCAGAAAATATGGACTAGCCTCAGCTAGGAGAAATGCCACTGCACTGATGAGCTAATGGCTACGCTAGAGTGGCCAGCTGTCCTTTAATATAGGAATTCATCCTGAATGTGAAACTAAAATGACACCATTGTTATTACATCAATAATTGTTCCATAGTTTTAAGAGTGATGGATGATGGTTGCTAATTAAGCTGCTATAGAGCAGGGGTCTCCAACCTTTTTTAGCCTGTGAGCTAAATGATACCGCCATACGATTTATTCACATTGATACTTTCCGTGTGTGGGGATATGCTTATTGTGTTAAAAATAGAATACTTACTATATTAACATGCATTGTATTCACAAGTTGATTTCTCAGTTTTTCAATACACCAATATTATAAAAAAGTGCAAGGAAAATAGTGACATTCTGAAAATCGAACTAAACTCAACATTTTGTTTAACCAATAATTTCAGATATTGAAATACATTTTAATGTAATGACATTATTTCAGAATGTCAGTAACATAACTTGTTGAGCACACAGGAGGAGCAGCTAACGTGTTCCTGTTCACCACCTGAACCTGTGCCGTCCTGCCTGGAGCCTTAAGCAGCAATGTCAGTTTTTCATAGTGTTCAGCCATTTGGTCATAAATGAACAAATACTTCTAAAAACAATAGAATGCCATTTAAAGAACATTTAATGTTCTTTAAATGGCATTTAATACAACACCTTTAAAGTGTTTGTGTTGGGTTTATTTTTTTCCAAATGTGCAACACAACAATCCTCATAAAATGAACAAAGCTGAAGATATTTTAAATAAAATACTAGCCAAATGTGATTAAAACACAAAAATCGAAAATAGTTTGAACTGAAGTAAAAAAAAAATAATAATAATAAAAAAAAAGCGAAACAGAAATACAATTTTTTCCTGTGTTCCTGATTAATTGAATAATTTAATGGGTTTTTGCTCATGGAAGTTAAGTTTTGCTTCAACAACTGCGGGTAAAATGATGCTTTACTGCGTTTTTGGTTGGCAATATTAAATTAAGGTTGGGGGTTTATCATGTTAGATTTTCTGTGATGTAAAATTTTATGAAGCAGTGTTCACAAACATGAGAGCTTTTTGAGGTTGGGATAGTTTTACAACAACAGCAAGTTCTTTTAGTTGGTCTCCAGTTCAAATGAACAATCAGCTCCTGATTTGTTCAGAATGAATCGTTTCGTCCTCACAGACCTTTGAGACCACAACTGGGAAGTTTGACGTTTTGTGAAACAAGTGGAGAATATAATAAGGAATATATAGGGATCAGGTCTCGCAGATGATGTGGTCCTGTTGGCATGGACGTAATTTGGGGGGGGAGACATGCCCCCCCCCCCACTTTGAGCTCTAGGACCAAGTAGAAATGTCTGTGTTGAAGCCTGTTTCCCATTAGAACATACTGTAAAGAGACACCCCCCCCCCTCCCCCCCATCTAAAGTAAAAATTACATCCATGCCTGTTGGCTTCATCAGAACATGATCTCCAGGTTTCACTGGAGCAGTTTGCAGTCGATTGTGAAACAGCTGGGATGAGAATCAGCTCCTTTAAATCTGAGATTGTGGTGTCGAATCGGAAAAGGGTAGAATGTCTTCTCTGAGTCAGGGGCGGGGTCTTGCCCCAAGTGGAGGAATTTAAGTATCTCGGGGTCTTGTTCATGAGTGAGGGACTAATGAATCAGGAGATCGATACGCGGATTGGTGCTTCGTCTGCAGTGATGCAGGTGTTGAACCGGTCTGTCGTGGTGAAGAGAGAGCTGAGCCAGAAGGCAAAGCTCACCTATGGTCACGAGCTTTGGGTAGTGACTGAAAGAACAAGATCGCGTATACAAGCGGCTTTAATTAGTTTTCTCCACAGGATGGCTGGGCTCTCCATTAGAGATAGTATGAAAAGCTTTGACATCAAGGAGCTGTTCAGAGTAGACCTAATGCTCCTCCACATCGAGAGGAGCCAGTTGAGGTGGGAGTTAGGATGCCGCCTAGATGCCTCCATGGTGAGGTTTTCTGTCCAAGCAGGAGGGGAACTAAAGAAAGACCCAGGACACGCTGGAGGGACCCTGTCTCTCGGCTGGCCAAGGAACGCCTCTGGATTCCCCCGGAGGTCCTCCAGTTTAAACAAACTTGACCGTTTAGGTTAGCTGTTAGGGTAAAAATTGGTCTTATTTTTGTGCTTGATTTGAACGTACCTCCAATGAAACAAACACATTTCTAGTTTTGTTTGTTTTGGTTTTTTGTCACCTGCACAGAAGGAATAGCGATCTGAACTATCCCTTTGACTGGTATAACACTTATCTTTGTAAATAGCCCTGTATACTCTAAAGGCCAAATTACTGTATGTTTATACTGTACCTCTATATATTTTCTATTTTACTATGAAAGCCATTTTTCTAGTCATTTACAAATAAATAAATGTGGATTCTATTTGGTAAAATTACCGTAACCTGAAAATCATGATCATGAGTAGTTTTAACAAATTGTTCTGGAAAATCTTTTTATCTGATTTCTGTAGCAGCTTCATGTCTGTACTGAAGAAGTGTAAATGTAAAACAAGATTAAAGATTTGTTTCAAAGCCCTTTTTCTTTTTATTTGAGCAGTTTTAGATTCAGAACCATATGATGGTATTGGTGTATTAATGTCACTTAATGATTAAAGTAAAAAGCTGACATAAAATGTCTTGTTATTTAAACTTCCTCTAAAGTATGAAGTAATCATAGGTCAAACGTTAGATGATTTTATTTAATGTAAAGAAGTTAATATACGCTCATAATCTTGACTTCCCTCCACGCAGGGTCGGGGGGGCTGGCGCCTATCTCCAGCGGTCTCCGGGCAAACAGGCAGGGGACACCTTTGATAGGTTGCCAGTCCAACACAGAGACACACAGGACAACCAATCATGCATGCACACAATAACACCTAAGGCCAACTTAGAGGGACCAATCATGTATTTTGGACTGTGGGAGGAAGCTGGAGCATCTGGAGAAAACCCACGCATGAAAAGGGGGAACATGCAAACTTCTTGCAGAAAGGAGGGTGGGATTTGAACCCAGGACCTTCTTGCTGTAAGGCAACAGCACTAATACTGTGCCACAGTGCTTGAAGTTAGCATTTCATATGAACACAGGTGGGCTTTGAACCCAGGTCTGCTGTGTGGAAGACTACACTGGACAAACAGGCTGAATTGCACCATTTAGACTTATTTCTCTAAATAGGATTTAGATATTTTTGAATCAACATTTTAATTTTATTCTGGAAACAAAGTTTAATGTTGTCTGAAATTTTTTTTAATCATTTATTTTCCAATAAATATTAAGCTTATTCCGGAAATAATTAATATTGGAATGAATTCAACAATTTAACTTTATGTTGGAGGTATTGTTTTTTTTTTTTTACTTTTCCTTAAGTTTTTTACTTTATTTATCTGGAAAAAAACACGTTGAATTTTGTATTCGTATTATTTCCTTTAATTTGATTTCATTCTGGAAATTCGATCTTCTCATCTTCGACATTTCAGTATCTCAACCTTTTTCTTAAGTTTTAGGATTTTTTTTCTCATTGTTTAGTTTTTTTCTGGAAAAAATATCTTGGCTTCTTATGACATTTCAAAAAATTTCTAAGATTCTGACTTTATTATGTAAATTATATTTTGTATTTTTTCCTTAAAATCTTCACCTTTTTCTTTACATTTTAACTTTTCCCCAGAATTAGTACTTTAATTGTTGACATTTAATCTTGTTTTTCTCTATGTAGCGTGATGAATTGTCCATCTTTGACCCAAAGGCCCTGCTCTATTTGCTCTGCCCAAGCAGAAACATAAGTTTCTGACACAAGCCTAATCTACAAGACATGGGCCAAGGCCACTCATGCTCTGTGCTCTTATCTAAACTGTTGCTTCCCCGGACAGCACAAGAAAGAAGAACTCTTTTAGAAACAGAACTATTTCTCTATTAAATAATAATCATGTGAAGCTAATGTTCAATCAGTCTGTGAAAAGAGAATATTAATTACTTCATATTATAATCCTATGATAATATTTTAATAAGTAGTATAACTTTAAACAAGACACTAGACTGATCACACGTAATGTTAAAAATCACATGACACATTTCCTTTTTCTGATCCAATCGGAACTTTCCAGATCTGACGTGAGGCGTGGTCTTGTTGGTGCTTGTTAAATCCCCTTCTGTTGGCAAATTCTGATTCGACAGTAAATCAAAACATCCAAATTATAAAACTATGCCACACATCATCTTAACTTATGTTCAAAGTGTTCTAGAGAAGTTATCGGAGTGGCCAATCTGTAACTTGCCTCTTAAAGCCGAAAGAACCTAATGACAAGCTGGATTAAATCTGTTGCATGTTCCACCTGCTGCAACGGTTCCTTCAGAATAAAAGCTGAACCATCACGACCCCCTCAGGGTCTCGCTGATGCCAATAAACTGTCGTGACCTGGGAGTAACTCAAGACTGGAAGGGTCGGCAACTGCTGCATATCTACAGGCGTCGGTTCCAAAAGGGTCCAAGCTGGACCCCCGACATTCCGGATCTAAACAGAGACTTCCGTTGGGGTACGTAGACCGACAGATGGCGTCTCAATGTGTGTTATAATCTCCAAACCAAAGCTTAGAGCGAAACACCATTTCATTCCCACGCAGAACTAATAGTCTCTCCGGATTTGCAGGTTCTGAACATATTTCACACACACACACATCAACCTCAGTCTTACTCCACCTTAGTTCATCATCGCATAGTGTTTAAAGTTAATCTTGTTTAATTTGTTTAGAAAAAATCTTAACTTTTTAAACCTGACTCTCTCTCTTTCTTGGAGTTGATACGAAGTGTTGCTCAATCCCTGCAATAAAAAGAGCCGATCTTCTTGTTAAATTTACTCAAAGATCCATTAAGGTGATATTTCATATTTTATGATATTTCACATTCTATGGTTTCTAATTAAATGTAAGAACATCTTCTCTACATCTACATTTTCACTTTAATGTTTCTGAACTATCTTCTGAGTAGCTTTGATACACTGTTGTAGAAAGACCTAATTCTAAGGCCGGTTTCACAGATGCGGTCCAGTTTCCGCGCGGCTTTCAGATGAACTGTCATTCACAGTGGTGGTTCTTGTGCTGAACGTCCTCAGATATCTCCTCCCTCATGAGCACCAAATGAACAGAAATTTGACATAAGACCTTTAAAGATATAACTGTAAAAATAAAGTTAACCATCAAACACTGTGAATTATTATACTGTCATTAAAACAAAACAAAAGCTGTAGAAAATAATGTAAAATGGGGTTTAAAGTTAAAAGTCCCACTGTCCCCCGTTTACACTGAAACAGGATCCTCTGGAGGTTTCTTCCTGTTAAAAGGGAGTTTTCCTCTCCACTGTTGCTACGTGCTTGCTTATATGAGGATTGTTGTAAAGACTCTGACACTAGTCAGTGACTTGATGTAATTAGCTGGGTTCCTTATATAGGAAACATTTTTACTGATTGGCTTGATGACCTGATCTGTGTTGGAATGTATACTGAGTGAAGTACATTGAGACGACTCTTGTCGTGATTTGGCGCTATATAAATGAACTTGAATTGAATTGAACTAGTTGCCACATTGGTGTGTGAAATTTGTTCTCCGCATTTGAGATGCAGGGGATGGCCCTAGGGCAGCGGTGAGCTGCACACACAACTGCGCTCAGCAGAGGTGGAAAGTAATGAATTACATTTACTTGCGTTACTGTAATTGAGTAGATTTTTTTTGCGCATTTATACTTTTTAAGTAGTTTTTGAAATCTGTAATTTTACTTTAACTTAAGTATTGTTTTTTTTTTGTAAGTATTGTACTTCGCTACATTGTTATTATCTTATATGTTACAGAGTAAAAAAAAAACAACATTGCAAAATACTGTGTCGGCACGGTTCGCACTGGATTCAGACATTCAGACACAACCACAGAGAAGAGAGACGAGAGTATTAACATATACACATGTAGAAGCGTCTTAACGTACTCGAGGAGTAAGGTCTAGCTTGTACTCGAGAGTGATCCAGCGCTTAGTTTAGTTTAGTTTTATTTGTCATATGCAAGTTGGCACAGGGTCAACATTGCAAGGAAATGTGGTTGACGAGCAGCGGTCTCTCAGCAGCATAATACGATAGAAAAAAGAAGGTGGTATAATACAGTAAAAGCAAAATATTAGAGAGTCATGCTAAAAGTAAAAGCTTACTAAATGGATAAGTAAGTATAGATGACTAAATATAAATATATCTATATACATAGACACTTCATTCTTAATGAAGTGTCTATGTATATATAAGTCTATACTGGTAAGACCAAACACGGAAGTGCTGTGGACGCTGAAGGCGCGCACCAGAACTGGTGCTTCAACGGGTGAGTTGAACTTCTTAGTGTGAAGCATGTGTTCAGTGACCTTACAGTGCAATGAATGGTGGGTAGAAGAAAATAGGCGCTAATGGTACGAGAAAGATAGCCTGGCCTGCCAGACTCCTGTTTAATTCACGTCATATACGGCGATGCTCAATTTCTCATAAACAACGAAGACAGTGGCGGAGTTCGCTGCGGCTCTTTCCTCTGTTCTAAATGACACAGATGTCTTTAGAACCACAAGTAGAAGCGCTAAAAGCATTTCTTCTAAAAAATAAAAGATGTTTGCGCCATTGCCAGACGCTATTTTGTTTACTACAACTAGAAATCTACCGCGTCATGTGGTACAGTCGGGATTTCCTTCTTTTTTCTGATTGGTCATTTTTGAGCTTCCTAGTCCCGCCCCTCAAGTGATCTTCCAGCTAAAAGAAAAACTCAGCAGACTGGAGACTGTCTCCAAGATGTGTCTGCCACTCTTCAGAGCCATTCAGGATGTGGAAGACCCTGAGCTGACTGCTGCTGCAATCCTTCTTCCAAAGTTCAAGACCACCTGGACTGAGAGGCACAATATCATTGAAGCAGGTAATTTTTTATAATTTAATATCATACCTTAATCTGTTTCTTACTCATTTCAATCCTGTCAACATACTTAAAGTTCAATTATACGAGTCTGTCGACACAAATGATAGTATTTGAAAGGTATGTATTACTAAAAACAATTCTTGTTGCATCTTCTATCAACTTAATTGCCAGATATATTAAATATGTGTTATGTATTTGCCATTCAACAGGTTTGATCAATATGAGAAGACACCTTGACCAGATGGCAGAGGCTGGGGTGGAGCAAGTCAAGCAACAGTCATCAGATGAAGAAGACTTATTTTCGTCAATGAAGTCCAAAAGGCCACAAGGTACAGGGGAGCTGGATGGGTACCTTGCTTGTGTCTCTCAGAGAAGATGGATCTGCTTAACTCATTTCCACACATTAAGAAACTTTCTGTGAAACTTCACACTGGCCTGCCTGCCTCAGCTGCCTGTGAGCGCCTCTTCAGCTGTGCTGGACTACTGTTCACTGCAAAGCGAGCAAGGGTGAGCTCTGTCAACTTTGAAAATCAGCTGCTACGCAAACTGAACAAGAATTTCAAGGAGTAATACTCTATGATGAAAAAAAAGGAAAATTATTCTAGATGTACGGTAGGGCAAGGCCAACAAAAACATTCTTGTTGCAACTGCTAAATGGTTCAGTTTAAAACATATAGGGTTAATTTCACTTGTGCTCTGTTTGTTGACAGGTTAGAGCACAGCATTTGGGGGAGGGGGTCATTCAGGGATAAGTCATGGGCTTGCGACTTTAACCTAATTTAAGTTACTAGTTTGCAGTGTAACTGCCTTTGTTCTTCAATATGCATATTTGTTCATTTAATAAAAAAATGGCCACTTTGAGATTTATACCCCATTCTTTTTTTTTTTACTATTCAAAAGAGCCCGTCCTTGCAGTCAAAAAAGTAACTAAGTAACTTTTACTCTGACTACATTTGAAATACCGTAAATCCTCTAATACAGGCCCGGGCCTGTATTTGACTCAAGCTCATCAAGCTCCAGACCTTTATTGGAAAGAGGGCCAGTATTAGAGGTAGGCCTCTATTTCTATTTGAGCAAAATGAACAAATGGTTCGCTGGAGTTTTTGACAATTAAAATTGCGCCCACATTTTCAAAGTTAAACACATTTCTTTTAACAACGGTAGTTTCTGCTTCAGCCCTCTCCCCCCTCCTCCTGCGCAGCGGCCGCAAACTCACTGCAGCCTTTCAGTGCTGCTCTAAACATTAAAATAATTATTTCATTTTCTGTTACTCACTTCTGATTACCTTCAATGGTGTCTGTTTGTTGCAACCACCAGGTACAAAAACTAACTTGTTTTTATTTGACTATTTTTCTGTCCTGCCTGTTTATTATCTTCCTGCATCTCCTCTCAATCCTAAAGAAAAACTGCTACCTGGGTTCATATATATTCACCTTATGAGTTACCTTTGAACTGCAGTTCTAAAAGATCTACCGACCACAAAAACAGCGGAGCGCTCGCTGCTTGGCGGCCACATCAGTGATCGGTGCGTCACCGGAGGACAAGGTGATGCGCCCCGCTCCACAGCGAAACGCATCAGGCACAAATAAAAGACAGAAAACATTAAAGGAAATGAACCGACACGAACGATCGCGTGTTAAATTCGTTTTTGAGGTGGCGACACCTGATTGTTACTGTGGCCGTGCTCAGGAGGCAGATCTACCGACCGCAAGAACAGCGGAGTGCTCCCTGCTTGGCGGCCGCATCAGTGATCGGTGCGTCGGAGGACAAGGTGATGCGCCCCGCTCCACAGCAGCAAAACACATCAGGCGCAAATAAAAGACAGAAAACATTAAAGGAAATGAACCAACATGAACGATCGCGTGTCAGTACCGACGCTCTGGCACAGCGCGTCGCGCCCCCCCCCCCCCAGCGCAGGAGCTTGTCACCTGCTGACAGCAGGCTGCTGTCTTTTCTGAGGGCTGCATTGCCGGTCATTATCATGTGACAGAGACTAGTCGATGACGGGCATAAAAAGTCAATATAGTGAAGTCGACTAGTCCATACAACCCCTACTACTGCTCCCCAGAGTGTTCTGCAGCATAATCAGCACGTTCTCTTTGAACTTGATATCAAATTTTCACCTCCTCTTCATCTCCGCACGGTTAAAGTTACCCTCGCGGTCTATCACTGGCAAATCAAAAGTGAGACGATGACATAACCGCCCCCCGTACTTGCTTGTTACCACATTCCACCCGGCCACAATAAGAGACCGGCCATTATTCACCTCCGCCGACTCCGACCAAAATTGGAGACCCGGCCTTTAATTGAATACCGGCCTGTATTAGAGGATTTACGGTAAGCTACTTTTTACTTTTACTTGAGTACATTTTGAGGCAGGTACTTTTACTTGTAATTGAGTAAAATTTCATGAAAGTAATTATACTTGTACTTAAGTACAACATTTTAGTACTCTTTCCACCTCTGGCGCTCAGGAGCCATTTGGTGGTGATGATCTAGAAATATACCAGATGCACCTTGCTGAAACATGTTTCACTTCCTGTCTGGCTCCTGTAACTTCCTTAACTTCATGACAATCTGCATGAAGCGTCTGGAGAAAAATAGACTCCATGCAGAATTTTTCAGGAGCTCCGCATCCAATTCCAAACCGCAGTCGGCATGAATGTTCTGATTGGACACAATGTTTGATCTGGAAGCCGTATGGAAACCGGATCACATCCGTTTCACATTCAGTGTGAAAGAGGCTGTAAAAAAGTGCAGACTCAGGACATGAATGGGCATACAATTATATGCTTTTATTTGAAAATTTCAATACAATATATGGCAGTGACTCCCCTGATTGACCTGTACATGACATCAAAGCAAAAATAGCCAAATAATCCACAGCACAACCACCAAATGTTAACTTTTGATCAAACCAAATATATATATATATATATATATATATATATATATATATATATATATATATGTCAGTATACTGTAGCAGTCACAGAAAATAAAGTGTATATAGTGCATTAAGAATAAACCTCGTTACTCAGTTGGAACATTAACTGTTTTTATTCGTTACCAGGATCAGGTGATTTTACTAAACCTGGTTTCCTCTGATTGGTTCATTTACAAAAGCACTGGATGTTTAAGCATGGTCATTATTAGAAGTAATATCACTTTTACTAGACCCTTCATTTTGTTTTCGGCCCTGAATGACACCTTTTAGGTTGTTTTGTACCTTTGTAATTTCCCTGTAATAATCAGGCTGGTGGCAAGTGACAAAAAGCTTCCATATTACAATATTTAACAATACTCTGATATGTTTTTCTAAATAAGATTAAATGCTCTACACACAGGATAAATCTATTATTAACTATCGATGGGCTTGAACTTTAAAGGGACAAACGTAAAAAAATAATTTCCATTAGAGCAAAGATGCTTTAATATTTGCAAAAAAATCTTCCTACAGCTCATTTGTCACTTGTTGAAGAACAATCTAGAACTTCTAGACATTTTGCAGCAAAGCTGTTTTTTATGTTGTTTTTTTTGTGTGTAACTTGTAAAAAATTTGCATTTGCTAAAGTAGAAGTCCAGTCATTCCTACATGACACTTCACAGTTTCTAACATAGTTGTAATAATTGATTACAGATTTTTACGCACTTTTCCATTAAGTTGGATAAAGCAAGAAGCTAACAGAATGCTAAAACTGAATATGTTTATATTGAAATAATAGGAATGCTCTCTATAAGGTACAGAGAAACTTGATACACACTGATTTACTTGTTTTCCCCTTGAATTAAAACTTAATCTTGAAATGTTTTGTGACGAGTCATGTAAAACAACATATGGTTGGTTTTTGTTTTCTGGTTTTAAAGAGGTCCACCAATGGAGACAAAAATAGCAGGTAACTAAGCGTCAATGTCGTTATTATCAAATAGAATCACACATTTTTTGTAATGCTAACTTATGACTTTGAAACATAAGTTTCTCGTGAGGTTTTTATTTTTTTCAGTGGCAGTATTGGGCTTCCATACCACATATAGAAACAGGAGTGAGAACTGAATAATGATCTATCTGTTGTGGAGATTTAATGTGAGACACCTCAAATAAAGCTGGGAGTGACATGGATCTTCATAAACACCCTTTCTGTGCTAATTTATTTTTATTTCTACACAAAGACACCAAAATAAAAGCATCATGGCACACACAGAAGAGTTAAAATAGATTAATACATTTTGTATTAATATTAGCTAAAGCTTTCAAGTAGAAAGCATCTTTGGATATACTTCCAACAGGGAATCCAACCTCTATTTCCTCCTCCAAAATAAAAGCTTCAGGCAAAAAAATAAAATAAAAGTTTGGTGTTTATCCACTAAGTAAGTGAATACTATGTGATCTAAGTTATAACTGATTATTCATATACTCTTGTGCAATAACACTGAGTCCAAATACAAGTAATACAGGTAGGAAAATAAAATGTTCATATTGTATAAGATTTAAAACGTAGCCATACTTTTAGGTTAAACTGCTACAGCACCACAACCTCTACTGGTTTCAAGCATAAAATGGATCTTATATCTTTCACATTGCTGAGGAAAGATGAATGCATAAAAAAAACCTGTTGTTGAACTTTTGTTTGGAAGAAAGTCCTCTCTGATAGGAGACACTATACCGCTCTGTTCGACTGCAAACTACTGCTTTAGGAGCTAAGCTTGTTTTTACTAAAGTTTTGTGATTTACTCGCAGAAGTTTGTGCTGTGTCTATGATTTCTGATCATATGTGAGGGGGTCAGTGTGTGTGTTATCCTACAGTCCCTCCGCTGTTCTGTCCTTTGTGTAGCCTTAAGTTCCTTGGGAGCCCTGTTGGATAAAAAAGAGAGAGCAAAAACATTAATCTCAAGGAGAGGCTGTGTTTGGTTAATATAGAAATCACAAGCACTGAATACTCACTGAGTTGATAAACATTTACCAGAGTTCACATTTGAAGAAGAATACAGATTTATGCCAGCCAGAGGCTGAGTTATGCTGTTCTGTGGTGATTAAAACCACTTTTATCGTCCTAGACTCAATATAGACAACCATAAATGTTTTTAGGCTCGTTAAGAATAAGAAATATATAAAAATAATAGATTTTTTAACAATCGGACATGAGTTACAAACACTACTAATTAACCTTATTTTATATTTGATCCGTCACTTTGAGTAAACACAGACAAACAGCTCTGTTATAAAAGCAGAAAAAAGTAGCTGTAAAATTTTTTTATCAAAAGCTTTGATGGTTGTAAAAGAAAAATATCTTTGGATGTCACAACACAGAGGATGTTGGGTCATAATAAAAGAGGTGTACATCATATGGCTGTGGTGTGTTTTGCCCTTAATCTGCCATCTTTACTCGCGTTGACTTTAAAAATCTCAAGAAATGCGAGTTTGACCTTTAGATGGACAGGAAGTGCATGTCATGGTAAACATGACAAAATAAGAGTATGCCTGCAAAGCAGAATGTGACTAAATAATTTTATGAATCAGTTTTTTTATTGTTAATTTGTTTTTAATGATCATTTGGAGCCAAAAATAGAAATTAAAAATTTATTTAACTGAATTTATTAGAACCCATTTTTTAAAAATATGTTTCTCAGTAATTATTAGGTCACAGCATTCAACAAGTTTTAACTAACAGCCACTCTGTCCCAACAGGTGTCCTCTGATAAGGCCTGGGAGTCGTGACGCGTGCTTACAGAGTTGTTTCTTTTGCGCTTCCAGCAGTCAGGGTTGAGCCTCTTCTGCTCATCGGCGAGAGCTCTGGCCTGCAGAATGAAAACTTGACGGTCCTCGCTTCGCAGTTTCTTCCACTGCTCTCCGAGAAGGACGCTGATGGCTCTGCAACACACACACTTATTACAACACACACAGATGGGATGGATCTCATCAGAGAGACAGGGGACACGCACCTGTTGTCTTTGCCTGGATACATCTGTGTGTATTCCACTCTAAACCTTTTGGCAAAGAGCATGAAGGCATTCATTGGCCGCTTGCATTTAGTGGGCGGGGCACTGGTTCCTCCTTTGACACACTGTTTTTTTGTTGTCTTTTGATGTTTGAGGTGGCTGGGACTGTGGCAGTCTGCAGGTTCAAATTACAACACAGGAAGATCCCTTTCATTAAAGCGCATGTGTTACACCCCCCAGCTTCCTTAGAAAACCTCTGTGCATCTATCATTCAGCAAAATTCATGTTATTCCAGCTTTACTTGATTTATTAAACACAAGACCTTGTACAGTGTCTCTGTCTGGAGAAACAGCGCCCCCGCTGGACTGAGAGGCACGACGACGTCTAGCCATGCTGCTCAACACGTACACAGCAGACGAGTCCAGGGGAGTAAAGTCGTAACTGGAAAAGTCAGAGACAGTTTATTCACAGAGGAATCCAACTCAAAAACAAACACAGCTGATGAGGTTTAAATGTTCCGCTCTTTTCAGGATTAAATTCAAACAGGAAAAACAATCCTAGTTTTCTTGTCCGGGGATTGGACCGCCAAGGCTCCCGCCTTGGTCTGCCACCCGATTCGCATTGCACCGGACCCTTCATGTTCCTCCTGCGGGTGGTGGGTCCACAGTTGGACGAGCCCATGTATCCGGTTCGGGCTGGGCCCGGCCGGGCCCCATGGGCGAAAGCCCGGCCACCAGGCGCTCGCTCACGGGCCCCAACCCCAGGCCTGGCTCCAGGGTGGGACCCCGGTAACCCTCCGGGCCGGGTACTCCGACTCTTCGTTTTAACCGCCATGAAAGATCCTTCGAACCGTTCTTTGTCTCACCCTTCACCTAAGACCAATTTGTCATGGGAGACCCTACCAGGGGCACTAAGTGCCCCAGACAACATAGCTCCTAGGATCATTAGGGCACTCAAACTCCTCCACCACGATAAGGTGACGGTTCAAGGAGGTCGATGATAGATTTTGTAGTCGTATCATCTGACCTGCGGCCGTATGTTTTGGACACCCGAGTGAAGAGAGGGGCGGAGCTGTCAACTGATCACCACCTGGTGGTGAGTCGGATCAGATGGCAAGGGAACATGCCGCGTAGACCTGGCAGACCCAAACGCATAGTGAGGGTCTGCTGGGAACGCCTGGCAGAAAAACCTGTCAAGACGGTCTTCAACTCCCACCTCCGGCAGAGCTTTGACCACGTCCCGAGAGCAGTGGGGGACATTGAGTCCGAGTGGGCCTTGTTCCACTCTGCGATTGTCGAGGCGGCTGTTGCTAGCTGTGGTCGTAAGGTGGCCGGTGCCAGTCGTGGTGGCAACCCCCGTACCCGCTGGTGGACACCAGAGGTTCGGGGAGCCGTCAGGCTGAAGAAGGAGGCCTACAGGGCGTGGCTGGTCTGTGGGTCTCCGGAGGCAGCAGACAGGTACCGGATAGCCAAGCGGGGTGCAGCAGTGGCAGTTGCCGAGGCAAAATCTCGGGCGTGGGAGGAGTTTGGTGAGGCCATGGAGAAAGACTATCGATCGGCTCCAAAGAGGTTCTGGCAAACTGTCCGGCGCCTCAGGAGAGGAAGGCAGCAACTCGCTCACACTGTTTACAGTGGGGATGGGGAGCTGCTGACGTCAACTGAGGCTATAGTCGGACGGTGGAAGGAATACTTTGAGGAGCTCCTCAATCCCACCAATGCGCATTCCGAGGAGGAACCAGAGCTGGGAGGCCTGGGGATGGACTGTCCGATCTCGGGGGCAGAAGTTGCTGAGGTAGTCAAACAACTACACAGCGGCGGAGCCCCGGGGGTGGATGAGGTTCGTCCTGGGTATCTCAAGGCTATGGATGTTGTAGGGCTGTCATGGTTGACTCGTCTCTACAACATTGCGTGGTCATCGGGGGCAGTTCCTAGGGAGTGGCAGACCGGGGTGGTGGTCCCCATCTTTAAGAAGGGTGACCTGAGGGTGTGTTCCAACTATAGGGGGATCACACTCCTCAGCCTCCCTGGAAAGGTCTACTCCAAGGTACTGGAGAGGAGGGTCCGATCGATAGTTGAATCTCAGATAGAGGAGGAGCAATGTGGTTTTCGTCCTGGCCGTGGAACTGTGGACCAGCTCTATACCCTTGCAAGGGTGATGTAGGGGGCATGGGAGTTTGCCCAACCAATCCACATGTGCTTTGTGGATTTGGAGAAGGCTTATGACCGTGTCCCCAGGGGCACCCTGTGGGGGACGCTCCAGGAGTATGGGGTGGGTGGCTTTCTGCTAAGGGCCATTCAGTCCCTTTACCAGAGGAGCGTGAGTTTGGTCCGCATAGCCGGTAGTAAGTCGGACCTGTTCCCAGTGAGGGTTGGACTCCGCCAGGGCTGCCCTTTGTCACCGGTTCTGTTCATCACTTTTATGGACAGAATTTCTAGACGCAGCCGTGGTGTGGAGTGTGTCGAGTTTGGTGGCAGGAGAATCTCGTCTCTGCTTTTTGCGGATGATGTGGTCCTCCTAGCTTCATCCAGCTCTGACCTTCAGCTCTTGCTGGGTAGGTTCGCGGCCGAATGTGAAGCGGCTGGGATGAGGATCAGCACCTCCAAATCTGAGACCATGGTTCTCGACCGGAAAAGGGTGGCTTGCCACCTCCGGGTCGGGGGAGAGGTCCTACCTCAAGTGGAGGAGTTTAAGTATCTCGGGGTCTTGTTCACGAGTGAGGGTAGGAGGGATCGGGAGATCGACAGGCGGATTGGTTCGGCGTCTGCAGTGATGCGGACGCTGAGCCGATCTGTCGTGGGGAAGAGGGAGCTGAGCCAGAAAGCCAGGCTCTCGATTTACCAGTCGATCTACGTCCCAATCCTCACCTATGGTCATGAGCTTTGGGTAATGACCGAAAGAACGTGATCGCGGATACAAGCGGCCGAAATGAGTTTCCTCCGTAGGGTGGCCGGGCTCAGCCTTAGAGATAGGGTGAGGAGCTCGGACATTCGGGAGGGACTCGGAGTAGAACCGCTGCTCCTCCGGATCGAAAGGAGCCAGTTTAGGTGGTTTTGGCATCTGGTCAGGATGCCTCCTGGACGCCTCCCCGGGGAGGTGTTTCGGGCATGTCCTGCCGGCAGAAAGCCCCCGGGTCGACCCAGGACACGTTGGAGAGGTTACATCTCCAATCTGGTCCGGGAACGCCTTGGGGTCCTGCCGGAGGAGCTGGTGGACAAGGCCGGGGAGAGGACGGCCTGGAGCTCCCTAATTGGGATGCTGCCCCCGCGACCCGGACCCGGATAAGCGGAGGAAGACGAAGACGAAGACGAAAACAATCCTTGTTGATTCGAACAAACCATTAAACCATCATCAGCTTAACACTGCACACACCTCTTAAACGTGTCGAAGACCAGTGAATCATCCGTATGTTTAGCATCTCTGTGTCCGGGAGGCAGGCACGTGTCTCCTACTTCCATTTCATAGCACGGTATCCCAAAATGCACCACAGTCAAGCTGGGGTTAAATGACGACCATCCTAATGGAAAAAGAGGAAGCGATGTAGAGCGAGGATGGTACGATGAGCCTCGTCTCCTCAGTCACGTTTCCTTACCTTTGGTTTTCACGTAGAAGGGATGGTCCAGCTGACACCGTGCTGTGACAGGGGTGTGTCCAAATGCACCGGGGTCAAAGGTCAGCTGCAGAACAGCCTGACCAGATGACACTGTCTCCTCATGCTCCACCAGCTGCAGACCCTCGGATCCATAACTCTGCACAACAGATTGTTTATTTTAATATCAGCATGTTAAAGACTGAACTGAATTTATTTTGTTTTGAGCCACTGACAGGAACAGAAAGCTGAAGGTCATGTTTACCTTCAGAAATCTTGACAGCTCTTCATCAGCACTGTCTTCGTTGGACTCCAAGTCCTCCACATCTTGCCATGCCATGCGTGAGCCACAGTGAAAACGCAGGTGAGTTCCTGATGATGAAGAATGGAGAACAGCAGAGAGAATAAAGAGCCATCTCTCAGTATGCGTACTTGTGAAATGTCATCAACGTTGGCCTAATTACTCTTCCAATCGTATCATGGCAAGCACTCTTAAGGTTCCCGGATGTGTTCCTGCTTGCCAAGTTGAGTACAGCCATTGTTTTACTTTGCCAGGAGACAGCCAGTACATATGGTAAATAGGTTTTTCAGAGCTGATACTCTGAGGCAGATATAGAAATGTTGTTTTTAAAGTGGCAAAGGTGAGTTCCACTGAGGAGAAAATATAACAAATCTTATTTTGCAAGTATCAGAGGTTCAAAGCTTCTTCATGATGTTTTACATTCTAGGTGGCCATCACAGTTTTAATGGGAAAGCAAACTTCAGAGTCTTTAAAGAGCAAGTCACCCCCAAATCAACTTTTTTTTTTTGCTGATAAACTACATAAATGAGTGTCTAATTGTGCTGCAGACACATGTAGTCAACAATTTGGCACTTCAGTGCATCTTAGTTAAAATTTAAATATTCTGCCTAAAACTGTCAGTGTTGTGCTGTTCTCAGGTAAAAACTCTGTACTGCATTTGAATTTAAATCTGCTATCACTATTGGCTAAGAGGAACACTATGACGTTAGCTGGTGCATTATGATGTCATAATGTCGTTGTGAGCCTTTGTGTGTATTTGTTAGCGGCTCAGTCCTCTCGGTCTGCCAGGCAACAGCATTTGTTACATTTTTCAAACAGGAAGTGGTGGTGGAAGAAAGAAGAAACTTACTTCACTCCTTCTTCATGTTTGAAAAATGTAACAAATGCTGTTGCCTGGCAGACCGAGAGGGCAGAGCCGCTAACAAATACACACACACACAGGCTCACAACGGCATTGTGACATCATAAGGACCAGTTTACATCATAGCATACCTCTCAGCCAATAGCGGTGGCAGATTTAAATTCTAATGCAGTGCAGAGTTTTTACCTGAGAACAGCACAACACTGACAGTTTTAGGCAGAAAATTACAATTTTAACTAAAATGCACTAAAGTACAAAACTATTAACTACACGTGTCTGCAGCACGATTAGACACAAATTTATATAGTTTATCAGAAAAAAAAGTTGCTTTGGGGGTGACTTGCTCTTTAAAGTCTGAAGAGCAGAGAGGTAAAACTAACTTGTCTAATTAAAAGAAACATTCTTCTTACTGGCTTTAAGAACAAAACAAAAACATTAACTACTTAAAATGATAAAATATCAAAGAATGTAAAATAAATAAGCTAATGTTTGTGTTAAAGGCACATTTGGCAGTTTTGCTTGCTTTTACCACCCCCTAGTGTCTGTCAATAATTATCTGTGGTCAAAGCAAAAGCTAAACTTATCTCCTCGCTGTGCGTTTGTCTTTTTAACACCTTAATCTAACAGCTGAATCGTGACCCCAGCCTTCACTAGTGTCTACAGGAGTGATTCATCACTAAATGGAACAAATCAGCTGTGTTCGTGATCTAAAACATGCAGGAAACGTGCTGGAAGCAGACTGCAGCTCCAGGAATGTCAGCTCATCCTTTTCTGTGTGTAACAGCTGCCGGACCGGCACTCTGAAGTTGCAAATGTGGTATTTTGGCCATATAGGGTGGTGGGGTGACATAGTAACACTGAAAAGGGTCATTTTAGCACAAACTGTTTAAAAAAATACAGATTTAAAACAATGGAAAAGTTGCACAGTATCCATTTAAGGGTATACTTGACGACTGGTGACAGCCATTCTTATTTATTTAGCTATTTTGTTTTACATTTACATCGTTTAAAGTCTCTGAACTAACAGTAGCAGAGTGCTCTGTGTTTACCTTTGAGGAAACAGTGCCAGGCTGTTGGTGGCCAGGAGAAACTCCAGCCCATGTCTTCATCATCAGACAGAGAAGACCACGTTGATACGGCTGAGCCGCACTCACTGCTCGTCTGGAAACAAACAAGGATAAATCAGAATCAAGATGTGATGTTATTAAGTTACAAAGATGAGAAAACAGGTAAGCCTTTGTTTTACCCTGCTGCGTCGGCGCTCCCTACCAGGAGCTCCAGAGGGAAACCCAGTGCTGCTCGGAAGAGCTGGAGGAGGCCGTGCGTAGCTGTGGAGGTCACTGCTGGAGCTCGACGTGTTGGCTGAAAAGAACCTTTAAAATGAAAGAATGTAACAAACAACAGAAGCTTTGATTCCTGGATTCAACACTCAGATACAGAGTAACCTATAAAAGACATGAGGGGTAAGATGGGGTCACATGATCGCTGCCATTAAAAAGCCTCTAAAAATGTCACCACAGTTTATGCTAACAGTATTTGAGACAGATGTTTATTTACACGGTCATTTAGTTTATTACAGCAGGCGTCGGTGGAAGATCGGGAACACTTCCTGTTGGAATGTCAAGTTACTGCCACTGTAATCACTGTTGTCGTGATTTGGCCCTATATAAATAAACTTGAATTGAATTGTAATCAAATATCGCACAACAACAGTGCATTAGTGCCACTGAGGGAAATGAAAAAAGTAGTAAAAGACAAGACGAAAAAAGAAAAGTAAATTAAAGCTGCAAGCAGCGTCGTTCGGCCCTCGCAGCGAAGCTGCTCGCCCTCCGTCCGCACCCCCTCCGCTCCATCCCCGATGCTCTCCAAACCCAGCTACCCGCCGCTCCTTCCTGGCCGGCAGCCCGGGACACCAGGGCACGTCCGCTGAACAGAAACGTCCACCAGAACAGAATTTGCCATGGCATCAAAGTCCCTCCCTTTCTGAAAACTATCAGATCTGAATGGTCATTTCAACATCATGAAGACAGTGCATGACCTTAGTGTCATGTTGACTAAATTAGAGGGGACAAATATGGGCATTTCACCATAAAACAATAGACTTCCTGTAGTCAGGGGGCGGGGCTTAGGTGATGTCATCTGTCCACATTGTCATTGTCTTGAGATGTGGTCAATGATCACACAGACACAGTTTGATGTAGATCTGATCATGCACATGGGAGTTATTAAGTCAAGTAACGTAATGGCGACTGGTCAAAGTTTGAGGCTTAGCCACGCCCACACCTTTATACTTATTTAAAATCCGACAGTTGAATTTTTTCATCTATGTCTTAAGAGTATATAGCAGGAGTTTGAAGGTGATCGGTGGAAAGGGCGACGAGACATCATTCTCCTAATAACGTGTGTGAAAACCACAAAATCGCGTACTTGGACCAAAATGGCCGACCTCCTGTGCGACATTGCTCTTAGCTCCAAGAGACTTTTTTGTAGGTCCTGAGACACTACATTAGTGTGCCAAATTTCGTGATCCTCAGTCAAAGCATGGCTTGGGGCTGACAGTTTTAATGGTCCTAGGGGGCGCTATTTCAGAAAATAGGCCACGCCCACAAACTTCAGCTAACCAATTCTATTAGGGGTCAGAGTAGGATCACTTATTAGAAATTGTGTGGCGATGTCACAATAATTGAAGAAATGAGAGACAAACGTATTTCCATGGCGTGATGGCGAATTTCGCCATGCTCCCAAAGCCCCGCCTTTATTCTAAACCTGCCAGTACTATAGATCAAGTGACCTCAACTTGTCTGCTGCTATTTGCCAGTGATTGCTGGTGATTGGTTAAAAGGAGTCCAATAGGGAGCTGTGAAAAAAAGAGTGGCGTGGCGACAGGTCAAAGTTTGAGGCTTAGCCACGCCCACACCTTTATACTTATTTAAAATCCGACGGTTGAATTTTTTCCTTTATGTCTTAAGAGTGTATAGCAGAAGTTTGAAGGCGATTGGTGAAAAGGGCGATGGAGCATCACTCTCCAAACAACGTGTGCGAAAACCACTAAATCGCGTACTTGGACCAAAATGGCTGACTTCCTGTGCAACTTTGCACTTGGCTCCATGAGACTTTTTTGTAGGTCCTGAGACACCACATTAGTGTACCAAATTTCGAAATCCTCAGTCAAAGCATGGCTTGGGGCTGACAGTTTTAATGGTCCTAGGGGGCGCTATTTCAGAAAATAGTTCACGCCCACCGGATGATCACATCAAATTTTTTTGGGGGCCGGACTAGGATCACTCACAAGAGGTTTTGTGGCAATATCTCAAGAATAGCAGGAGAAAGCAAACCCTGAACTCCAGGGAGGTTTGACACACGTGCGTGCTCGTGCGTGTGTGTGTAGCGAATTAAACTTGTCATTTGTTTTAGGGACAACGGAGCATTTTTATGAAGCTTTGTGGTGAAGAGTGAAGCGGTTTACAAATGACCACAGTAGTTCATCGTGTGTTTTACATTCAGACAGTTAACGTTTTAAAGAACAATTAAAATCATGTGTGTGTGTGTGTGTGTGTGTGTGTGTGTGTTTCTTTAGTAAATTAAGCTTCTTAACATATGTTTTCAGAGCAGCAGAGCAAAGAAGTGTTTTTATTGAGCTTGGAGGTGAAGAGTGAGGCTGTTTACATACGAGTACAGTAGTTCTGTATTCTGCTGTGAAAAGTAGTTTTACATTCAGGGATTTACACAGCTGTCACGTTTTAATGAACAGTTAAAATTGTTTGTGTGAAGAATATAATTTTTATCTTCTCATGTGGATAAACGTAAAATGTGTTTATTGCCTTTTTGTCACCTGTGGTCTCTGATTTTCTCTGTAGGACTGCAGGTGTCCAGGGTCAGGAGAGGCTTTACCTGGTGGTCCTCCTGGGAGAGAGGCCTTCTACTGTTAAGTTAATGTTATTTAGCTGTTTGATATTTGAACACATTTATTAAAACAAATTCTAACTGATAACTCTTTTCATCATTCCTTTTATCACCAGTTTTATTATTTACAGATGTTTCTGAACATGTTACATGAACAGAAAATGAAAAGATGGTAAGGAGACAAGATTATTTATAATAGGTTACAATTATTTACAGATCAAAACCAGTATGGACCAGTTATGTACGGTTAAAGCAGGATTAACCTGAGTGACTCTTCCTGGATCATTTATTTAAACTGAGTGAGCAGGAAGTCTTTAACAGTGCAGCTGGATCTGCTGCAGGAGGATCCAGGCGTGGATGGAGGGCTGGAGCAGACCCATGGCTGGACGTTTCTGGTCAGAGGAACATCATACAAGACGGTCTGCAGAGAGAGCTTTGGGACGCTTCCTCTCACTGTCCACTCCATCGTCCATCTACAGGGCCTGCTGGGCTGGCTCAGACGAAGGCTGTTACATCTCTAAGATGTATTCAGAAATATGAGAGGAGATGGTTTATGGATCCACTGGTATAACATATGTGACTCTTTGGCAAATAAAACCACAGTGTTGTTTTTAATAGAGGTTCCTACATAAATGACTTGCCTGTTAACAATAGTGGTGGTCTGCTGGTACCTCCTGCAGGACAGAGCCCCACTGACCTCCTCCACCTACATCTTCCTCAGGTTCATCCTCCAGACCCACAACTTCACCAGCACAGAGGCAGATGTGCAGAATAGTGCATGCTGACCTGTAACAGATAAAAAAAAATAGTTTATTTAATTGAAAAATGTAAAACAAACATAAAACCTGCAGTACACTGGTTCTGATCAGTTTAAAGAAAAGCAGCACGGAAAACTACAGAGAATTTACATTTTTAAGACAGATCTAATCATTATTAGGCTTAAGTTGAATAAACAAATGCAAACTGAAAACACTTCAATGCTGTTTTATTAAAAACCTGTTTTTTAAACGTTTTACCTCCATTTGATGCAAAATAAGTAGTTCTAAGGTCAAAATAACATTAGAAAACATCTGACTGCATTCATCATTTATAATGCATTTGGTTTATATTAATTACCTACATGATAATACTCTGTAGTAATGTGTTGTGTATGTTTAACAAGTTCATTCTGTAGCTTAAAACATACATGAAACCATCTAAAGTTAACATGTAAGTCCTGAAAGCTTCTAGAATAAACAAAGTTACTTTACCTGAAAACGGTTGTGAACAAACGCTGCTGATGGACGTGAAGCTCCTTAATATTCCTGCTCAATTTTCGCTAGCTTTAGCATTTTTCCTTTGCGTGTAGCTGCCGCCACGGCTGTGATGGGACCTACGGGCCACCGTAGTGGTGAAAGCTAGACTGTCCGAATTCAGAGCCGCTGGGTTCCAGTTTTAGCGGTCAAGCAAGGACCCGGCCTTGCTAGACTGGCGAGGACCCGTCCTCACAAGCATCCTGCCCACGGAACACCCTGGGACTTTCCTTTTCAGCTTTTCCTTTCAAGGATCACCACAGCCAATCACCTGTCTGCATTTACTGAGCGTACTGGGATGGATGCATGGAAATAGATGTTTGAACAGGGACACAGGCAAGAGATAAGGGGGTTATTTTCACTGGCCCAGCTTGGCCAGCTTATGTAGAGACACTGGTATAAAGGTGTCTAAGGTAACAAGCTGAGCTGGAGACAAAACCATCAATATATTATTTCTCACTTTTATAAGTTGATTTATAAATAATGAAATAAAATGCAGTCCTCATTAGAAGGTGGAACAAGACTAATGATGTTACTGATGGTGGTGATAACAGCGCAGTACTGTCTCTGATAGGTAGGTCTTGCATCTTTTGCTAAGTTACTAAAATAAACTAAAAGATCCTTTAAGCATGATAACATAATGTCTCATTTTGAAAGTGTGCCCGACCTGCTTTGTGGCTCCTGTAGCAGCGGGCTCTGAGGACTGGTGGCGATGTGCGCTAGCTGCGTGAGCCATAGAGCATCTGGAGGCGGTGAGGTGTGTGTGTGACCGAGTCTCTCCTGGTGTGACACTCCGGCCTCAACCTGGTAAACAGGTAGAGCTGCTAGTTCTTCTTTAACCTCCTGGAGATCGGGGAGGTCGTCTGGTGGAAGAGAAGGAAAACTCGCTGAAACAGTTTTCTCTGAGATTTCTATTTATAACAAATAAAGGAGAAGTCTGCGGCTTTCATGCTGCTGCTCAGGCTTTACAAACCATATTCCATGTGAACATCGCTGGTGGGGAAGCTAGGTGAGGAGAGGAAGTGCTCGTCACAGCGGAGAGGATCATGTGACTGGTCTCCGTGTGTGTTCATTACACCTAAAGTAACAACAGGAGGATTATGACATGCCAGAATTACTTCTAAAAGGCCGCCCACTGCTTTTCACACCAGAGTTTTTAACTAAATCATTTCCTGTTGAGAAGTGATGCCTGCTTTTGGCGGAATCTTGAAAATATCCGATCCTGAACTTTTATCTCAGTATTTGTAGAATTTAATTGGAGTCATTTTTTTGTGTCTGCTAATGTTGGCTAACTGTGGTGGCCATCTTGAATTGGGGTTACTCCAACTGTTAATCAGCTTTAGATGTTCATCTAACAACTACGTTAATCTGACGCTTCATGAGAGATTTTGCTACTGAAAGATTCACCTTCCAGCATCCAGCAGTAATGGATGCTGTGTGGGAAATAGCTTTTGTACATCTCACATAAAAATAATGATTTCCAAAACACCACATATACAAAAAACATTTCTATAATGGTGAGTGTTTCACATTTTATAGTAAACCTTCCAACTTTCATGTGTAACAAATGTACAAGGATTCTCAAAACTCTTTTTCTGGTTATAAAAATATAATTTATAAACAAAATGTACTTTAGCTCAGCTCTTCAAAGGATTTACAGTTCACTATTTTAAACTGTAATGTTGTTTTTGTTGTGATGTAATTTGAGCAAACCCTGATACAAACAGAATGTATGAGCTTTAACCATAGCAGAAACGGTGTTGAAATATAGAGTTAATCGTCATTTAGAGGTTCTGAAGCGAGTTTGCACAGCAGAACCCTTCATCAGTGTGGTCACCTGTGTTTTTAGTTTCATGTCGAGTTCCGTGTGTGTTGCGACTTTCGGGGTCATCTGACAGCAAAGCTGGCTTTACCACCTCCCACACCATGATGTCTGGTGGGTGAAACACAGAGCTGAATCAAACGTGATAATGTGTTTAAGGTGTTACTGTTATCCTGTTTTTTTTTTATATTTCAGCTCAGCAAACACATTACAACAGATAATCAGAGTAAATACAAAATGCAGTTTTCAGTAAGGATTTACTTGTTAAGGGAACAATGCGTCCAAACCAAACTAGTTTTATGTGGAGTAATTGATTGTCTTGTTGAATCAAGAATTTTGTGATTAACAACATTTCTGGTAAAACTGAGCTCAGTCTGACTAACTACACCCAAACCTGATCACAGCTAGACCTGCAGGATTAAAAAAAACTCTTCAAAAGCACCTTTCTGACAACATGAAGCAGATCTAAAGATCTAAGAACAGAAACGTGCCGCGACCCTTCGAAAGAAATAAAGAAAAACCCAGAACTAAATCTACGCTCAGCAAGCCTCACTTGGTTAAAGAAGTGATGTTCCAGGTTGCTTCAGGACCTGGAGCACTTGCTATAACTGATAAACCCAGAAAGTACTGAAGAAGAGTGTTTGACCTTTAAGAGGCTGCTCAAGCTGGAACACCCTCAAATGTGACTGAATAAAAGCAATTTTAATAAAGTTAAACTCAATGTTAAAGGAATAAAATTCCTCCACAGAGACCATGGTTTATGGGGTCACGCACAGTTTATTACACTACCTGGGAGGTTTGAATACGTTTTTGTATATTATTATTATTGTTATTAATAGATTGCCTTTATACTTAAATATTTTCTTATCTGATAGTTTTTAAAATGTTTTTGCTGATCTGAATCAGTAAAAGAACTCCAAGTAACACTTAAAAGCAGAATCAGAACAAATAAGTAAGGATGAGACACTAATTGCTCGTATCTGTTTCATAATGTTTTAATCATGTGATCATGTTTTGTTTATAAAAGTTGAGATCCAGCACGCATGCGTACAAATGGTCCATTCATTCAATAGTCAACTCAATACGGTCAAAGACAGCGATTATATAGTTTAAACTAAATATAGAGAGCCTTTAACGACTACATCTGAATAACACAAACAGAACACAGCCCTAGCTTCACCAAACGGTACAAATATCAACGTTTTCATGTTTTCTTCAACTTCAAAGAGTTCACGAAACTATTAAAAACCCCGTCATGATGACGAAAACGTCGTAAAGCGCTGCACTCTGAATTTTAAAATACCTTTTTATTGCCAGGAACCATTTTTATTAAGTGAAATAATGATTAGCTCGATTTAAATCGTCGAAACAACCTGTTGCGCAAAAGCAACAACAATAACGTCAACAATGAAGCTTACAGGAGCGACCTGCGAAACCGCATTTACAGCAGAAAACAGACGCTGTCAGCTTCCTGTTTCTACACTACAGCCTAGTTTAATCAACACTTTCTCAGAATATGATCTCCTTTTTCAAGTTTAACTGTTTAAAACCCGTCAATGGCTTCAATGAACTTTTATGAACTCACCAAAACAGTCGCCTTGTACGGAAAAAAGAGGTTGTTATAAACACAGTGTCCTCATGACTTCAATTGGTTAGAACTCGTGTCAATCAAGAGCATCTTGCGTTCTGATTGGCTACTTAAGTGCAAACTTGCTGTCATCACTTTTACAGCCTAATACTGGGTAGGTTGAATCGGTAAAAGATGGCCAAAATCAGGAAAGACTATCACAAGTAACATTTATAAAATAACTCAATAAACAAAGAATGTGTTTCATTCTAAACATGAGGATTTACACTGCCCTTAAAACAGATTATTCCGTTAATGTGGTATATTAGTACAGTTGAAAGATAATCTACATAGTAAGAAAAAGGCAATAAATTATTACAGAAACATTTGCAAAGTATATTTCACCCATTCACTGTTCTCTAGTGGTCAAAGTGCAGAACAAAGCCTTATTACAGAATAACAAAACCACAAAGAAACCATATATTGGGGGGGGGGGGGGGGGGGGGGGGGGGGGGGGTCTAACTGAAAAAGGCAAACGTCAAATTTTGGATTACTTCCTGAAATTGAAATATTGAAATATCCCATCACAGGCTTCAACATAATGGTTTAAAATTGAGCTTTTAATTAAATCACCTGTGTATTTTTTCTTTTTATTTGCAGTATATTATATTTATTTCATAAAATCTGCTGGTAAGATTTGCTGCGATCACCAGATGGCAGTAAATACACTTAAAATCTAGTCATTTGCACAGTTGTAGCGTACTTAAAAAATAAACATTGCCTCAATTCAACAAAGTGAAAAAGGTTAACATTAATTTATGGATTATTTTCTGATATAGAAATATCCTATCACAGGTTTCAACCCATTGTTTAAAACTGATCTTTTACGTATATTTTCCCCCTTTTTGCAGCATATATTTTTCGGTATTTTGCTGAGATCCCTAGAGGGCAGTAAATACACTTAGAATCTAGTAATTTGTACTTAAAAAATTAAACCTGCCCTTCTTAACTTTGAAAATGGTATTTTCCTGAGACACATTGTTTTTACATCTAAGAGCCCGTCTTTATCCACTTCCGGTGGAGTGTTGTTTTACTTTGAACAGAAACGGAAGTCTAATAAAAGTTAGCTGGCGAGTTTGACAAGTTTGAGGACGAAGCGCAGCGTTTTCGCGAACAAGATTTTCCCCATAAACTTTGACATTTAGATCATTTAAATTTCAACCTGTGATCCCTTATTCCGTCTAAATGCCGACATTCCCCGGGTCCGTCTCCGCCCGCGTTCATTGGTGAGTCACAATAAAAGCTTGAATTGTCGAGTTTGACAACCTGTCGATTATGGTGTACAGCTGTACCGTTACACGCACCTTAACTTCTTCATGCTGGGGCTGTTTAGGGTTTTATTTGACAACCCCTGTTTCTGGGTTATTTTATACAGTTTATAATTAAAACGTAGAGTTAAAAGCATGTGTGACAGTTATGTTTGAATTTTGCTTCCTGCTTTTAATGCTTCCTCTGCTGATTCAAAAGAAAAGGAAGGGAAACTCCACTGAGTTCTTTACATCCATGTTTGAACGAGCTGAATGTTCTTAGTAGCTTAGGAAGTTAGCGTTGTTATAGAGGTCATTCATAACTCTTTCTGGATATTTTTGCTATTTACAGTCAACATTGTGCAGATTAGATAAAAAAATTAAATGTACGTTATATATTTAATGTAAAACAGCAGTTTAAGAATCATCCAAATAAGCATCTTGTAAAAAATCTTTATGCTAATTTTATTTATAGCACTCATCACAGAGAATCACAAAGTGCTTCACCAAAAACAAAACAAACCATAAAGTCATAAAATCATATTCAGAACAACAGAGTCATAAAATTATTAAATATGAAACTAATAATGTAGCTTTATATTCATCTTAATGCCCATGAATTACCAAGCCTTTGTATTTTAATCCCTAATTTTACTCTATTTTTATTGTAGCAGATCACCCAGCTAAAGTACTCGGCCGTCAATAAACATAAAGCTAGACATTCATGTAGTTCATCATTCGAGAAGCTTTATCAGTTCAAATAGAAAAAAAAGTTTAAATCCCCTTTTAATTAGCATTTTACCTTTTGAATGGAGAAAGATCCGTGGGTGAGTCCATTAACTTTTTTTTTACCCAGCAGAAGCTAAACATTTACAGATGTTTTAATTCAAATTTGTTTCCTTTTCATTGTGCAGTAAAAGTGAATGAAGAAACAATTGTTGTGTCTCTCTCTGGTTGACAGTGGCATGTAATCAATTTGAAACATAAAGTTGAGGCTGTGGGTTTATTATTGATTTTTAAATTTTGATCCTAATAGCAATTGTAGCCCAGTCTTGATAAATACAATTGCAAGTAGACCTCAACAACCACTGTGCTACACTTTATCAATGTTTATGAAGCCCTAAATGACGTGTAAAACCAAACGTAGATTTATGTTAGCTGGGCATAAATAACTCAAACATTTCAATAAATCAAAGTGACAGCTGGACTTCAATGTAACCATTGCAACTTATTAATCAATCAATCAATCAATCAATCAATCAATCAATCAATCAATCAATCAATCAATCAACCAATCAATCAATGATTCAATCAATCAATCAATCAATCAATCAATCAATCAATCAAATCAAAGATACTTTATTTATCCCAGAGGGAAATTAGAGTTTCAGTACACACAATTCAGAGATCAGACATACATGGGCAAGACACATGACAAGAATTGGCGACTGTGGTCATTTACAACCCTTAGTCTTCGTATTCGTCTTCCTCCGCTTATCCGGGTCCGGGTCGCAGGGGCAGAATCCCAACTCCAGACCGTCCTCTCCCCGGCCACCTCCACCAGCTCCTCCGGCAGGACCCCAAGGTGTTCCCGGACCAGATTGGAGATGTAACCTCTCCAACGTGTCCTGGGTCGACCCGGGGGCCTCCTGCCGGCAGGACATGTCCGAAACACCTCCCCGGGGAGGCATCCAGGAGGCATCCTGACCAGATGCCCAAACCACCTCAACTGACTCCTTTCGATCCGGAGCAGCAGCGGTTCTACTCTGAGTCCCTCCCGAATGTCCGAGCTCCTCACCCTATCTCTAAGGCTGAGCCCAGCCGCCCTACGGAGGAAACTCATTTCGGCCGCTTGTATCCGCGATCTCGTTCTTTCGATCATTACCCAAAGCTCATGACCATAGGTGAGGATTAGGACGTAGATCGACCGGTAAATCGAGAGCCTGGCATTCTGGCTCAGCTCCCTCTTCACCATGACAGATCAGTTCAGCGTTCGCATCACTGCAGACGCTGAACCAATCCGCCTGTCGATCTACCGATCCCTCCTACCCTCACTCGTGAACAAGACCCCGAGATACTTAAACTCCTCCACTTGAGGTAGGATCTCTCCACCGACCTGGAGTTGGCAAGCCACCCTTTTCTGGTCGAGAACCATGGTCTCAGATTTGGAGGTGCTGATTCTCATCCCAGCCGCTTTACACTCGGCCGCGAACCTACCCAGCAAGAGCTGAAGGTCAGAGCTGGATGAAGCTAGGAAGACCACATCATCCGCAAAAAGCAGAGACGAGATTCTCCTGCCACCAAACTTGACACACTCCACACCACGGCTGCGCCTGGAAATTCTGTCCATAGAAGTAATGAACAGAACCGGTGACAAAGGGCAGCCCTGGTGGAGTCCAACCCTCACCGGGAACAGGTCCGACTTACTATCGGCTATGCGGACCAAACTCATGCTCCTCTGGTAAAGGGACTGAATGGCCCTTAGCAGAAAGCCACCCACCCCATACTCCTGGAGCGTCCCCCACAGGGTACCTTCTCCAAATCCACAAAACACATGTGGATTGGTTGGGGAAACTCCCATGCCCCCTCCATCACCCTTGCAAGGGTATAGAGCTGGTCCACAGTTCCACGGCCAGTACGAAAACCACATTGCTCCTCCTCAATCTGAGATTCAACTATCGATCGGACCCTCCTCTCCAGTACCTTGGAGTAGACCTTTCCAGGGAGGCTGAGGAGTGTGATCCCCCTATAATTGGAACACACCCTCAGATCACCCCTCTTAAAGATGGGGACCACCACCCCGGTCTGCCCCTCTACAGGAACTGCCCCCGATGACCATGCAATGTTGCAGAAGCGTGCCAACCATGACAGCCCTACAACATCCATAGCCTTGAGATACCCAGCACGAATCTCATCCGCCCCCGGAGCTCTGCCGCTGTATAGTTGTTTGACTACCTCAGCAACTGCTGCCCCCGAGATTGGACAGTCCATCCCCAGGTTTCCTGGCTGTGGTTCCTCCTCGGAATGCGCGTAGGTGGGATTGAGGAGCTCCTCAAAGTATTCCTTCCACCATCCGACTATAGCCCCACTTGACGTCAGCAGCTCCCCATCCCCACTGTAAACAGTGTGAGCAAGTTGCTGCCTTCCTCTCCTGAGGCGCTGGACAGTTTGCCAGAACCTCTTTGGAGTCGATCGATAGTATTTCTCCATGGCCTCACCAAACTCCTCCCATGCCTGAGATTTTGCCTCAGCAACTGCCACTGCTGCACCCCGCTTGGCTATCCGGTACCTGTCTGCTGCCTCCGGAGACCCACAGACCAGCCACGCCCTGTAGGCCTCCTTCTTCTGCCTGACGGCTCTCCGAACCTCTGGTGTCCACCAGCGGGTACGGGGGTTGCCACCACGACTGGCATCGGCCACCTTGCGAGTGTGAACAAGCATAGTGGAACAAGGCCCACTCGGAGTCAATGTCCCCCACTGCTCTCAGGACACGGTCAAAGCTCTGCCGGAGGTGGGAGTTGAAGACCGTCTTGACAGGTTCTTCTGCCAGGCGTTCCCAGTAGACCCTCACTATGCGTTTGGGTCTGCCAGGTCTACGTGGCATCTTCCCCTGCCATCTGATCCAACTCACCACCAGGTGGTTGTCAGTTGACAGCTCCGCTCCTCTCTTCACTCGGGTGTCCAAAACATACGGCCGCAGGTCAGATGATACGACTACAAAGTCTATCATCGACCTGCGACCTAGGCTGCCCTGGTACCAAGTGTACCGATGGGCATCCTTATGTTCAAACATGGTGTTCGTTATGGCCAAACTGTGGCTTGCACAGAAGTCCAGTAATGAAACACCACTCGAGTTCAGATCAGGCGGGCCGTTCCTCCCAATCACACCCCTCCAGGTCAAGCTGTCATTGCCCACGTGAGCACTGAAGTCTCCCAGCAAGACAATGGAGTCCCCTGATAGAGCACTATCTAGCACTCGTCCCAGGGCCTCCATAAAGGGTGGGTACTCTGAACTGATATTTGGCCCATAAGCACAAACAATAGTCAGGACCCGTTCCCCGAACCGAAGGAGCAGGGAAGCTACCCTCTCGTCCCCCATGGTAAACCCCAACACACAGGCAGAGAGTCTTGGGGCTAACAAAAAGCCATCCCCAGCCCTCCGCCTCTCACCTGGAGCAACTCCAGCAAAGGAGAGTGTCCTTCCCCTCTCAAGGACTTGGGTTCCAGAGCCAATGCAATGTGTCGAGGTGAGTCTGACTATATCTAGCCGGTACCGCTCAACCTCTGCCACAAGCTCCTGCTCCTTCCCCGCCAGCGAGGTGACGTTCCATGTCCCAAAAACCAGTTTCCTTGTCCGGGGATCGGACTGCCAAGGCTTCCGGCTCGGTCTGCCACCCGATCCACACTGCACCGGACCCTTCATGTTCCTCCTGCGGGTGGTGGGTCCACAGTTTGATGAGCCCATGTGTCCGGTTCGGGCTGGGCCCGGCCGGGCCCCATGGGCAAAAGCCCGACCACCAGGCGCTCGCTCACGGGCCCCAACCCCAGGCCTGGTTCCAGGGTGGGACCCCGGTAAGCCTCCGGGCCAGGTTCTCCGACTCTTTGAATTTACATCCATGAAAGATCTAGATGTAACTCTTGTAATTTTTTATATTGTTGTTGTCAGACATATTCAGCATGCATTGGAGGTGTAATCAAAGGAAAGGCACCATATGTAAAATTTTGTTTCACCACAATAGCAGTAGACATGTTTGGTTTATAACACAGTATTCCACGGGGGTGGAAGCGTTATGGGTTGGGGTTCATTTCCTGCCTCTGAAACTCAACATGTGCAGGCAGCAGGTTAATGGGCTCATGATCACTATGTTAGACTCAAAAGCCGTTGTTTAATCAGATAATAAATTTTAATCTTGTGACAATCAAAGTCACACTCTTAAAAACACCAACAAAAAAAGGGAAAACAATGTGGAGTTTAAAACGGGCAAAATAAGTTTTCTCACTTGAGTTGGCGGTGATTTAAGCAACAGATGGTCATCTGGTGGATAAATAGACACATTGGTTTGAATAACTACATTTTACCAAAAGTAAACAAGTTGCTGCCCTAATTTTCTGGTCTTTATCTGTGGTTGTATTTATGGTTCCACGTTAATGATTGATTTCATGTTGTGTCCAAGCTAGGCAATGGACAGGCAGCAGATCCAGGTGAGCGACGAAGAGTGTGAAGTGCCTCGAGAAGAAATACGGAGGAGGAGGAGAAAGAAAGCCATCACCTCTTCCTCCTCCATTTCCATGGATCAGATCACCGTTGAGTTTGTCCTGCCCTCGGCTGCGCGGGGTGGAAGCAGTTCTGACTCTCTGCAGCTAGAGGTGGCTGGGAACTGGACCGTAGAGCAGGTCAGACCGGTTACAGGTTTTTGAAGATTGGTTTTGTCTGAAACAACTGTGTTTGACAGAAAGCTACAACTGAAGAAAAGCCATCATGTCTGTTTCCTGTTTCATGCAGGTGAAAGCCCAACTTTGGATGAAGGCAGTAACTTTAAACTTCTGCCCGGACTTCTTCCAGAGGCTCTCACCTGACCACTGCATCCTTCTTTATCAGAAAAAAGGCACCATTTGTGAGATCTATGACAAGCATCAGGTGTTCCAGACATTGGACTGCATTCGCTACTGGAGAGGTACCACTGCTTCCATGAAGTGAGACGATCATGTTTAGTGATGGTGTGTGTGAAGATATTTTACTGAACCAACCATTGCAATAGACAGCAATCTGAGTAATCTCATAACAACAAATGACATTATTTTAATCCTGGGTGGTAGTTTTCTTTTAGATTATAATTAGTAAGAAAGACGAGGACTTGACTTGATTTATCAGATTCAATATTCAAGACTGAAGAGAGTCTATTGTCTCTATGTGGTATTTACAGAAATACACACGCTGAAACGAAATGCAGCTTCTCACTAGCCTCTGCAATGCAGTAATCTGTAAAAGTACAATTAAAAACACAAGTAAGGATAAACAGCAGTCAAATAGGAATAACTAACAGTCAAGCTGAGGTCTATATCACACACATTTAAGTAGCAGCAGTCCTCCCACAGAGTGTATGTATCTGAGGGGTATTAGATGTGTGTGTGTGTGTGTGTGTGTGTGTGTGTGTGTGTGTGTGTGTGTGTGTGTGTGTGTGTGTGCCAGACTCTTTGCCTGTACAAAGAACCCATTTAGCATACTGGTGGTTCTGCAGTTGATGCTTCTATACTTCCTGCCAGACAGCAGGAGGGAGAACAGGCCATGAGAGAGGTGGTAGGGGTCCCTGGAGGCAGCTCTGCATGTGCATTGTTGTCTGTAGATCCCTTTCAGGGATGGGAGAGGGGCACCAACCAATTTATTGACATGGGAAAAACAATATCGGTAACAGTCAGAAATTTTCATAACGATAAATTTTCGATTTATTGCCGAGCTTTACCTCGTAAAGTTAAAAATCTTTACTTCACTGTTCCCTCAATGACAATTTCTTCCTGCTGCTCCTGGAATCTAAACATCCATTTGAAGGCATGTTTTTATTTGAACAGCTCTAAAGAAAGAAGTGGGGCGAATCCAGCTGGTGCCCCGTCCTCAGCCCACGGACGAGTCCCTGCAGTACCAACGTTATCTGAACCATCTGATTGGCTATGATGTGACTGATGTGAGCAACGTCCATGACGACGAGCTGGAGTTCACACGTAGGAAGCTGCTGACGCCACGACGAGTCGAGCTGTCGGACCGAGACCCTAAACTCTACTCCATGGACCCTTGGGTCACTCATAAGCAGCTGCCCGAGCACCTGCTCACCAAGGTACAGATGTTATGAAAACGTGTTTGTGAAAGCATGGTTGTGTTGACTGTATCAAATTACCATCATAGAGATCATCATGAACATTAATGATGATTGTTAGGTTTCAAACTAAGAGTTGTTGCCTGATTCAACATCGTGTCATTATTGAGCTTTTGTTCATCTGCTCAGGTGAATAACGGTTACATCCTGGTTGTGATCCATGTCAGCACTTCCAGTCAGACCATCAAGGTCTCCATCGACGACACACCTTCACAGGTTGGTAAATGTCAGGGATGCTCATGTGTGGCTATGTGCTAGTCTGTCAATCATTTTCTCTCTTATGTAGGTATTGACCAGCTTTTTTGCCAAGACACAAAATAAAAGGGTTTTGTTGGGAATCCCCGACAACATGTGTGAATCGGACTTTGTGCTGCGCGTGTGTGGCAGGTAATGTCTCTTTAGCACTGTGGGGACTGGATTATGTCATGGGGGATATTTTAATTAGGAACATGTTCTCATCGGCCATTTAGGGAGGAGTACTTGTATGGGGAGAAACCGCTGCAAGATTTTAACTGGATTCGTCAATGCCTCAAGGGTGGGGAGGAGATCCACCTGGTGCTAGAAACACCACCTGATCCTGAACTGGACCTGGTTCAGAAGGAGGACTGGGCTCAAGTGGATGATTGCACTGGAGTTACAGGTAATGTGGTCATTTTCTATTTTAACTTGCCCCTTTACCTACCACACCTAATCTTTGTTTCCATAGGTACTCACGAGCAGTTGACCATTACTGAGAAAGACCACGAGCGAGTGTTCACCATCTCCATGTGGGACTGTAACCGGAAGTTCAGAATGAAGGTGTTGGGCATTGACATCCCAACACTCCCCAAAGTGCCTGACTTCACAGTCTTCGTAGAGGCCAGCATCTTTCACGGACAGCAGCTTCTAGCGCAGGTACAGATTTTTCCAGCCGTGGTGCCGGGGGAGAGGGGAAGATGCACACGCAGACCATTTCACTGCTGTGCATCGGCTGTCAGACTGAGAAGGGGTGTGTTTGCGGACTGTTAGCCTAGCCCAGGGGTGTCAAACTCATTTTAGCTCAGGGGCCACATTGATGGAAATCTAGTCCCAAGTGGGCCGGACCGGTAAATTAAAGACAACTTCAGATTGTTTTCTTAGCTTTAACACAATCGATATAAAACAAAGCTGGAGCCTGAGGACAGTGTATCCAAAATAGTACAAGTACAACACCTGAAGTGTACTTGAAAATTTGAATAAAAAATAAAATAAAATAAACATTCCTTAGTGATTCAAAGAGCTTACAGATCACATGGCTAGATCAGTTTCATGCAGCACTTAAAGTATATTTGACTCATTTTACTTTACATCTTTTAGCTTTCACCAGCACATCAATATCAGAAGTCACATCCTGAGTGGCAGCCAACTTCAGGATGTGATTCAACTTCTTGTGTGAGCCTTGAGCGCAGCTTTGTTTTATTTATACTCATTACAGAGGAAACTTGCTCACAAAGATACGTTTATTTTCACTCTACATTGTAAAGTAGGAAAATAAAGTTTACACAACCATCTCGCGGGCCGGATTTAACCCATTTGCGGGCCGGATCTGGCCCGCGGGCCGTATGTTTGACACCCCTGGCCTAGCCTATGTAAGGGAAACACTGACAACAGTGACTTTCAGCTTGGTATGGTCAATATTGTATAATTTATGATACACAATTATAAAACCCTTTCTTATGATAGTAGTCAGCATGCAGATGTGATACTGATGAACTTTAACCAATGGCATCCATCCGGGTGAGTGTTTTTAATCCATCCGTCCCTCCATCCATTTTCGGCCGCCTATCTGGGGTCGGGTCGCGGGGGCAGTAGCCTTAGCAGGGAGGCCCAGAAAAAAACATCCAGAAAAATTGATGTTTTTATTTACATTGTAAAATGACATCACTGTCATTAGGGCATATGACTTTTTATCACACCCTGTGTTTTGCACGTGAAATGGTTCTAATGAACAGTAGCAGCAGTTTGAAAGGCTTGATTTACATCTTCAGTGAGGGAAGGCAGTGCCAGGACTGTAAACTCAGAAGGCTGATTTCTGTCAGATAATATTTAAAACAGTGGTGCTGGTGACATGATGTACTCTGTCCTGTGGCTGTAATTTAAATTCTGAGGGGAAGTGCTGAACCTTTCCTTTAGAAAAGGTTTTATGTTGGAGTAGTGGTCAAACGGAGATGCTCAAAAATAGAGACAGCGCTAATATCGCTGAAAAAGTGCATCAAACAAGATTTTTTTTATCGCTGACAAGAGAAGACATTTACAATGTCAGATCCAGAACCAGGGCAAAGAAAATAAAGATGGGCCCTATCCTCCAGCTCATGACCGTGTCACCCTCCTGCCTCCAGGCAGAGGCAGCCTCAAAGGCTCCGACCCTTAAACCGCCCTCTGCTCTTTGTTTACTGCAAAATCAGTTTGGGTGTTTATTAATAACATTAGGCTATTTATTCAGGCTGGGCAGAGAAGCTCATTTCATGTCTCCACAATGCTGTTAAATGACTATAAAACAATTGGATTGAAAGTGGGAGACAAGTTTGTAAAAGTTAAAATTCAATTCAATTCAGTTAGTTTATATTGTACTCAATGGCACTAATAGTCATCTCAAGGCACTTTACAAAGGAAACCTTCCAAAACTTATCAGTGAGTTCAGTTCAGTATTCCAATAAGAAAAAAAGTTTCCTATATAAGGAACCCAGCAGATGGCATCAAGTCACTGACTAGTGTCAGAGTCTTTACAGCAATCCTCATACTAAGCAAGCATGTAGCGACAGTGGAGAGGAAAACTCCCTTTTAACAGGAAGAAACCTCCAGAGAATCCTGGCTCAGTATAAGCAGCCATCCACCACGACTCACTGGGGATCGAGAAGACAGAGCAGGCACACACACACACACACACACACACACACACACACACACACACACACACACACACACACACACACACACACACACGCACGCACGCACGCACGCACGCACACACACTCACAAACAAAATGGATGAACTAGTAGTAGCACATGTTGAAAAAGTAAAAGACTGTCATTCCTTTAATTGTTTCCTGCAGATCAGTGCAATGAAAAGGAAGTATTTGTTTTTGAAACACTACACTATCCACTGTAACTTTTAAAGTGCAGAGTTTGACCCCTGAAAACCTTCCAGGAGAGGACGACGTCCAAAACCTTCAACGAGGAGGTGCTGTGGAACTGCTGGCTGGAGTTTAACATTAAAATCAAAGACCTGCCCAAGGGGACACGGCTCAACCTGCAGGTAAACTCTGGCTGGGGGTCACTACTGTTTTATATTCATGCCTCTCCATCTTTAAACCATAAATTTCACACAAAATAGTTCTGATGTGAATGGTGTGGAGTATGTGGCTGTAACTTCAGAGGTTTGATCAGACATTAAAAAAAACCTTGAAGATTGAGGGGTCTGTATGTTTAATTAAAACCCGGCAGCCACACCGTTTGTTTTATGGATATTATTGTGCTGTGGAGACTCCATGCACTTATTGATTTGGTTAAAAAAAACAGACAGGAAAACTGCTAAACCCACTTGTTCCTGTTGTCGGTTTAAATATGACAACTACACATTTCATTTTATTTTGGGTTAAAGTTACAAGGAGCCACTTCAGAGGGTCTAAACTTTTGACTCTGAACTAAACTTTAAACTTTAGACCATCTGAAGTGGCTACATCAGGGGTGTCAAACTCATTTTAGCTCAGGGGCCACATTGATGGAAATCTAGTCCCAAGTGGGCCGGACCGGTAAATTAAAGACAACTTCAGATTGTTTTCTTTGTTTTAAAACAATCGATATAAAAAAAGCTGGAGCCTGAGGACAGTGTATCCAAAATAGTACAAGTACAACACCTGAAGTGTACTTGAAAATTTGAAAAAAATTTTTTTTTAATAAATTAAAAAGACATTCCTTAGTTATTCAAAGAGCTTACAGATAACATGGCAAGATCAGTTTCATGCAGCACTTAAAGTATATTTGACTCATTTTACTTAACATCTTTTAGCTTTCACCAGCACATCAATATCAGAAGTCACATCCTGAGTGGCAGCCAAATTCAGGATGTGATTCACGTTCTTGTGTGAGCCTTGAGCACAGCTTTGTTTTATTTATACTCATTACAGAGGAAACTTGCTCACAAAGATAAGTTTATTTTCACGCTACATTGTAAAGTATGAAAACAAAGTTTACACAACCATCTCGCAGGCCGCATATTTGACACCCCTGGGCTACATGTTCTGCACCTCTCTAACAGACTTCTCTGCCCCTCCCAGACCTCCTCATGCACCACAGCTCCTGTCTCAACACCCTGTCATACGCTTTCTCCAAATCTACAAAGATAAAATGCACTCCCGTCTGACCTTCTCTGTACTTCTCCGTCAGCATCCTTAAAGCTTCTGACCTAACCCTAGCTTCTACATCTCTTTCTCAGAGCTTCATTTTAAGACTCATTAGTTTTATTTCTTCTGTAATTCCCACATTTTTGTAAGCTGGCCATGTATTTAATCACATAAAGTACAGTTAAAAAAACATGCAGCAGAAAATAATATTTTAGACGTTGCTGAATGGTCAATTGTGCTATTTTAGAACAGGCCTGAGGGCACCTGATAGGATTCAGGGGGACACCAGGTTGGTGCCACCAGAAAGAACCGCACATGGTTCCAGAGCCACAGGTCACAGGTTTAGTGAAGCCTCAGAAGTAATCAGACTAACTAAAACAGTCATTTTATGTGTTCTATAAGGACCAGAACCTTTTCTAAAAGTCCCCCAGCAGGTGATTGGATTAGGCTTTTGTTTATTACTGGCACAGCTGAACCAATCAGAACCGACCAGTAAATAGGGGCTCCCATTGGCTGATTGTTGTCACAACAAAAACTCACCTGGAGCTACAGAACACACTTGTTGGTGAAATTGGGTTTCGATCACAGGACGAAATCTTTTGATATAGTGGGTCACTCAGTCATCCAGGTTGCTGGTTTGATTCCCAACTCCTTCTTAGTCATTCCATCGTTGTCAGATGCATTAAGGTTGTGAACCACAGAAAATTACCAGTTCAGTGTAATTTTTCAAATAATAATAATAATAATACATTGAACTTATATAGCGCTTTTCTAGACACCCAAAGAGGCTTTCACACACTCACATTCACACACTGCTAATGATGGTAAGCTACTTGTAGCCACAGCCGCCCTGGGGAGGTCTGACAGAGGCGAGGCTGCCATTTGGCGCCGTCGGCCCCTCTGACCACCAATGTTGGTTGTGATCAGAGGGCCGGTGGTCCCAGTGCACCGCAGCCTCGCTACCTTCAGTGCAGCCCAGGGCAGCTGTGGCTACATGTATGGCTCTGAGCCTGAGCTCAGTGGACTCAGTGGTCTCCTTCGAAAAGCAGCTGAGAAGTCACCTGTCCAGGCTGGCTTTTGCATGACCTTCATCATTCCTCCCTCTTTATTCAGCTCTTTCTACCAATTCCTCCTTTCCTGGGATCCGCTGATACCTCTTTCTTCTTCATTTTCTCTTTTCCTTTCCTCACATTTTTAATTACAATTTGTTTTCAAAATTTTATATTTTAAAATACGTTTTATTTTTTATTTTATTTATTTGTCTATTTATTGTTCTTACGAAGCGCCCTGTGATTTATTTTGTGAGACGCTATATAAAAGATTGTTTCTTCTTCTTCTTTGTGTTGTAAAGTGCCTTGGGGGGGGGGGGGGGGGGGGGGGGGCACTTAGAAATACAGGCCATCTACCAAGATTCCAGACCTTACAGCATGCAAACAGCAAATGGGTACATCATCTTTCTTGTACTTTGCTAAAGTTCTGTTGGCTTGTTTCTCATCCAGGTGATCTGTGGGAAACAACCCCAGATGTCAAGCTCCAGAGGAGGTTCCTACTACGAAGCCACATCAGGAACCTGCTGCCCTGAGGGTAAAATCCCCTCCCAGTTTGTCATCAGTCATGAGGAAACCCTTAGAAAAGGCTTTTTGTTGTGTCTGTTTCTTTCAGGGAAGACCAAGAATCGTGTTCTATACTACGTCAACCTGCTCCTCATCGACCACCGCTCTCTGCTCCGTCAAGGCGAGTTCATCCTTCACATGTGGAAGATGCCGGAGAAAAGTGAAGAGAGCAGCAGCAGCATCAACGCGGACAAACTCACGTCTGCTACCAATCCGGATAAGGCGTCCTCTATGGCCGTCGCAATTTCTCTGGACAAGTACTGCTACCCGGTGGTGCTGCCCAAGAGCAGGGATGTGGGCAGGGATTGTGGGGCGATGGGTGAGGAAAGCGAGGGAGGGGAGAGAGGTCAGAGGGAGATGCCCAACCACCTGAAGAAGCAGTTTGAGGCGATTGTGTCTACAGATCCGTTACATCCGCTTAGTCCTGAGGACAAAGAGCTGCTGTGGCACTTCAGGCATGAGTGCATGCGCCATCCCAGGTACTAATTAGTCCATGTGAATGGCTTTGTTGTTTTTGTCTCGCTAATTGTACCACTGATGTTTCGTAGGGCCTACCCAAAGCTGCTGGGCTCAGTCAGGTGGGGGAAACAGGAAGATGTTTTATCAACACATCGCCTGTTGGAGCGCAGCAGTGCATGGGACACCAGGTAAAGGCCCATCGCCCTGCTGCATGTTTCTGTGTAAGGTGTCAGCGTAACCCGTCATTCGTCTTCAGCGGTCTGGATGTAGGTCTGGCCATGCAGCTGCTCGACTGCCACTACTCAGATGCTCAGGTCCGTTCAATAGCTGTCAGGAAGCTGGAGACGCTGGAGGACGACGATGTGCTCAGATATCTTCTCCAGCTTGTCCAGGTGGGACGCCTTTCCTTCTTTATTATTGTCCGTAAGTGTGAGTAACTGCTAGATACATTTAAATGAATCCCTCAAAGGAATTTATGTCAGTAACTTTTTCCCTTCTGGAGTCCCCATGGTCCACAGTGGCCGCCTCAGCTAATCAGCTAACGCTAACACGACATTGACTCGGTCAGTTTTACAGACACTGGGCCAAGTTTTGTTTTGACAGAAGCTGAGATTTGTTTATAAAACATCCTGAAAGATCACACAAGAACTTGTACTAAGAAGTATACAACTGTAGCATAAACAATGGCAGATATTCATTCCTTAAAGGAATATTAGGTTTTTAATTGTTTATTTTACATCTAAAACAACTGAAACCCGCGAACAGTTGTCACCAGCAGATAACTGTTGCTGATTTCATTTGACATTGTACAAATAACCAGGTTTTAAATCTGATGCCAGCAAATCCAGCCAGCTGCTCCTAAAGTCATGCACTCCCTCCATTATTTGTTAAAGCTTTGTTTATAATCATTAACACACACACAGTGGAAACAGCTCATGCTAAGTGGGGACTCTCCTTCTTTAAAGGGATTGCTTCAGCTTGTTAGCTCAGAGACTAAACGTCCTCACACTCGTGAGAAGTCCACATCACTTCCTGTTTGACTTCCTGTGTGTTTTCATAATAGACTCTGAGGTTTGCGTGATCAGCTGGGCTAAACAAAGGACTCCTTGCTCTGATAGGAAAATTGCTTATCTTTTCATGCCACCGATGTCACAGCATGCTGTGCACTTTATTAAAATGTTGATGTATTTTTATCTCGGATTTGTTTTGAATTGTGAGTCAGACTTGACTGTGAATAGTTGCAGCTTTGTAAGGTGAAGGCTGAGTTTGCAGGTCGCGGGTGCATCTGATCTATTTTTAGACTGAGTTTAGCTTGTTCCTGGTTTTAGATGGACTGTTGGTAAAACCTTTAATGATATGAGTACATTTTACCATAAACAGCATCTGTGACCCTCGTCTGAAGTACAGAACTGCATCCCACTAAGCTATGTTGCTATTCAAATAATAGCTTTAAGGAAATGATTAGCTATCAAAAGTTGAATTACATCTCAAGCCTCACCCTTCGTTGCTTTATTCTTTTACCACGTGAACTGCATGGTGTGGGTACACTGAGTTCTGTGTTGTCATCTGCAGTTCCTTCATTGCTGCAGTCAAATGTTCACTGAGCCATTCAGCATCCTCTAAACCTCTGTGTGAAATTCTTCATTCTCATGGTAGTTCTTCAAAAAAGCTGTTTGCATTTGTGGGGTTACATTTTCTCCTTAGATAAATGTTCACTCTGATTCTGTCATGGATGCAGCATTATCGGATACAACAAAGCATCTATGTTCCTGTGCAGTCGGCAGACTTTTTATTATTATTTTTTATTTAGATCTGGTAGAAAATAATATAAAAGAACAGAATCATTTTCCTCATACGGTTTTTTTTATTACTAAAATGATCTGAAATCAGCAGTATTTATCACAAGTAGCATGTTGTAACCTGTTATTTTTGAAGCCAGGACACTTATGGGGTAGAAAAACGTGCAAATTTTAGCCAGAGTTTGTTTTTTCACGCTGAATAAAAATCAGAGCTGTATCCTAATAAGAGCAGATGTTAAAGCGTGTGTGTGCATCATCGTCTCCTCCTGCAGGCGGTGAAGTTCGAGCCGTACCACGACAGCGCTCTGGTCAGGTTCCTGCTGAAGAGAGCTCTGAGGGTAAGATGGATTAGTGCTCCAGTTTTACACAGCATCATCAGTTGTGTGTGTGTGTGTGTGTGTGTGTGTGTGTGTGTGTGTGTGTGTGTGTGTGTGTGTGTGTGTGTGAGAGAGAGAGAAAGGAATGAGCGAATTTTTAACAACCAACAAGTCATTTTCTGTTTTAACAAATTTGTATCAGAAACCATCACAGCAGTTTCAACTGAATAATTAGAAAACTTGCCTTTTAAATCCACATCAGAATAAACGTTTAGACCCAAATGAACTTTAACCCTACACCACAGAGCAAGCGCATCGGCCATTTTCTTTTCTGGTTCCTCCGGAGTGAGATTGCCCAGTCCATGCACTACCAGCAGAGGTACGCCGTCCTGCTTGAGGCGTACCTCAGAGGCTGTGGTGAGGACATGCTGCAGGACTTCAGGAAACAGGTGAACAATCAGTTTTATGCTTTTTTTAAGAAGTTTTATTTATATATGTGAGCACAGCTGGGGCAAAATGGGCTCTAAAACAGCTGACGTTTACTAGGTGGAGATGACCGAGGCTCTGCAGAAAGTCACGCGTGAAGTCAAGACCATGTCTGCTGACAAATGTGACATCACGGCACAAGGTGAGGTGGACAGAAGCAGTTTACGTTCTTCTGTTCTTTGGATCAATCTAAACGTGTGTTTTGCTTTTGAAAGTGGTGTTTCAGCTGCGTCAGAAGTTGGAGACTCTACAGTTGTCTGGTCTGCCAGAGAGTTTCAGAGTCCCTTATGATCCAGGACTACGAGCTGGAGCGCTGCTGGTGAGGAAATCACAGCCCTTTAACTCGAGCTACTCGAGTGTCCAGGTCTGAATTTCACTAAACACTGTTCATGTGTGCAGATCGAGCAGTGCAAAGTGATGGCATCCAAGAAGAAGCCCCTGTGGCTACAGTTCAAACGGGCCGACCCCACCACTCTGTCCAAAGATCCCATTGGTATCATTTTCAAAGATGGCGATGACCTCAGACAGGATATGCTCATCCTGCAGGTTAGCAGTAACACTCAGTAGCCTACAGAGCATGACTTACTTAATTCTTGAGGACAACAAACGTGCATTTATCCTTTTTCAGATTCTGCTCATAATGGAGTCAATCTGGGAGACGGAGTCTCTGGATCTGTGTCTGTTACCATACGGCTGCATCTCTACTGGAAACAGAATAGGTCAGATACTCTGGATTAATCTGAGATTATGTTTATGTATTTAGCAGATGCTTTTGTCCAAAGCAACTTACAGGTGATAACCAAACCAGCAGGTTGCCCTCGAGGCTAACGCCTAGGGCCTCTGTGATGTCAAACCCTCCTCTTCTGTCCTTCACAGGGATGATAGAGATTGTTAAAGACGCCACCACCATCGCTAACATCCAGCAGAGTGTCGTTGGAAGCACCGGAGCTTTTAAAGATGAGATCCTTAATCAGTGGCTGCGGGACAAGTGTGTCAGCGAGGACAAGGTACGTGTCAGGACACGGATATGGTTCATGTTTGTCTCAGTGGCCTCGCACGGCCTCCATCTGGTCAGAGATAAATACGTATCCCATCTACAATACCCTTAAAAGTCTACACCAAAAGAAAGGAAAGCATTACTTATTTGGGGCAATGTTGGTTATATTAAAATGTGTTTGAATAATAATACAAACAAATGAAGGATAAGAAAATGTAAAAATATTAAACTTTTTATTCAAGCATCCTTCTATTTTTACACGTGTTTAGTTCAGGATTTTATTTTGTAATGTTTTGTATCGGGTCCATTTCTGTGCTCGCTTCAATAAGACGTGAACTAAAACGCGCTCTACCAGCTGGTTAAGCTGCTAGTTAAACCTTAACCACGTACCAAACCTCAATTAGCCGTTTCCTGTTTGGGTTCATAAATAAACATGTCGTCATCTGAATTGTGGCTCAACTTTAAAAGTTTATTTGCCTTCCATTAACACTCCCTTTGTTTTGTGAAAAATAAAATTTAAAGCAAAAAGACTTCAAATGTTATCAGACAAAAAAAAAAACTGGATTCACTAAAACTTTACTTTGTGAAGTGCCTTGAGACGACTCTTGTCGTGATTTGGTGCTACATAAATAAACTGAACTGAATTAAAACAATTTTCAATTCAAATCAAGTTTATTTATAAAGCACCAACTCACGACAAGAGTCGTCTCAGGGCACTTCACAAAGTAAACATTTCAATACAGTTCAGGTCATTAAGCCAGTCAGCAGAGGTGTGACCAAGTCACTCCTTTGCAAGTCACAAGTAAGTCCAAGTCGAGTCCAAAGTCAGTGATATGGAAGTCCAAGTCCAAGTTCTTAACTTTGATTTTTAAAGTCATAGTCAAGTCATCTGTCCAACTTCAAATTCATGATAATGATGATAATTAAATTCCAGAAATAAAGCTTAATTTATTTGCTCAAACAAGCAGAAAGTGCAACTGAAACTGATTATAAACAAAGTGCTGCTGCAGTCAGCAGTACATCAAACCCAGAACAAAGAATGATTTATGATTTTTGTCCATGTCGTGCCACTTTTGTGCTAAAATATCAAATATGCCCAAGTCATCATCAAGTCAACAGATGCAAGTTGATTCAAGTCACAAGTCAATGGCGTTCAAGTCTGAGTCACGTTGTAAGTCATTATAGATTTTATCAAGTCAAGTCAGAAGTCATGAGTCTGACTCGAGTCCACACTTCTGCCAATCAGTAAAAAGTTTCCTATATAAGGAACCCAGCAGGTTGCATCGAGTCACTGTTTTAGTTGCATCACCCTGATCCGTTTACATGCTTTTGTTCTGTGTCGGTTAGAAATGACCACAACTAAAGAAATGCGTGTGTTGGTTTAAAAAAGTGGTTCCCAACCTTTTTTTTTCAGGGGCCCCCCCTTTTCTGTGTGCAAGACAATCCAGGGCCTCCCAACCCCAACTTCTACTCACACACACACACAATTAAAGTTAATAATTACAAACTTCATACAGCAACAGCTCCATCCTGCCTGGATAGCATAGAGCAGTGGTTCCCAAACTTATTTAGCCGCGCACCCCCTTCTATGTCCCGACCATGTCGACGCACCCCCCAGCCCCCACATCAGGGCATGGCTCTAATGTTTATTAATTGCTATTTAAAAAATGAAAGTGATGGGGGAAAAGTTAATAAGTATTCTATACCATTACAATTTCCTTTGATTTAATTTTAAATAAATATTGAGTGCCCAGGTAGCACATAAACAATGCAATTTAACGGTTTTCTTAAAGTAGGAACGTTTAACCTGTGCGGCCAGAGCGCTCTCCTTCCTTCTGCTCTGCTTAAACCTGAGCTGGTCACCTACTTGTGCGTAATCAAATGTCTATAGGGGAAAATATGGAAACGATATAGCCATGAGGTTCACTTTTGACTCAGACCGACTTATTGCTGTTTTATGGTGTGGCTGAATCTGCGATCCGCTGCCACGCGGACTGGAACAACAAATGCTGCAGTAACATGAGATGTGGTCAGGTTCAGAGTCACTGGCTGGAGCGGACCCGACTTTAATACGTCATCCCAGAATAGAAGCTAATATCTTAATTTGACCTTGAATGAAAAATGTTATAAAACCTCTTAAAAGTTTTTATCACAGTGGAGGCAGCGCTCATTCTGCCTTCAGTCTGACAGCGCGCCGGAGTTTGCGCAGCGTGCGCGCTTATTGAATCTGTGTGTGTGTGTGTGTGTGTGTGTGTGTGTGCGCGCACGGCACAGCTCCATGAAGCTTGGTTTATGCTTGATGCATTCACTTCCCGCCTGGTGATGCAGCTCGCGGATGGAACGCGCTTCACAACTTGCAGCGTTTAAGTCACCGCGTCTCGTTATTAGCGCTATTTAAACTTCTGCCCAGCCCAGATGTGCTCACATGTGCACCCGTGAGCCGTGGTTCCGCTGGAACGCGTCTGACCTCTGACAGACGCACTCTGAACTTCAGATCGGCTGAATGGGAATCATTTCTTGTTTTATTTTGTTACATCCAAAATGTTCTGTGTGTGAGGTTTACAATGTCAGAACACCTGCATGAGACAGGTGTTAATTACAATCTGCCAGAATGACTCACCACCTTCAGATTCCTCCAACACCGTTAAAAATTATCAAATACGGAACATATCGGCGTGCGCAGGCCAGAGTGCTGAAGCTCAGCACATTATTATTATGAAGCTAGGGCACATGCGGAGGACACACACACAAGCCAAATATACTTGTTTTCAATAAAATTTATTGTGCCCTCTTACTATTTCTTTGGCCCACCCACAAATGAGTTTCTGGCTACGCGAATGGTGACATCTGACAGACTTCTCTGAGCTCCGCAGCCATTACACTTTTCACTTCGCGCACCCTCTAGCGGCAGCTTGCGCACCCCCAGGGGTGCGTGCACCACACTCTGGGAATCCCTGGCATAGAGAGTGTTCACATTACCATAGCCTGCCTTTTTTCAGGGTGCAACCGGCCTGTTTTTCAGCCCTCTTCCTGAGGTGGTCTGCCTCAGGCTGGCCAGGGCCAACACACCCACTGCTGACTGATAAAGCTGGGCGGACACTGTGTGACTTTTTCACTCGTAGCACTCAGCTTCAGCTCAAACTGTACGACTTCCTCGCAGTCTCAGAGCAGATCTCACGAGCCATGTGCTCACACTGTACGACCCAGTTCTCGGATGCGACCTGACTGCTCACACTGTACGTCTGGTAGCAACACGTCGGCCCTAAAAATATGCTAAAAATAGCAGTTTTTACACAACACGTCAGACTTTTTTGTCTTGTTTTTCCTGTTGTCCTTCGGGAGTGCTGCAGGAGGACACACAGGGATTTATGGGGTTGGATGAGGAAAACGAAATAAAGAAAGTAAATCTGTGTTTAGTGATCAGTTTAATTTGACATGAACACGACAAACATGCTTTCTTGACAATCCTTGTCACTGTGAGTTAAAAAAAAAACGTTTAGAAATAAAAACGAACAACGTGAGTTATTAGGGAAATAGCGGGTGAGCGGTGTTGATGCATGATTGCGCATGCGCCGTGAGCGGTTCTGGTACTTTTTGGGTTGCAGCTGCTCGCTGCGCCGCTTCAACCCTCCTGAGGAACGAGCAGAATATCAAACACTCCAGAAGTCCCTTCAAGCTCACGATTGCTGATCGGCAGCTGGTCACGTGTTAATCACCTCTCGTAACCCCCTGTACACTACACGACGCTCAGCGCAAAACTCACCCCGATCTTGTGGATTCTCGCACGAGTGGAATATCGGCTCAATCAATCAATCAATCAATCAATCAATCAATCAATCAATCAAAGCTTTAAGTGAAAAAGTTGCAAAGTGTACGCCCGGCTTAAGCCAGCTCAAATTCACACCTTCCATTAGGAGAACCCTCCGATTGGTGGGTAGAAGCAGCCCACCTGGGCTTATGGCGTTCTCATGCTGATTACCTAGGAGCTGAGAACTTCTCTGACTGCATTCCTTGCATCAGCTGGGCCAGGCTGGGGCTGACTGGGGCTATCCGGGTGCAGTGGAGCTGGGGCCAGAGTTGCGGCTCTTACAGAATTTAGATTTTACTACTAGGTGTGTTTTGGGTATTTTATAAATGTATTTTTTTTTACAAATATAATATTGGTAACCTCACAACATCAGCACAGACAAAAATATGGGGGCCCCTGCAATCTTGTGGGAACCACTGGTTTAAAACACGATCCCTGACTACAACGGCTCTGTGTTTTTCTGTGAAGCCGCTCAGATGCTCTTCTGCTGCTGTGGACCCATTCATGTTGTTGGTAGGAGGAAATGCAGAAGTGTGAAAATGGTTGTGTGGCATTTCTGTTCAGGTTTCAGTTTTAGTTGATGAGTAACTGAGAAGTAGAACTTTTTTCAGAGTAGATGTAGTATTTGACCAAAGTACAAAGAAAAGTTTCAATCCATCTGGAGAAGAACAGAACAGATTAAATAGCATCCTCTAAATGTAAATGTGAAGCTGCTACTCCAATAATCACAACCTCCTCAGGAAGTGACATCATCAGCTGAGTAGAGACTTGTATATCTAACATGTACAACTTCACTATAGTGAAACTTTAACAAGCAAGCTGCTCAAACCACGAGCTCTGATCTTTGTGTTTGATTTTCTTTCTCTCAACAGAAACATGAATGTATCAAACAGCAGAACCATCATTATGACTTACAGCCACAGCATTCTCGCTCTTTTAGGTCAAAATTGATGTATTTTTTATTTATTTAACTGATGGGGTTTGGAACGAAGTGCTGAGAACACATCCCTTCTTAGAAACACTTCAACAACCCTTTGATGGAAACCTTAACACCTGATAACACCCATCCAATAATCAGCTGACCTTAGAATCTGTAGGTTAATAATAGGGGTTATTCTATTCCCTCCATGTTGCAGCTGGAATAAATAAAATTGCTTAAAACTAACAGAATAATTTAAATTTTCATTTCTTTGCTAGTTCAAAAAAATTCCAGCCAAGCAGCTTTTGCATACCTCATATTTTTACTCAAAACTAGAAAAATTGGATCATATTTAATAATATTTACCTTACTTTAAGTAAATCTGTTTTTAGAGATCTTATTTCTTTTTGGACTAAAAATTAAATTAAATGGCTAGAAATTAACATTATTTACTTTCCTAGAAATCAGTTTTTGCTTTAAAGTCATCTTCTAGATTTAGGTCTGAACAAAAGCATCAGACATTTTGCTACACTGAGAAAATCTTCCCAGCTTTTCTAAAACGTCTATCATTTGGTCACAACCCACCTCACACCCGTTTAACTTTCACAGCAGGTGTTGTGCTGACTATTTGCACTTTATAGTCATTGTGCAGCTTTGTTTCCTGCAGCAGGTTTTATTTTAAACCAGTCGGGAGGAAATGATGTCGGACAGGAAGGAAGTGAGGTTGGGGTTTTCTGCAGCCACATTTTTCTGCTTGTTGCCTTGTTGTTGTTCCATGTGTTTCTGTGGAACCTGAAGAAGTGACCAGTTCTCTCTCTCTCTCTCTGTGTGTGTGTGTGTGTGTGTGTGTGTGTGTGTGTGTGTGTGTGTGTGTGTGTGTGTGTGTGTGTGTGTGTGTGTGTGTGTGTGTGTCTGTGTGTGTGTGTGTGTGTGTGTGTGTGTGTGCGTGCGTGCGTGCGTGCGTGTGTGTGTGCAGTTCCAGCAGGCTGTGGAGAGGTTTCTGTACTCCTGCGGGGGTTACTGTGTGGCCACGTATGTCCTGGGCATCGGGGATCGTCACAATGACAACATCATGATCACCGAGTCAGGTCAACATCTTCTCACTGAGGAAAAAACCTTCTCTCCATCTGAGAGGAAATTCAAACAAATCTCTTGTATTCCTGCAGGGAATCTGTTTCACATCGACTTTGGTCACATCCTGGGGAATTACAAGAGTTTCATGGGAATCAGTAAGGAGTGGGTTCCCTTTGTGCTCACGCCAGACTTCCTGTTCGTCATGGGGACATCGGGGAAGAAGAGCAGCCCCCACTTCCAGAAGTTCCAGGTGGAGAAAATGTTTTCTTTTTGGCTTTTAACTAGAATTGACCAAACTAGGAAGGACTTTAGATTCAGGCACATTCATGAACAGCTTGTTCTGGTGCATTCTGGGATTTGTAGTGTTAGTGTTATTTTTTTTTAACTGATTATGAAGCATAATTTTGGCCGTGTTTGAGTTGAGCTGCGCCTCACCTGGAAAACAGACGAGAGCAGATGGAAGCAGCAGGGGGAGTGGCTGAAAGCCGGCGTTTAAGTCGGACACAATTTCCTGCATGTGTTGCTCGCGGGTGACGATGGATGAAGATATCGCGTTGGCGTTCACACTTGTTTAACTTTCAATATTAATTCTGGTGCCTGTTAGCAGCTGAAACACATCCTCATGTGCTTGTGGATATCATATATTGTATATGAAGACATGACTGTAATAATAAGTAAAAGCTGTAGGTTTAGTGTGCTCATAGGAAACGTGACAAAAGAACACAAATCACATTTCTCTTTATGGCCTATATAGTTGTCATCATCAATGTAACATGATTTACAGAATACATGTGACCAACTAACATTTCATGTTCCACCACTGGATGTTTGGATCAAAATGTAAACCAATCAGATCTTAGATCAGGTGAGAGCCAGGCGTTTCCCGTCATCCCCTAGGTTTTGCAGCCGGTGCAGAGCAACTGCAGCACCTTGCTCCAAAATCTGCGGCCGCCTTGATCTCACGAGGTTATCGTTGCCTACGTATGCATGACGTCAGAGCAAGTGGGCGTCAAATCGGACACAAATCTAACCGGCATGCACAGCTCGCCGATCACCGCTGGTCTAATCTGCGCAGAACTGGCTCATCTCGAACACAGCCGTTGATAGGATTGTTGCTGTGGTTTGAGAGGATAATCCTGGGTGTTTTTTTTTACCACTTTATAAAGATGAATTTTGATGCATTACAGTTACGACTGTTGGATTTATAATTTGTAAGTTAAAAACCACGTTCTTCCATTCTCAGGATGTGTGTGTGAAGGCCTACCTCGCTCTCCGCCACCACACCAACCTCCTCATCATCCTCTTCTCCATGATGCTGATGACTGGTATGACCTCTGTATGGCTTTTTCCCAAAGAACAAGCTTACACTGAAATGAAAAACCTGCCTCATATCCTCCAGGTGGCGTTTTTTATGACACCTGAGGACGTTTTAAAGAGACATTGTGCAGTTTTTAACCATTAATTTGTGGAAATATCCATTGAAATGTTGTTGTAAAAGAATTAAAAGATACCCAGTTGTTGAAAAATATTGGCGCTTTCACATTCCAGAGCCTAGGGGCCGCTACAGAGAAAGCCTAGTCACCTCTGAGCTTGCGTCTTGTTTTTGGGACCTCCAGGGTTTATCCTATCAGCCGACCTCAGAGACCGTGCAGCGGAGTAAAAAACCAGTAGCTCAGAGAGGTAATCCGGAGCGAGGCCATGCAGAGATTTAAAAGCCCATAAAAGCACCTTGTACTGGATTCTAAAACAAACAGGCAGATAGAAGAAGAAACAATCTTTTCTTTAGTGCCTCTCAAGAAAAAAATCACGAGGCGCTTCACAAAAACAAAAACAATTTAAAATGTAAAAAAAATTTCAAAAATGGTCAAAAATATATTTAAAATAAGCAAAAATAGACAATTGTGATAAAAAAAAATGCAAAGAAAGAGAAAGAGAGTGAATAGGAAAGAGGGAAATCAGTTAAACCTGGGGAAGGTGGAATAGGTGAGGAGAGCAGAACAAGGAGAGGCTGGTGATGAAGGTCACACCAAAACCAGCCTGAACAAGTGAGTTTTCAGTTGTTTTTCAAGGAGACCACCGAGTCCACTGATCTCAGGCTCAGGGGGAGAGAGTTCCAGAGTCTGGGGACCACAGCAGCAAATGATCTGTCACCTTTGGTCTCTAGCCTGGTGCTGCACAACCAGTAGGCTTTGACCACTGGACCTCAGGGACCTGCTGGGGGTGTAGGGACTAAGAAGATCACCAATGTAAGATGGTGCTTGTCCATGTAAGGCCCTATAGACCAGAACCAGGATCTTGAAATGAACCCTGAAGTTGACTGGCAGCCAGTGAAGCTGGAGGAGAAGTGGGGTGATGTGGGTGTGTTTGGCGGACTTGGTCAGAAGCCGAGCACAGGCATTCTGAACCACCTGTAGACGGTTCAGGGAGGTTCTGCTCAGACACGTGAAAAGAGAGTTACAGTAGTCTAAGCGTGAGGAGATGAAGGTGTGGATAACTAGGGGTGGGTGCAATTAATCGATGTGGCGATGCATCTAAAAGCTTAACATGTTGTTTCGGCATCGATTAATGAACGTCGATGCTTAAAAAAACATAACATCAAAGTTTTGTTGCGAAGCCGGTACTAAAAAAAAAAAAAACACGTAACCGGAGCCTTAACAAGCGCGCCGCCCGGACTGTTTAGTGAGTGGCACTACCTCTTTGACCTCTTTCTCCATCCTGGACTACCGAAGAACTCAGAGAAGGCGAGGAGCATTACAAAAGCAATAGCTACTTTTATCACGACGGATCTACGCCCGTATTCAGTAGTAAACAACAGGGGGTTTCGGTTTGTGGTGTGCACCATGGCGCCGCGCTATAAACTTCCTCACCAAAAACATTTCGCAGAAAAAGAAGTCCCCCACCTCTACGAGGAAACCAAAGCAAGCGTTCTGGAGTCCATGAAGAAGGCAACCGGGATAGCGCTCACATGCGATGCATGGCCATCGGTTGCCACCATATCCTTTGTTACTGTAACGGTGCATTTTGTTCTCACGTCGGACAAGAACGGGTGGAAGTTGGTGAGTCATGTTCTTCAAACTCGAGAGATGAGAGAGAGTCAAAGTAGCACAATGCTGACATTTGCCCATCTCACACAACAGGAGGATGTAGGGTGACAAGAGGGAGGGGAGGGAGTATGGGAGGACAGTTAAGTTTAAGATGAGTATGAGTGTCACTCTGCTCTATTTTGTTGTGTTCACCTCACTGTACTGAAGCTCCAGGCTGAATATATGTTCAGTTGAATTATGCACCTTTGTTCTGAAAAAATGCAACATATTACCTTCAAATATAGCAGGTTTCTTCTGTTACCTATATTCCAGACTGAAAAAGCTGAATTATTTTGAGGAATGCACTTTTGATCTGTATGACAGCTTTTTTGTAATGTTATCATATGCCAGACTCATTAAGTTTCCATTAAATATATTTGATGGAAGTAAAAATCTTGTTTACTTGAATTAATTAGCTCATTAAATCCAGGGCTTGCCTGTTTTCAGTGTTTCCCAACAATGGAGGGGACACTAGTGTAAGTAAAGCTTTCCCTGATCGAAGTTAAGTTGGTCAAAGTGCAAATATTTACACGTCATACAGTCATAAAATGAGAATTTGTCTTTGAAAAATAGTTAAATGTTAAAAAAAATGTACCGGTATTTACTAACAGAGAGTACTGTTTTAGAGGAACTGAATTAATTGATAGGTTATTTATTTACAAATGTAGATAAAGAAGAAGACAATCTTGTATGAAAAAGCATAAAAAATGTCAATAATCGAAGAATCGTGGCACCAGTAATCGAATCGAACCAAAAATCATTATAATCAAAGCATTGAAGCTCCCATAATCGAAATCGAAATCGAATCGTGAAGTACCCTTTTTGGAACACCCCTATGATAACTGTCTCAAGTTCAGAGCGCGACAGAATACCATAATCATAAAAATCAGGTCTAAAATACATGGGTGACGCCGTATTGGATACCATGATTCCTTCTACGGAAAGCCTTGAGGACAGAATGCATTTACTGATTTGTAACAAAGGGTTACAAAACTTTCAGCGTTAATAAACTTTTTACACATTTACTTCACTCATTGCAAGCAATGAAAGAGAATCTGATGTTCTTTTTATTTTGCTGGGGGTTGCACTCTCAGGGATTTTTTACCCTAATGGCCACCTGTTGGTAAGGTCTTACTTGAACACAAAAATAATGCTTGCTTGCAATGATTTAGGTGTCTACTGCCCACTATCGCCTGGGACACTACACACTGTCACTTTAAATTTAGTGTGTTTGATTCAGACTAACTGATTATTTATAATACATTAAACTCAGGTATGCCTCAGCTGACCAGTAAGGAGGACATCGAGTACATCCGTGAGGCCCTGACTGTCGGCCGCAGCGAGGACGAGGCACAGCGCCACCTGTTGGACCAGATAGAGATCTGCAGGGAGAAAGGCTGGATGGTGCAGATCAACTGGTTTGTTCACCTTGTGCTCGGGATCAAACAGGGCGTAGAGAAACGCTCCACTTAGGACAAAATCATCAAATCTATAGACATGAAGGAAAGTCAGGAAGACTTTCAGGCGCTCAAATTACAAACAGATATTTAAAGTTGGATATCATCTCTGATATTGACTTATTTCTCTTCTACGGAAATAAAAGTAAACTAAATGTGAAACAGCTTTTGTTGCACTTTATGGCCCAAGTTTTAAACTAAACTCAAACCAAATATATTCCTTTATTTCCTACATCATTCAGCATCACTATGGAAATCAGAAGCAGCATGAGGTCACATTTCTGAGGTCTGAAGGGTTTTTTATTGTTCTAAAGGTTTTCCTGAATATATGTAGTGAATTTTGTTGCTACATAGAAATAATCTAAACCCTTTAGGTCCTTTTTTGTATTTGTTAAAGTTGAATTTCTCCTACCTGCTTCCTGACATTTCATATTTGTTCTTTAAGTAACTGCCAGGTAAATAATGTCTAACATTTTCAAAATTTGGCACATTATCTTTCTAATCTTAAAGGTTGAATATGGGACACACACACTGGTAATGTAACAGAAAACATTTTCCAGCCGCTGGTTCACTGCTTACACCTTAAGTGACCTGCCAGCACCATGTCCGGTGACAGGGTAAGGACTAATTTCTACTACTAAGTTTAATTTACAACAGTATATACTGTTAGAACATCTCCTGGGCTCAGAATCAGCTGCTTGACTTTAAATCTGCCACTTTACCCAGTCCCAGCCTCGCCGAGCTGAGCACAACTGTACCCTCTAGTGGCTGGTAGATGTAAACAAACAGTGACAGCATTACATAAAAAAAATACAGCTTTAAAGGAAAAACTGTACATTCTGCACACCTCTGAACGCCCCATGGAGGTATTGTTTTAAACAGCTTTATTAAAATGTTCCATATTCCAGCTTTAAATAAAATAAAAAAAATTCAAATGTTTGTTTGTCGTAGTCAGTTAATTTTTTTAAGTTTTCTAGTCAGAGATTAAGAAAATGAAGTCCTTTATTGATTTATTAACCATAACTTTTGTTTAAAGTCCATTTACATATTGTCATGTTCTGTGGTACTCTTGACCCACGACATGCAGAATCAGAGGCGGAAACAGGGAGGTAAGAAAATCAATTTATTTTAGAATGGAGAACTCAAAGTGCTGCTCAAACTGATGCAGGAAGTACCAGGATGTTCTAAAGGAGAGACAAAGGTCAATATCCGTGAGAGATGATGAGATGGATGACTGAAGGTTTAGGCTTACTGTCAGGAGGTGGTTGGAGGGCGTGTGAAGGAACACTGGTTGGTCTGTGAAGAAGGGTTGCAAAGGGGTCTTGATGAAGAACGAGGTCCAGAGTTTCTGCGTGGTGAGCTTAAAGGGTCAGGCGGTAGGGGGTGCAGCCAAGTTAAAGTAAAGTAGGAGTACATCCATTGTCAAAAGGTCTGGAGAAAGAAACATCATTGCATAGGTTTGCTGCCTCAGGTTTTATTAAGGTAAAACTCCAGAATGCTCTAAGTGATCAAATGAATTACATTTGACAATGAACTTGATAAAAAAAACTTTTCCAAAACAAAACTTTAAAATGAGACTTTTGGCTTGTTTTTAGCACCCCCTAGTGTCCAGTCAGTCGAAGCAAAAGTGAAACTTATCTCCTCGCTGTGCGTTTCGTGTTTTTTAACACCTTAATCTAATGCTGAAAAGTCTCCTCAGCCTTCATTAGTGTCTACAGGGGTGGTTCATCACTAAATTAAACAAATCAGCTGTGGAAGCAGACTGCACCAACAGGTATGTCAGCTCCACTTTTACTATGTCCAACAGGAGGCGGCCCACCCTCTGAAGTTGAAAGTGCAAATTCTAGCCACAAAGTCAAAGTGACATTCATTGGCCATGTAAAGGGTCAGTTTAGCACATATTGACTCAAGAAAATAATTTATTTAAAAATATGATAAAGTTGCATAGTGTGGCTTTAAAAGATTGCCTGGTGTTGAAGGGCAGCGAAGAAGCCGCTTGTCTCCATAAAAAAATAAATAAATAAAGCAAGAAATGGTCCCTGAACATCCTCCTGCACTGGGCTATTAAAGCAAAAGTTAGAACCAAGTTGTACCAAGGAAGAAAATAAAACCCGAGGTTCAGATCCAACTGGTCTCTAACCTGTTAACTTGTGATCAGCTCTCAAGAAGCAGATGAACAAAGAAAACATCCCTAAATCCTTGACAACCCCAAGCACTGATGATGAGGGATTGATTTGGACCAGAAGGTGAGCATGTTGCAGGGAACCGTGAAGGAGAGACCCAACACTCTAAATATTGAATAAACCCAATGTAGTTTCCAATAAAAACCTTTGAAGCTTAGGAAATGTTTTTCATTTGACTTCAGTAATTATAGAGGACATCTGAAATGTTAGGGATTTTATCAGTATGTTTATCAATTACCCATTTCCTGTAGTCGAAGAGAAAAGGAGACAATGAGACAAGTCAACCAGTTATAACTGTGGCATATGCATGAGGCAAAATGCCTCGAACATCTGGTCAGAGAGAGAGAGAGAGAGAGAGAGAGAGAGAGAGAGAGAGAGAGAGAGAGAGAGAGAGAGAGAGAGAGAGAGAGAGAGAGAGAGAGAGAGAGAGAGAGAGAGGAGAGAGAGAGAGAGAGAGAGAGAGAGAGAGAGTGAGAGAGAGAGAGAGAGAGAGAGAGAGAGAGAGAGAGAGAGAGAGAGAGAGAGAGAGAGAGAGAGAGAGAGAGAGAGAGAGAGAGAGAGAGAGAGAGAGAGAGAGAGAGAGAGAGAGAGAGAGAGAGAGAGAGAGAGAGAGAGAGAGAGAGAGAGAGAGAGAGAGAGAGAGAGAGAGAGAGAGAGAGAGAGAGGAGAGAGAGAGAGAGAGAGAGAGAGAGAGAGAGAGAGAGAGAGAGAGAGAGAGAGATGTCTAAATAAGTGAGCATGCAAAAGAGGCATAGAGCAGTACATGTTACATTCAGTTGATTGAATCAATGATCAAGAATTAATAAACATAATTTCCATAACATGGAAAACAGAGCCAACAACCTGAAGCAGCAAACAGTATGTAAACCAACACTTCTCACAACTTTGGCCATGGCTGTAAAACGGAAATATCACTGGAAGTCTGTTAACATGTCTGAAACTGGACCAAACTGTTTTTCATCCCATAATTTATGCAACATGATCTCAAGTCTTAGCTAATAAAAGAACAGTATTTGTCTTTAAGTTTACTTAAACATAAAAAAAATGATTTTCAGTCATTCTTTATGAATTTTTAAATGCTTTTTATTGATTCTGGACAATAAATACACTGAAATGTGATCACTTCTCTGTACTTTGTATTATAAGATTAAAAACACAGATTATACAAACACTTCTCTCCTACTTTTCATTGTTCGCAACTTCTGCTGTGTCCAAATAAACATAATAAAGTGATGTAACAGACTGTGCCCACTAGATGGAGCTACACAGCAAGCTCATCCCAGCACACCAACCCCCTCTGTCTCTCCTCTGGTTTTGTTTCCTGTCCTGGTCCCCCTCTCTTCCTGTCTCCTGTAGTGTCAGCTGAGTGGGCGTTGAGCAAGCAGAGCGAGGAACATCTCTTTCTTCTCTGTTTGGTGTGCTGTAAGCAGCAGCATACGCTGTTGTCTACAGCGTTGAGAGTATAAGTGGATTAGACAGATTAGCATTGTGTTTCTCCTGCAGCTTTGAGGCCCTTTTTCGATGATATTAATTGTTACCTTACTGATGAACTTGCGCGGTAGCTTGACACTGATGGTGCCCTCTGAGTGGTGCTCCAGACCAATGTTTTCATGGAGAATGCCCCAAGTTCTCAGTTCTTCTAAAAATGTAAAGAGCTGATTTAAATTCTGTCCAGACTCAGGTTGACTAATGTGCTTAATTTAAAGTTGGATGTTTTTAAGGAAACTTGGAGAATACCTTCTTATGTTAATTCTTCTTAATGATGGACTTTAAAAATTTCAGGGATGCTAATTTTCTTCTAGCACTAGCTCCCTCAGCTTGTGACAGGGCTGTGAGACTGATGTGGGCGGGAAATGGAGGAAACTGAAGCGTCAGAATTGATTCCCTCTCTCTTTTCTGTTTATTATCTCTGGTTCCTCTCCAGGAAGACATGAACCAGATCAGACAGCGAGGGAAATCACACTTTGAGTGTGCACATCTGTTTCTGTCAGTTTTACATGTTTTAATGGGCTTTGGTCTGACCTCACTTCTTCTAGGGGGTTATTTTCAGGTTGGGGCCTGGTGTTTGAGGTCGTCAGGCCTCTGAGGTTGTGGGTTTAGGTACCAGGCTAAGGTTAAAGGCACTGAGGGTGCTTAACTACACGATCTGTGTGTTCATGTGTTCATCTGAAATCTGCTGTATGTGCTTAGTAATGAAGTGTAGGTGTGATTCACTCTGTTTATGGTGGGTGTCTTAGTGGCCTGAAGAGCATAAATACAGATTTAATGCTTTTCGTCTGTGTTCAGTGAGTGTGGACTGTTTCCGCTACATTGCTGCAGTGAACACGACTTTGAAAGGAGAGAAAAGGAATGAAATTTTCTTACAGGCATGGTCGAGTTATTTAAGAATCACCGGTAGGTTTCCTTCTGTGGTTTTAGGTGGTTTTTGGGTCAGAATTCTGACCAGTAGCTGCCCATACTTCAGTGGAGTTAATTGTGAAAAATATTTTTTTCTATATAAATCTTGAGGATTTCTAACAAGTTCTCAATCTAATTATGATCTGAGGAGTTTCCTGGATCTGGACCCAAAATGTTGATGTTTTATCCTCTGACCCACTTGGTTCTCTGAATTTAGCATTCTGGTCCAGTGCTTGATCATGCTGGAAAAGAAAAAATTTGTCATTGAACTGTTCTTGGATGGCTGAGAGGAGTTCCTCTGGGAGCATGTTTAGATACCATTCTTTATTCATTGCTGCTCTGAGGCTAAAATGTGTGTGAGTCCGATCTGTTGGCTGAGAAGAAACTTGCCGCACAAATGATCTCAGCATGATTTACTGGTGGCAGGACACGGAACGGACGGATTCTTGGTTCATGGAGGAAACCGGAGTACATGGAGAAAACCCGTGCTGGGAGAACATGCCAACTGTCAGGACTCGAACTGGCGACCTTTCTGTGAGGCGAAAAGTGCTATCAACTACCACCATGGAACCCCCAACTAAAAACCAAATAAAATATTACTTTTTGCATTAAATTTTTAATTTTTGTTCCATTTATTTTAATGGCAAAGAGGGGACTTCATTTAATTATTTGACAAAAATTTCAAATAAAATGTATTTAATTCAAACAGAAATACAAAAGAAACCCCAAAATATACCAAACAATCAAGAACAAACAGGAGCAGAATTAATATGACCTTTAATTTGTCTCTGCCCCTTTTTTAAATAATGCAAAACATCTTATGAGTAATAAGTAAAATAAATCATTTTAAATGTAACTCATATCACTCTCCTAGAGTTTGTTAAAAGTGCCATCATAAAAGACGATTAAAATTTCAGTTGCATTAAAACCATTCCTTAAATCACATGTGTCAGACAAGGCCCGCGGAGCATTTTTATGTGGCCCGCAAGATAAATATAAAATATATAATAAAACTGACCCGCTGGCCAATTTTACAGCAAATACTACAACTCCCATGATGCTTTGCGGCATTAGCGTGGAGCCGAAGCGCTCCCTCCTTTGTGTTTTTTCCAGCGTCTGCTGCTGGTGTCTGCAGCTCCGCTGTCTCAGACAAACTAAACACTCCTCTCACTCAGCGCCGAGTTTACTCAGCTATTTACCAACATTGAAGCCCAGAAGCGGAGATTCTAGCCGCTCATTAATCTCTTCACGACTGAAAGAGAAAGTTTTCCGACTAACTTCCAGACAGAGCTGATATAACTCCAGCAAGCAGCGACACACTCAAATCAACATGACTCTGTGGCTGCTGTAGTTTTTATTGTTCCTCCCCGACACACAACAGCGTGGTCAAGCTGCTCAGACATGTTCAGCAGCACAAATCTATGTGAGGACCTGTTGTCATCTAATGTTGTCATTATTATGATGAAGATGAACAAAACAACAGGAGTCTCCTCCTCAGCTCAGATCAACCCCATGATGCAGGTATCTGGCTGGAACAGGTGAGCATCACAGTAAACCAGTGGAGCAAACTGAGCTTTAAATATTTTTGGTTTTATGCTCTTTTTCTGCTCCAAAACATGAAAGTTAACAGGTGAGACATTGCATTTTCATTTAAGATAAAATTATATTTTAATTTTGTTGATGGCCCGTGAGCAAAGCTTTAACTTACAGTAAAACAGGAACTGGAAAGGCTGCAGATAGATGAATAGAATAGAAAATCCCTTTATTGTTCCTCAGTGGGGAAAGCTAAATGTCACAGCAGCGATGACACGTATTACAGGAGAAAAAAGGAGAATAAAAAATAAGAAGAATGAATAAACAACAAGAAAACATAAATCCTGAATAGATTTTAAAAATGCTGAATTATCACAAGTAATGAATACCACTGATGCATTTTAGAGCAAGTCAACCCCTACCAGATTCTAACTCCACTCCCACTTCATGTTTGAAAAATGCAACAAATGCTGTTGCCTGGCAGACCGAGGGGGCGGAGCTGCTAACAAATACACACACACACAGGCATTGTGACATCATAATCTACCAGTTTACATCATAGCATACCTCTTAGCCAATAGCGGTGGCAGATTTAAATTAGAATACAATGCAGAGTTTTTACCTGACAACGGCACAACACTGCCAGTTTTAGGCAGAATATTTAAATTTTAACTAAGATGCACCGAAGTGCCAAATTATTGATGGCACGTGTCTGCAGCACGATTAGACACTCGTTTCTTTAGTTTATCAGCAAAAAAAAGGTTATTTGGGGTGACTTGCTCTTTAAAATTGACTTGCTCGTGTGTAATTTGGTTATTCCACATTCAGTGATAACCCTTTAAGACCTGCCATAGAACAAGTTCGTCAAAACTTATATTTACATATTTACATGCTGTGGTGCAATTTTTTGGAGTATTTCAACTTTCTATACGTCAATACAACCCTTACGTTCTAAATTTTAATTATATAAAGGAGGGAAGATGTACCGTTTGGCAGGTAATCAAACCGTTCGTAGTGGTGTGTGAGTGTATGTCGGGAGTTTGTAGGGAGTGTGTGATATGTGTAGGATGTGTTTGTCTAAACGTATTATTGCGAAAAAGCACAAGAAAAAGCCGAAAGACTGGGACTACAAAGAACTAAAATTTGCGGGAAAATTACGTCAAAACAGGTGATTGGGTGAGTGATGATCATGTGAGAGTTCACGTTGACAACGTGATGACGTTTATTCTAGCGTGTCAAGCCCTGTGAGCTGCAGATCAGAACGACACAGCTTCTGTGTCTGAATGAAAACTCTTTTCTTACGTGTGCATTTTGATTGTTTTTTGCAAACTCATTAGCAGAAATACGCAGCGCACTGGGATATGTTCAGTGTGTGAGATTTAAGTGCAACTCCTCCGGTTTAATATGCAAAAAAAAGTTCTATCTTATATAGTTT